AAATTTATTTTGTGTTTTCAGCGCCTTTTTTTGCTCTTTTCTTAACTTCTTTTCTTCTTTTAAATCCTTTTCTGTTTGAATAATAAATTGTGTGCCATAGACAGGTTTTCGAGCTTCGGATGATGATACTACTTTATTAGTTGACTGTTGTTTTTGTCGTTCATCATAATCTGACATTCGCATAATATTATGAACAATCGTTGATCGATTCGAGATAAGCTCTGCAATGAAATCAAAAGCATCATATCCTAATAGTTCAATAAGTGTGTTTTGAATACTGTCATCACTATCACCAGATCGAATAATGGTAAAGATGTCTCCACATAATTGACGCTCGTCCAAAGTGAGTTCTTTATTATTGTCAACCACTTGTTTTGCTTGTCTATAAAAATAAAGGGAGTATAAATATCTACAATTCTTACATTCGTATGTTTCAAACCAAACTTTTTACTTCAAAAGCCAATTACGGTCATAAATAGCAGTAGTTTTAAAAGAAGAGGCTGGGTTGACCGAGATCTTTGGAGTAACATCCTCTTTAACAATGTCATTTTCTCTTGCATTCACTAATGTCGGTTTATTAAATAACTTTTTTGGCAAGTTGAATTCTATATCACTTCCAAAGCTGACGCGAGGTAATTCTAGTAATTAAAAACAACATTTTAGGTTTTTTTTTTTTAAAGTACTCGATGTAATAATGCAATGTATACCTTTATTTTCAATATGATCTTTTTTGTATTTTTTTACAAGATCACAAAAGTTTTCAACAGAACATTCTTGCTTATTATCAGTGTCCCTTGAAAATAAAAGGTTGACAGGTTGGGCTTTGCCTTTCCCTTTCCCTTTAGGTATATTGGATAATACTTCGTTAAATACAGAGCTAAATGAAAGTTTAGCGGTCATATGTGAAAGTAAGAACACTAAAAAAAAAATAAATATTTGTATAAAATAAAAATAAAAATAATACGACGAAATTTTTAGATATACGTTAATCCCGCAGTAATAATAATAATGCGTAGAAGCGGGATAATAAAATTAGAAGATTCTTATTGTCCTATGCTGCGGCCACATAATATTTATAAATGAGATGATACTCATAACCCTTAATTATTATTATTTCTCTTGCACAAACCAACTTTAAACAATCAATTACTCTTCAGAAATACACACTATTTATCTCTCAGTAGCATAAATTAAATTTAATTAAAGAAAAGGAAAAAAAATAATAGTTTAGCATTTTCGTTATTGACTGAACTTTTAGAATATTGTACTTTGTATAAACTTTTCTGAATTCTACAATTTCCTTTCTTACTTCCTTAATACAAAATTAACTTGATGCCTTTAATAAAAATCTATGCTAATGTATAGCAAATAATACTCTGTATTAAATTAGCTGTTATGAGTATGATGTTTGGTAAATAAAATCTTTGATCCCAGTTATAAATAAGGCTAAGACTAAATTATATCTATTTCAAGTATTTTGTATATACAGTTTAGTATCTAATGCTAAATAACAGTTGGAATCATATTAACCAATTTTAACAGCATCAATTAAAGTTCCTTCAGGCTCTTTCATATGATTAGGAAAGAATGCTAATAGAGTTTGAAAGACGGCTGTACGATCTTTGAAATAAGAAATATCTATAGAACGGATATTATTAACTTTAAAATTCATATTTAATAACCCATCATATTCTATACCTTTTGTGGTATCATTCACTTCTATGCAGCATAACTCGGTACATAGCTTTTTAAACTCTTGTACCTCTTCTTTGTTTTCATAGTTGATAGTAGGCGTGAGATAATGCCTTAAATACTTCAATGCTTCCATTTTTGATGTAGATTTATTCAAGAGTTCTTTTAGGCGTTCTATACGAAGGAGGAATAAGCATTTTCTTACAACTTGAGCTGAGTCAGGCCTAACAATTAAGTAATTTAAAGCATTAGATATATATTTATATACATACATACATTCATACGAATATACATTGTTAATTATTTACTTGGTTAATTTTAGCTCCCAAAAATCATCTAGCCGTCGATAAGGTTTCAACGTATCACCGGGATTTCCACCAAAGATGAATAATGAATTTGATTTAGGATTATATATCATTTGATGCGTGTAACGCGCCAATGGGTCCTCTTCCCCTTGACTATTATTGTTGCTTTCATACACCTTTTCCCATTTATTGTGCTGAATATGATAGACCCAAAAATAGTTTGTGGTATTCACTTGCTTTTTATATTGCTGTGTGTTTTTTAGAAACCCTGAGAAAATATAAATTTCTTGTCGATCTGCATTAATGACTGCACGCTGTGTGTAACCTGCATCTGGACCAAATTGTTTAGAAAAGTCATGTGTAAGTTCAGTTAGTTTATCATCTTCAATTGAATAACAGTAAAGGTCAGTTAAGGTTTCTTTGCCACGTTGACCACCAAATATGTAAATACAACCTGATTTAGCATCAAGTAACATTGAATGACCAGCTCTTGATTTTATGGTCTGTGAAGCATGAGGTGAAGGAATGACATAAGTTCCATTACTTGAGCGTCGACGGCCTAAAGGGATCTCATTTACGGTTAGTAAGTGAGGTGAAGTTGCTTGTTGTTGTTGTTGTTGTTGAGATATAATAGCAGCAGCAGGAATATTATTGACATCATATCTATATATATATATATATATATTTATATCAATGTATAAATAGGTGCCTCTATAATACTATAAATGATCTTACCTAATAACATGCCAAGTACATTCATCGATATCATAAACATAAAATCCGCTATAAGTATAAGGTGGGGTATCAGATGAAATCACGCGTCCTCCAAAGACATAGAGCTTTCTACTAATAGGATCAACACACATTTGATGATCACATAAAAGGGAGGGACCCCCATCAAGCTAATTCATGTGTTAGAAAGAAAGTATATCATCAAAAAATAATAATAATGTTACTTACTTGTGTGTTTTTACTTAGTTTAACCCATTTATCAAGGTCTATGAAATACTGATAAAATTCAGATTCATATAAACTATTATCTGCTGATGACACATCATACGAATTGTTACGAATATCAGCATATCTACCAAGGATATAAATTGATTTTCTTATAGGATCAAAGCACATTGTATGACAAGACCTTGCTGATGGGCCGCCTTGACTGTAAAAAGAGTTAGTAAGGGGAAAAAACAAAAAACAAAAGCATAATAATATCAAAATTTTACACAGAAGTATCTGAACTGATTAATCGCCATCGATTCTCTTTCAATGAGTAGCACCAAAAATCAGCTAATTCTTGTTTACCATCCCAACCACCAAACAAATATATTTTTTGTCTTTCAACGTCCAAACATATTTGATGGCCACCTCTTGCACAAGGTGCATTTCCATCTATCATAAAGTTAATTTAGACTAAGCCTTCCTTTTTTTTTTTATCTTAAATTGTATACCATTGTTTGATGCATATATCCTTCGCCAATTTGGTATGTATTTTGCTTCATCAACATATGACTGAAAAACGCCTTGTTGATTTGCATCTTTAATTATTTGTTCCACTATCTCAAATTCTCCTTCAATTACAAGTTTTTGATGTAATGTGGATAATAGTGGATCCTCTAACTTGATATCTGGTCTTTCCTGCTTAAGCGCATCATACACACTCATCATATTTCTTTGTCTAAAGTGCTTTAAACATAAACGAATAGTTTCCATTTCCTTATACTATAAAAATAAAATAAGAATTATATAATGAATTTACTTGAATTCACCTCTTTACTTTATTATAAGCTTCATAGACTTCCTTCATTATTGATTCCTCTTTTATGCCTCTGATTTCAATATACCAAATACTATAATTAAAATTCGCGCCAAAAGTAGCTAATGGTGTAATTTTAATATACTGAATCGGAAATATCTAATACGAAATATGTTAGCAAATTACATGTATTTTATTATCATTATTCCCTCCTTTTGTTTAATATTTTACTAAATCTCGAAAAGTATATCTGATAGGGAATGTTTCGGCCTTATTGTCGTCTGTTAAACCTACATTTACAATAAAATTAGTATGTCTGCATAACTGTTTTAACTTTATTTATTGATTTTTTTTATTTTTTCTTTTTTTTTTTTTTTTTTTTTGAACCTTTGTGAAGAATTTCTTTTAAATCGTTTGGGTCTAAACCGCCATAGACTTTAAATTCCTTTAAATTACATACATGACCTATAGATGCAAGGAAAAAATAAGCTATCAAAATAAATAATGTCTAAATTAACATACTTCTATGAAATTTTCCAAATAATATTTCACCTAGATTAACAGAGATTAAGTAATTGTTCAAAATAATTCTATCTATTCCTTACAAGCTACAGCTGGTTTATCTAGTTTTAGTGTTATGTACTGTGACTGATCATGTGAATTAGAAGACCATCGAGACGACTGTTCTGTTGGGTTATTAACGCATACATTTTTAGGATGATAAGGGCCTGAAAAGGAAGAATAATCATGAATTGTATAAGGTAGAGGCACATGATGTGTATTCTCAATGATTGAATGTAAGTTGTTCATTATTTATACTAGGAAAAGAAAAAAAAAAGGGCAGAAATACATAATAATTTTTCTTTATAGAAAATATGCATAATAATCCCCGAAATAAATACATGTATATAAATAGAGTCATATACAAATGTATATTATGTAATTTATTAATAAACTTCTTTCATGACTTCTTTTAAACATTTAACAAATTGGTACACATCCTTAAACGTATTATATAAGGGTGTTGGCGCAACACGTATTACAGTTGGCTTACGTTCATCTACAACAATACCCATCTTATGAAGACCCTCAAAGACTTTTAGCATACTTGTCTCATCACGAAATTCCAACGATAACTGGCATCCACGTCTCTTTGGAGTCAAGATTTTTACTTGCGGTACTTCTATCCTAACCAATCTCTCAAGATACTCAGTTAATAATAATGACTTTTTACGCAAAGCTTCAACACCACCAGCTTCTTCAAAGACTTGCAAGGACGCCCAAAGGGCAACGGTTGTGAAAATGCTAGGATTACTAACTTGATATCCAGAGGCACCTTCACTAGGTTCAAAGACTTCTTGATTCATTTCGAATCGAGTTTCTTTATTGTTACCCCACCATCCTGCCAATCTATATTAAATATATAAGTTTTTAAATATATATATATATATATATATATATATGGATATATGCGCTACCTTGGTCTTGTATTATCATTTTTGTATTTTTCATGAATAAAGAGCCCTGCAATACCACCCGCTCCTGAATTCAGATACTTATAAGAACACCAGCAGGCAAAATCAACGTCCCAGTCATGTAAATGAAGAGGCACATTACCAACTGCATGTGCAAGATCCCAGCCTACCACACAACCCTATTATACAAAGTTAAGAAATATACATACATACATACATACATATTCGTATAAATATATATATATATATATATATATATGCATATATATAAAATAAAAAAACACTTTACTGCTTCATGTCCAGCTTTTGTAATTTTGTCTATCTCAAAGAATTGTCCCGTATAGTACTGTACACCTGATAACATAATTACGGCAATTGAGGAACCATGTTGCTTAATATATTCAATAATATCTTCTGTTTCTAAAACATCGTGTCCATCTCGAGGACTAACTGTCAAAAGTGCGTCAGTAGGATCAATACCTCTTGACTGAAGATGAGAACTGACGGCATACTTGTGTAAAATTCAGTTAATTATTAAAAGTAGTAAATATGTATATATATGCATATATTGTACTTACATGATCCGAGGGAAATGCCTTTTTCTCAATTAAAATTTTGTAGCGCGTTTCGGAAGGTTGATAAAAGGAAATAAGCATTGAGTGAATATTTGAAGTTAAAGTATTCATGGCTGTTACTTCAATTGGCTTTGCCCCTGAATGTTGAAATTAGCTTAATAATAATAATAATAATAATAATAAAGAACGACTCTTTTTTACCAACAATTTTTGCAAGCGGTTCTTTGACAATCTCGTCAATAGCTACCCAAGGTCGCATATAAGGATGGTTCCAATGGCCTTCAACTCCCCTGTATGTGAGCAAATTTTAGTAGTGTATGTATATCTTTTATATAAAGGATGCACATACCTTTGTGCCCAAGCATCCAATTCTTGATTAATTATTGTTCTTGTTCTTTTAGGCATTAATCCTAATGAATTACCACACAAATATATGCATTCTTCATCTAAAGGTTTAGAAAATTTTAAATACTAAAATAAACTCCTTTATAATAGACTTGCTTTCTTTACCTGTTTCGGTAGAATCATTTGTGATTGAATTTTTTAAGGGAATTTCGAACTCTTTTCGATATTTAGCAAATTCATCTTGTGCGTCTAAATCGTTAGCTAGTTCTACTGAAGTAATTTCTTGTTTATCTAATAATGACATGTTAGCTTAAGAGAAAGAAGAAAATAAGAATAAACAAGAAGGTTTAAATATAGCAATGAAAATATCTCGGAGATTAATTTCATTGTATGCTGAACAATAGTATGTGTCACCATCTTTTATTTTCTCACAGTTTAAAAAAATAAATAAATAAATAAATAAATATTAAAATTTAAGCAGTCCAATTTTATTTTTATTCATTAAACAAGATTTAAGCATCTACAGTAGTAATTTCCCTCTTTTTCAAAATAAGTTCATTTCCTGTCATTCTTTTATAAATACTCTTGACATCATCACATACCGTTTCAAAATGTGATGTAGCATCGTACGATTTGGAAATAAAAACGTTATCATTTTCTCCATCTTCAAGAGGCTCTTGAATATCACTCACATATACAAACTTTTTATAAATGTCTCCTAATAAGTCTAATCCTGCCTTAATTTCTTCTTCTGGGTTCTCCGTTTCTACAATGGTTGAGACAATAGCTAAATACATGTCCTTTGGACATACTGAATGCGTATTTGAAACACTGGCCACATAAATATCATGATTACGGCCAACTTCGTTTTGAGGAATTACAATTTGGACAGAATCTGCATCAGCAGTATTTGCTATAGGATGTTTCAAGAAACAAATGGCACGAACTACTTTACCCGTTGAATGGACCTTCTGTGATGCATAAGAGGGATCACAAATGATTTGTTTAGCTGTAGCAGTTTCAGTACCTGATCGAATGCCTATGGCTTTACCTTGCTCATCATAAAGAATTTCATCAGCAGATCTATCCAACATATAGGTACCGCCGTAAATAGCACTGAGACGAGCAAATGATTGAGGTAATTCACCAAGCCCGTGTAAAGGATAGATGTAGGGGCTCTTACCATAGCGTGCCACAGAAGCAACATATAAAATTATCTTATTAATTGTTTCACGGGCAGGCTGCTTAAGATACACGTCATCGAGATGAAGTGCCATTGCATGACCTAAAATATAACAATAACAATAAATAATCGATTTTGTCACTTTTGTGTTAGGGCTAACTTTACCAATAAAATCTTGAGTTCCAGGCTCAAGACCAAATTTCGCATAGACATCCACCATTGTATTATTATCTAAATCAAGTCCTATTTTATCAAATAAAACATGTTAGTGACTTTTTTTTTCTTTTTCTTTCATTCACTCGTCTCGTTAGATAATTCACCTTCATGAGTTGTCTCATCATCTTCCTTCCAATTTTGTACAAATTCAAAGAATTTTTGTAATCGACGTTTTTCAACCATGCCTAATAAAGATGTTGAAACAGCTTCCATTTCACTTGAGGGAACTTTAAAAATCTTGCCATCCTTGTATACAAAGGAGCCCGCAATTTGCTTAAATTCAAGATATCGAGTAACATCTGTATGAGTCAAAAAACGAACAATTTCGCCATTGGCCATCATGAATTTGGGAATAAGGTCAATATTGTAGTCACGGTCGCGACCAAGCTCGGCAGGGGCAACTTGGTCAGGTCTAAATTTGCGATAAAGCTAAATTATAATATATATATATGTAAACAATAATTATATATATATATATATATATATATGCGGCAAAGAAACTTCGATATACCTGTGTCAGGTTTAAAGAGGCAGATTCACCACCATAATAATCATTTCTATCCATGTGAAGAACCTTTTTGCCTTCGACTGAGAATATACCAGAAAGAATACATTCAGTTAAACCAGTACCAAGAACAATAATATCGTAATTGTCATCCTACATAAGGTTTTAGAATCCTATTTTGTTAATCATCGCTTCTATGTTTACCATCTTATATAAAGTTGTAATAAAGAGAAAAAGGGGAAAAAAAAAGAAGGTAGGAAATAAAATTAAAAAAAAAAAAAGGTTTATATTTTAAATTTAAATGGGATGCGTCTTTTCCAAACTAGGGAAGAGGGAGTGTCGATATTAATATTGAATCAAGCCAATCAAATAACGCTATTCTTTTTTATAAACTGCATAACAACGTGTATACTTGAATTTAGGCACGAGAATTTAAGTTACACAATATCATTGGCCCCCTTCCCCTCCCCCCAACATGTTCTCAAATTAATTACTATTAGAAGACCGTCAAAGCTTTATCCATTTATTTATTTCTTTTTTAACGATTCTATTGGCCATTTAGGTAAGGTTGTTATGGTATAATCATCTACGAGACCAGCTTGTAGTCGCTCCATCCCCGCCCATGCAATCATCACGCCGTTATCTGTACAAAATTGAGGTGGTGGGCAAATCAATGGCAAACCATAAACTGCTGCTAACGTTTCCAGCCTAATAGAATTTTTTTATCAGCTTATGACCATCAATTTTATTTTATTTTATTTTTGTTTTCTTCTCTATTTTACCTGGTACGAAATAATGCATTGCTTGCAACTCCTCCGCTTACAACAAATGCTGTTAGCGGCTTCTTTTGACGTACTATCTCTTCCTCTAATGCTAATCCTATTTTTTGCTCCAAATGTCGTATACATATCATCTGAAATGCTGCTGCCATATCATTCACATCCTTGGGTTTAGTTAAATCCACTATCTTATCCTTCTTCACGAGTTGCGCCACCTTTGACTTTAACCCTGAGAAACTAAAGCTTAGAACTGACTTATTTCGTTGAAGCATGGGTTGTGGTAAATATTCCATAAACCGTGTAGGATCTCCTAGAGAAGCTGCTTGCTCAAGGGCAGCACCAGGTCCGCCACGTCGCCCCTTAACCCATTCCAGATTAAGAAGACGAGCTGTTTTGTCGAATGCTTCACCTACTGCATCATCCAATGTTGTAGCCAGTGTATTATAATTGCCTAAACTGTTGGCTGTTAATAAAAGAGTATGTCCACCTGAAATGAGTAATGTCATGAAGGGGAATTCGGGATAAGGAGCTTGTTGACAAGTTAATCGAGCTGTTAATGCGTGGGCTTCCTGAGAACAATAATAAGAAAAAAAAAATAATAATAGTAATTAGGTCTTAATAATGTTCTGTTGTAATTCCTATTACCATGTGATGGACACCAATAAGAGGTTTTTTTAAGACTGCTGCCAAAGTTTTTGCAGCATTCAACCCGACTGGCAAACAGGGTGGTAGGCCAGGTCCTCTTGTTACAGCAATCGCATCTAAATCTTGAGCATTCAAATTGGCATCCTCAAGAGCTTTAGTAATCACACTTGGAAGGTTACGTGAATGACCAGCACTCGCTAAGGTTGGTACAATACCGCCCATAGGTTCATGTAGCTCCTGTTGACCATGCACAACCTCGGATAAGATACGATGATCAGATGAAACGATCGCAGCTGAAGTATCATCGCAAGAGGTTTCAATACCTAGCACTCGTAATGGTCGAGTACAGAAAAGTCGTCGTGAAAGTCTATTAAGATGCTTTATCGAAATTGATTGCATAATGATTTATTGTCTATTTTTTTTTTTTTTTTTGTTTTTTAATTATTATTGTTGATAAAACGGGTCTGATTAGAGCCCTTGTTGGCTGTTATTACAACTAATTTTGAATTTCCGAAGAAAAAGTGGAGTTGCTGCACACCCCTTGTTTATTTCTCGCTTCTATTTTTTTTTTCCCTTAACTTGAATTATGCTTACACAGGTACGCTCATCGCTTACAAGAGCTCCAGCATCAACTACAATTTGCTTACGAGCATTGACTCGAAGATTTTATAAAACTTCAAATGTAGAATCTGACGATGATGATCTTATAAGCAGTCATAAAGGTATATAATTAACTTTATTTTTTGTATAATGTGATCTTAATTTTTTTTTTCTTTTTATTTATAAAGAAATTGAAGAAAAAACCTTGCAAATCCTCCAAAAAACAGTTAACAGTAAAACATGTTGATTTGTATTATTTACTATCTTAATAACTTTTTTTTATTATAGAGGATAAATATAAACCTATTGCTGAATCATCTCAACGTTTTCAGAAGAACTTTCGTGCAGGTGATACCTATCATCCGGATGATTTAAATGATAGTCGTTATCAGGAGCAGTTGCGTCAACGTCGTACTAAAGTAATAACACCAGCTGAAGATCCATTTGAAGTGTTAGGTTTAGATCCTTTAGTTGAATATAAGAATTATAGACTTTTGGCAAATTTTGTGTCGAGCATGGGCAAGATTTTACCTCGTGAGCAGACGGGTGTGAGTGCAAAGAATCAAAGAAAGCTGGCAAAGGCAATTAAGCGTGCGAGAGCGATGGGTAAAAGAAAAAATAAAAAAAAAAGTAATGCGTAATTTACTTGATGTGATTGCTTATTTATTTTTATTTTAGGATTGATGTCAAGTACAAATAATCGATATGACTTTCAAGTTTAATACATGGTATAAAATAAAATATCCCTTTTTATTCAACATCGAATAGCTATAGAAAGTATTATTAGTCTATAAATATAAAGTATTACCCTTAATTTCTTATTTCCCTACCTCGCCTCTATTACGTAATTTATTATCATATTCTTCTTTTGCTTTGGCTCTCCTAACTCTATCTGCCATTATATCATCAGAATATAGATTCTGTTTTTGTATGTATCGATTGCAACCAGGAATAGGGCATTCAATAGCATTATTTGATCTCAATAAAGCAAATATAGATGCTTTTGAGAATGTATGCTTACAGACAGAGCTACAAAAAAAAAATTAGATAACTTGTAAATATACATTTTCTGATATATTTTTACCTTGTCATGGGTTCTTCCAACCATGTTGTTGTTAATGGACATTTAAGTGAAATCTTTGTAGGACCCATAACAATATCATCATCATCATCGTTGTTATTAGATGTTAAGCTCGGCATAGCATCGTACAGATGATTAATACTCTAACAAAGCCACCATATTAGAACTGTATTCATTAAATAAACATTTGTAAGATTTACCCATAAATGCTGTCTAAAACTAATATATTTTTGATTTGTAAAATATTTATCATCGTCAGTTGCAGGTAATTCTTTCATTAATTCACTCTTTAATGTTTTATAATATTCTTCAGGATTACTCTATATAATAGATAAACTGCATAAATATATAAAGTATCAACATTTTAAATATACATGTGTATATGTATTACAATTTTTTCGCCTTGGTAAATTCGATCCTTCATTAACAAAATGGTCCTCTCTTGTAATTTAAGTCTAGCTTCGAGATCAATCAATTGTTTAAATTTTGAATCGAGTTCAGATACCTACAGCATATAAAATAAATATTATTTTAAGAGGATGCCATTCTATAAATCAGTCTTACTTGATCAGATTCATTTGCTTCTTCTCGATCTTGGGCTGCAAGTGTAATATTATTTTGTCCTTGTTGAATCAAATGATAAAGATCGTTAATGTCGCTAACTGTGGTTGATTTAATATCATGGGTAGCTGTTAAACTGAAGTTATTTATAATATTTTCGATTTCATCTAACATGATTAGAGCTGCAAAAGAAGTAATAGAAATAACTGTCTATTTCTTTTATTTAAAAGTATATAATCTGGGTTGTAACTGGTTTTTTTTATTTTTATATTTATTTTTTAACTGCAGAATGATTTGATAGAATGACTACATAACTTTTTAAATGTGGATTAAGATAAATTTAAATTAATCTTTAATGAATTATAATAATGTTGCCACCATTTACCGTATACATCTAAACTCTTCCTGTCAAGGAAGAAATTTCATTTAATATAATAATGGTGAGAAACAATAATCAACTGATTATAGCATAAAGGTATAGAGCGGTCAGGACTAATGAGCATGTACTAAGTTATATGTATTAGATGCTTTTTGGGATATTTATGTCGTACTGTCATAATATTCTTTAATTTTTAGCAAATCTAAAGTGTTGTAAAGGCCAATAAGGGTTGTCTTAAAATATAAGCTTCAAAACTGAATAAAAACTATGAACTGTAAACAAAAAGCAACAGTTTTCTGTTATTTACCTTTAATGCTTTACCTCTATTTGCATATAATATTAAAGAATCATTATATTTTTGGTTTAATTCTAATGCCTCCTATAAGATGTTAATTAATTTTATTTACTACAGTTTAATTTTGACAGATAGTGTTTCCTCCCCTCCCCAAGTACATTGTTCCTAGAAGTTATAGGATTGCTTGTTTTACATTTACTTTACTTCAACTTTTTTAGCTTTAAATTTCCATATGCAATAATGTGAATAAAAAAGATAAAGGTCTATCTTCTGAAATATCATTTTTTTTTCTTGTCTTCCTTCCTTCATACCTTTTCTCTGTGTAAAAAAAATTTACATTTAGAAGAGGCTGATTACTAATGCGAAAAAAAATGGCAAACAGGAAAGTACGACTAGGATTTTTATTGAAGACAATCGACTAATTAAAAAAGATGATGATTCTAACGCATACTTGAATTATTATTACAGAATAATCATTTTAATTAATAGCATTAAATAAAATACAGAATATATGTATGGCTATAATAAACAAGTAAACTGTCTTATTTAAAACTTTAGAATAGAATAATATAGACATACAAGACTTCTTCCTCTTCCTATACATGGAATTTTGCAAAACTGTTTCCTTTTGCATGTTGATTAAACTACCATCTATATTGCATTTAAATAAAGTTTTATTTATAAATTAATTTGAAAACCTAATGAGCATAATTGTTTATTTAATACACCACACCAAATTTGCTCAGATCAATAAATAGAAAAAAAAATATACATATATTCAGTTGAGTGGAGGAGGAGAAAGAGGAATCAATTGGTTTATTATGTTAAAAGCAATCAAGCTTGTGTAGTAGACTATAAATGCTAGGCCATTAGTATTCGTTAAGAAGTGACGAATTACGGAGTTTGAGGTCCCTTGCATAAAAGGCAGTTCAGAGGATTGTCAACTGTTCCTAGCATTTGTAGCCTAACGATGTGTTTGCAAGCGGTGTATAACAGTATGTTGATTAGTGAGAAGGATGTCTCGGGTAAAAAGTTGAATAACCATTAGATAGCTGTTTGAGCCGTCAAACAATATACTTGTTGTATTTGATAAATGATATTGGTTTGATCCAAAGCATTAGATCTATAGAAATCGTTAATCAACAAACAGAAAGAAGTATAATAGAATTAGCAGCAGCCTATTCTTCGTAGTTTAGTTTTTTTTTTCTTTTTTGTGAAAAATCAAATGCTTTAGGCAGTCTAAGTTAGAAAATATCTATTACTTTCGGTAATAATGTTTGTTTTTGATTGTTAAAAAATAAAGAAAGAGAATAAAAAAGCGAAAGGCAATATTGTGAAAATATTACGTAATTCATTATGATTTAGCAACATAAAAATTGTATAAAGGGAAAATAATACGAGAAAAGGGAAGAGGATTATTTATATATTTTTTATAATATAAGACATAATAATAATAAAAATATGATTTAGACAATACGCAAGGATTGGTGGATTAATGAATTATGTGAGTTTGTTATCTCTAGATTAGTCTACTGCATCAAGACAATAAAATATATACTTTACTGTCGTCTCCCTAAGCTGCCATCCATTACTAAAAACGAAATAAAATGTATTTTTTTTTTGAGCAAGCAATATATCAAAATTAATTCATAGTAAATATCTCAATTATAACAAGAATATCCAATAATTCATATGCTATTATTACTGCCATCACCCTGAGATAATATTACACAATAATAACCATCATCATTGATATATATACATGTATATGTATATATTTAATCTAGATGTCTATAAATAATTATGTTGTTGACCATAAAAATCGTAATCCTATTGAATTCTTATTAATATAACATAACACAGTGTATGTATAATTATTATTAAAACTGAGTATACAATAAATAATATTTTGTAAACTATAGTATGCTAGTTATACTTGAATAATTTCTTTATTATGTAATAAATGACTTTTCTATTATTTCAATAAACTTAGTTATATAAAGGCAATTACAGTCATAACAATTTGCAATCGAAGTCTCGAGTTATTATTTTATTTTATTTTATTTTATTTTTTATTTTTTATTTTTTATTTTTTATTTTTTATTTTTTATTTTTTATTTTTTATTTTTTTATTTTTTTTTTTATTTTTTTATTTTTTATTTTTGAAGTGCATAAAATCATGGCTCTTGTCATGGTTGTAAGATTTATAACTTAATTCAATAAGATAAATAGTCATTATAGAATATATAGTGCACTTGTACAATAATTCTGTCTATAAACATATTTAGTATACTGGTTTTTTCCATTTATTTGGCGGCCTTTGAAGTTTAGGTTTGCGGCTATTGAAGCTCAATTTGCAGTCTTTGCCATCCAACTTTGCATTGGTTGACACTAATTTTGCACATTTTGAAGTGGGTCTTTGGATGTCTTTATCCAATAAAATCGCAGGTGTTGACACCAGAATATTAGGAATTTTTATCCAATAAGATCACTTGATTAGGTAACCACACGTTGTGGCCAAGTCATAATAATTGGCCGTTTCAATAAAATATATATCTAACAGATTTGCAAGAATAAAATTAAGACACATAAATTTATTTAATTTATTTGGATTTTGCATTTCAGGATCTCATCTGCGATCCCAGGTACATAGTCATTATGTAAATCAATTGGCAGCAATTTGGTAGTTTGGAGGCTACCGTTTTGTTTCAGCTCATATATTCCCCAACGAAACACCGTAGTGACATAGTCACTAATGGCATAATACTTGCCATCCAATACAACCGCAAGAAAATCACCATAGCAAATGTTTGATGCTATAATTCCAAACAGATCTGCGAGCGATGAAGGAAGTATCTCAGTACGGATCTTGAACCAAGAATGCAAGAGTTCAGCACAATTATCAGCTTTGACAGGATCTGGCCCATCTTCCCCAATTTCTTCAAATTCTTCCCATTCTTCTTCACCTGCAATAATTTCAGGAATTCCATCAGCATTGGCATACGTGGTGAGAAGGTCTTTTAGATTTTGCTTAGTATTCATTTTTCTACTTTAGTTTTTAGCTGAAGTGTGGATCAAAACAAACGCATTTTATTTATACTTTTGTAAACTGGGTTTCACAATGAGAAACGTGAGTGCATTACTGCAAAGAAAAATATTTTATTTGACTATTTGCATTTACTAAATACAGCTATTTTTTTTTCAACCCTTTGGTCAGGATTATTCAATATCAATTGCCGCATCCGCTCTACAAATTCATCTGTAATATCAGCATTTCTACGTCTATTAGAATATTTATGCTTATTTTTATTGATTCGTAACTGAACAGCACCAACGCTCATGTTTAGTATCCTAGATACTTCTCTTATGCTCAGACCTTGGTTTTAATAGAGATATACAGTAGGCGGAAAAATGGTCCGGATGTTTTAACAAAAATGACAAAAACACTTATAACTAATGAACAAATAAAGCAAATGACACAGAACAAAATGTATTTAAAAGAGAAAATTGTCTAGTTTTATTGATATAAATTTAAAGAAATATGATTGGCTAAAATATACTAAAATCGGAGGTTAAAGCTGTAGTGTACATCCGGACCATTTTTCAGGGTGCATCCGAAAAATGGGCATCCGCAGTTTGATGACCTGTAATGAGTCATAAATTGTCATTTGTAATATCCAATAAGCAGTAATGAATATTCGGCAACTTAATATCATAAAAAAGTATAAAAAAAGTTATTTTTTATCATCAGTATTGCGTGCTTCTTTTTAGATTATTATATTTACACTTTATATTACATTATTACATCATTATGGCTCGTTCACTTACATAAGATAAGCAAAATAACATCAAATCTTTATTGCAATTAGGTTGTTCATACTCTGAAATCATGAAACGTATTCCAGGTGCCAAAAGAGTACAATTTGTGACTATAAGAAAAGGTTTTTCCCTGAATGAAAAGCTACATCTAGTGGTAGAAAGATGGTTGTAGGTACAACTAGCCGTTCTTATATTAGAAAGAAGTTAGTAACAGGTGAGTTAAGAACTGCCAAGGATGTTCATCGTTATTTGGTGTCTACTGGTCATGATTTAGGCTATTCAGCATGTCTGAAGATTATGAAGTCTATGAATTTTGAAACTGCTATAAAGAAGAAGAAGCCTTTTTTGAAGCCTGAGCATAAAAAGAAGCGTTTAACGAAGGCCAAAGCTCACCGATATTGGACTAAGGATGACTGGAGGCGTATGGTTTTCTCTGATGAAGCAAATATCAACGTTTGGGGGTCTGATGGTGTTAAATACTATTGGAAGCGTCCTGATGACAAATTGTCCTTTCATCATTTGGACTTAAATGTTAAAGGAGATAATGGTAGTGTAATGATGTGGGGTTGTATAACCTATGATGGTCCTGGTTATGCCTATCAGATTACGGATGGTACCATGAAAAAGGAAGATTACGTGCATATCTTGAATACTACTCTAAAAGATACCCTTGAGTGGTATGGCTATGACCCTCAGCATATTTATTTCCAGCAAGATAAGGACCCTAAACATACCGCAAAGCTTACAAAGCAGTGGTTAGCGGATAATAAGTTCGATATCGAGTCTACTTATAGTTGGCCACCTCAAAGTCCAGATTTAAACCCTATAGAACACATTTGGCACCACCTGAAGTTGAAGCTTAGTGCTTATCCAACCAAGGCTAAAGGAGTCCATGAATTATGGGAAAGAATTGAAGAACAATGGGCTACTTTTACAAAAGAGGATTGCCAAAAGTATATTGACTCTATGCCAGCAAGAATAAAGGCAGTAACTGATGCTAAGGGTGCTTATACTAAGTACTAAGTACTAAGTACTAAGGAAATTTTGATGTACCCTGAAAAATGGTCCGGATGTACACTACAACTTTAACCTCCGATTTTAGTATATTTTAGCCAATCATATTTCTTTAAATTTATATCAATAAAACTAGACAATTTTCTCTTTTAAATACATTTTGTTCTTTAGTTATAAGTGTTCTTGTCATTTTTGTCAAAACATCCGGACCATTTTTCCGCCTACTGTAGAGCATTGTGGGTGTCATCTTGTGTGAATGTTTTTCTTCTCTTTGATGGGGGATTTGAATTTGGTTTAGGAAAAGCTTGACTGCAACCTGATGAATCAGCTTCTTTCAAATCCATAAACTGACAGCGGCTTCGATTGTCTTGCATTGTGGTGCGATCAGCTTGGCTTGCTTGTTCTTCAGTAGCAATATCTTGTCTTCTTTTACCGAGGATATTAGAAGTAATAAAAGCCATTATGATGCGAATCTTTATGTGAGCAAATGAATGAACGATTAGAATTTTTAATGTAAAGTAGAAAGCTTTTATGCGCAATGTTTGTCTGCTTGAAATAAGGTTTGTTCTATTATCTCCAGAACAGGATTCCGACCGATGTGTAAGCAACTTTTTCAGGTTATGAATGACGCCATTACACAGAGTTTGGTATCACCATAAATAAACTACAATGCTGTACTGAACCTCTTTACGTCTGATTTTTTATGAACCAATATTTTTTAAATGGGATGTTAATTTTTACTTTCTTCTTCCGTGCGAACCCTGTAACTGACATCATATCTTTTTATTGTATTCAGTTCTATATGCTTGAAAAAATCATAAACATGTACTCTGAAAAAGGAATTTGTTAGTATCACACAAACCTGAAGATGAAAAATCTGTAATGGTATTTTTGACATAAAGTACGGAATAAGTAATGAACATACTTGGAGCATAATAAATATAAGAGCAATGTATGAAATACGTAATGAACGTACAAGACATAAGAGTATAAAAGTAGTGTGCATAAAAAGTAAGCATAAGAAGTGAGCGTAGTAAACATATGTGAACATATAATAAGAATGTGGTAAGAATTAAAAAAAAAGTGAGCACAAATTATGAAATACTTCATGAACAGAGTGAACATAAGAAGTGAACAGAGTGAACATAAGAAGTGAACACAGTGAACATAAGAGAAGCCAAAATCAGAAAAAAAAAAGTGAGCATACATTATGAAATACGTCATGAACATAAGAAATGAACAGAATAAGGAAAAAAAATATTTTGCGCTTTGTGTTACTTCTTACAATTCGTACTTTGTATTCATAAACTTTTATTGGTTCTATGAGATTATCATTATTATGTGTGTAGTATTTTCTGTATTCACAACATTAGCTACACTGGTGCTCACAATGTTTTTTAACTGCGCGATGATGTAACTGAGGTTATGGACAGACTCTAATAACATGCAACATAAGAAGTTCTACGGTTATACATATATATGTATATAAACAATACGATTCGTTTTACAATTCCAATATTATATTACTTCTTCAGCTAACCTACTTCCTCACACCTTATATTTCTTATAAAGTGTCAAACTCTCTCCAAATTATTATGGATGAACACTGCTACAAGCATATGAACAATGCCGGCGCAGATTCAAATCCCAATAGCCATTTCTTAGAAGCTTTTGCTGGTTTCCAATATGAAAATTTTGGATCCTTCCCCATATACCGCTGTCGGGCTTTGAAAAATGCAATTTTCTTTTATGGGAATGGCTCTCTAATATATTACTAGTGAAAAAAATACCGACTTTGTCGTTTCTTGACTTCTTGAGGTACGAAAGCGTAAAACTTCAGATAGTATTAAGCAAAAATAACAAAGAATATAATTACGTTTTTATAATATTTAATGGTTATCTTTATTCAAAATTAATAATTTCTCGATATTTATATTAAATTTGTTACAACAATAAAGTTTATGTAACAACAGGGAAAATCGTGATTATAGTAAAGATGCATAAGTATTGTCTTTTTTATTTTCTCATGCTGTCAACTAATTATGCCGACGTCTTCGATTTTCACAAATTATGCATAATTTTAACTTCTTTCTTCTCACGTCTGAATCCTTTACTATCGGCTTAAATCTTCTTTTATTTTGCCTATCAATTCTAAACAGTAGATTGTACTCTACTTCTATTGGCTGGTCCTCTATTTCGTTCCTAATAGACTGGACAATCCAACATATTTTAGCTGTAGGTTATCACTACTAGTGGTATTACAATAAAAGGAAATTCTATTTTTCCAAGTCCGACGGCGGTATATGGGGAATTAACCCCCTAAACATACCGCAAAGCTTACAAAGCAGTGGTTAGCGGATAATAAGTTCGATATTGAGTCTACTTATAGTTGGCCACCTCAAAGCCCAGATTTAAACCCTATAGAACACATTTGGCATCACCTGAAGTTAAAGCTTAGTGCTTATCCAACCAAGGCTAAAGGAGTCCATGAATTATGGGAAAGAATTGAAGAACAATGGGCTACTTTTACAAAAGAGGATTGCCAAAAGTATATTGACTCTATGCCAGCAAGAATAAAGGCAGTAACTGATGCTAAGGGTGGTTATACTAAGTACTAAGGAAATTTTGATGTACCCTGAAAAATGGTCCGGATGTACACTACAACTTTAACCTCCGATTTTAGTATATTTTAGCCAATCATATTTCTTTAAATTTATATCAATAAAACTAGACAATTTTCCCTTTTAAATACATTTTGTTCTGTGTTATTTGCTTTATTTGTTCATTAGTTATAAGTGTTTTTGTCATTTTTGTCAAAACATCCGGACCATTTTTCCGCCTACTGTATTTTTCAAAGTCCGACGGCGATATATGGGGAACTAACCTATCTTTTCTCCTCTATCTGAACGAACTATAAAACTTGGTGACTTTAATTACTCTTACTCTCGCTCCTTTTCGACCACTGGTCGAATTTGGCAAGCCCCAAATACCTGGCTACAATACATAGATAATAACTTCACAGAATGTGCTACTGCTCCTGGTTCACAGTCAGACTTTACATTTCATCGACAGAATACCTCCTCCTCTTGTATTAACTACATCATGGTATCCAAGGACCTTTCTTCCTATACTTATCATGATAAATGCAAGACTGTGTACATTCAACCTAGTTGGTCTGATCATTCATTGTTAATTACTCATATTCGTTTTCCACCACCTACGACTAATACTTCTTCCGTAACTTCAATCGGTAAAGGCATCTGGCGTGCTAATCCTAGTCTCGCTCTAAATCCTGAATTTACACGTCGTCTTAATAGCATGTTATCTAAATGTGTGCTCTCTCTTGATACTACTTTATCCGCTGCTGAAAAGTGGGAGGCATTGAAAAAGGATACAGCTAAATGTTGTTAATCTTTCTCTCGGCGTAAAGCTTTCTATCTACCACGTGCAGAAGATCTTCTTCATAAAAAGCGTGCTCGTATTACCAAAAAATTATTATTGGATCCTTCTATACTCTCCTCTTTATCTCATCAATTGTCTGTTGTGGAAACCCAAATTAGTTTCATACAACAATATTATGTAGAAAACTTGGTTTTCAGATCAAGTATTCGTTGGCGAGAACGCGGTGAGACCTCTCCTGGGTACCTAAAGCATACTATTGCCTCTCGTAGTGCTAAAAAACTGATACCTCCGCTAATTCATCGTTCAACTTCATATCTATGTTCCTCTAAAGAAGAAATGTTAGACACAGCGGCTGAATTTTATCAAAACTTATACTCCCCTGATGATCTTGACCAAACGGCTATGAATACAATCCTTGATGCACTTCCAGAATCCCTGAGGCTATCTTCTAACGCTACTGAATCAGTCATATCTCCCATCTGTTATGATGACCTGCTTGAGGCTTTTTCTCGCACACCCAGAAAGTCTTCTTCTGGTAAGGATGGGCTTCCATATGAAATTGTCCAACTAATCATCAAACATCCTCAATGCGTGTGAAATTGCTTTGGCAGTTTATAACAATGCATTGTTGACTGCTGATATTCCTGATACAGTGACTAACAAAACCGGCCCAATGTTTTGCACTTTTCCCTTTGATGATGTATTGCTCGTTATTGGGACAAGCTACATATACAATTCTTATATTATTATAATCGCAGAAAAGCTCTCTACATACACCTTTTCCGGAAATTATTCGTACACATTAAAAAAAATTTCGTGCACAAATAAAATAAAAAATCAAGCATTAAAAAAATAAAATATCAAGCACAGACAAGATAAAATATTGTACACTTAAAAAATATAAATTAAGATATTGGACCTGATTAATATTTTCAGTACTTTGAATTTTTATTTTGAATTAAAATGGACCAATTTATACATGAAGATGGAAAAGGCAAATCATTCAACGAGGAAGGAAATGAAATTGAAGTACTTTGGATGAAGATCGACGATCCTGATTATCCTATTGCAAATGTTGCAAGTTATGGGGAATATTCAGATTTAAAATCTCTCGAAAAATTCCATAAGGCTAACAAAGTTGTATCGAAAGAGAAAAAATGGGTAGTAAAGGAAAAGTCTGAAAACAACAAAAAAACATATAAAAACTACAGAAAGGAAGAAATGGACTATTTCTTATTTCTCGTGGGTGAAAAGAGTATGTACGTTCGTGGGGCAACTAAACAAATAGGTGTTCCTGCTAGTACAGTTACTTTATGGTACAAAAAAGTTTTGTGGATCCAAACGAACTTGTCAACAAAAGAAAACCCGGAAGCGGAAGGCCTGCGGGAAGGCCTCATATCTTGAACGATGCCCATCGCGAGTATCTTATCAATTTGGTTGACGAAGATGATTCAGGCATGACCTTGGATCAAAAAAGGGATATATTAACCAGGGACTTTGAAGGACTTGAGATAAAAAAATCTGCCTTCCATACTTTTGTAAAGGAAAAGTGCAGAATAAGCTGTAAGAAATCTTATTTCTATCCTGAAGATAGAAACAGCCCTGAAAAGATTGAGGAGAAATACAAGTGGGTTAAAAATCTGTTGGATAATACTGATATTGATTATCAAACCGACTGTACTTTTATTGACGAAGCAGGATTGCATATCGATATGAAATGCTCTTTTTCTTGGTCTCGTGTCAGCAATCGCGCTATTGTTAAGACACCAAAAACCAAGACCAAAATGATGACTATTTTGGGCGCTATTTCTCCTTATGGAGTTGTAAACGTAAAGGTCAGGATACCAAAAGTAACAGCATCTAAAAAAAGAAAGCTTGGAAAGGAGAAAAAAGAAAAAAACATTTAAGTTGGCCATTACTTCAACTTTAATGTCGATACTATTCATATCTTGGATCAGTACGAGGAATTTAATGGGAGCTATTTTGTTATGGATAATGTCCCAATCCACAAGCATCAGGATACAGTGACTCACAAAACCGGCCCAATGTTTTGCATTTTTCCCTTTGATGATGTATTACTCATTATTGGAACAAGCTACATACACAATTCTTATATTATTATAATCGCTGAAAAGCTTTCTATACAGTGGGTGAAAAAAATGTTCACGTGTTTTAAGATTCAGCACAAATCTGGCTATTACTCGACATACAATAAGAATATTGAAATGAAATAAAAACCGAACGAAAGCTAAGATTTTACTTTATTTATGACAAATTTGGAAATTTTATTTACTTGTATATATGACAGTTAATATGAGTTTAAAAATAAGAAATCACGTGAACAATTTTTTCCCTTGGCATATGTTGTTGGTTAATAACGCGTTGAGCCCCCTTTAGCAGCAAGTACAGCTTGAATACGGGCTGGCATACTTTCTATATACCGTCTACATTCATCCTCTGTAAAAGTGTTCCACTCTTTATCAACACGTTCCCATAGTTCATGAACACCTTTAGCTCTAAGGTCGTATGCGCTGAGCTTCAACTTCAGATGATGCCAAAGGTGTTCAATTGGATTCAAGTCAGGACTTTGAGGGGGCCAGTCATCAATCCAGGTTACACCATGATCTTCAAACCATTTTTTGGTTGAGTTGGACGTATGTTTTGGGTCATTATCCTGCTGAAAGTAAATGTCATCCCAAGATAAACCATAGTAATCCAGTGAATCTTTAAGCGTAGTACCTAAAATATGCTGATAATCAACTGAATTCATATTACCATCATACACTTGACATGCATAACCTGGTCCCCAATAGGTCATACAGCCCCAAATCATGATATGGCCACCACCATGCTTGACTGTAATATCAATATGATGTGGTCTCAATGGGTCGCCAGGTCTTGTCCAGTAATATTGGCAGCCGTCTGACCCCCAGATGTTGATTTTACTCTCGTCTGAAAATACTACACGTTTCCAGTCATCAATAGTCCAATGCTGATATTTTTTGGCCCATTTGTATCGCTTTTGTTTGTTGGTATTGCTGATCATAGGCTTCTTCTTTTTTATTGACGCAAAAAAATTCATTGATTTCAGAACATTAATTGCTATCTTGTAGCTTAAATCATAACCCAGTGACAGAAACTTTTTATGAACATCATGAGCAGTTCAAAGGCTACCTGTTAAGTAGTAATCGCCTAACCAAAGACTTGGATCCCTGGGTGATAGTAGGTGGTCTTCTTGCATGGTATGGTTACTGTTATGATTGTAGTCGTCTCTATAACTAGGTTAATAGAAATAAACCATCATTTATTTAAATAATAAAGAGGTTATTCATATAAAACTTGTACATTGAACTTCACAGCGTAATATTCATTCTACATGCAGTTTTAATAATAGTCATTGTTAGAATGTTCGAGCAATAATAATAATTATATACATAATTCAAACAGGATTATGACTGGTGTATTTAATTAGATGATTATTCATGAATAATACATATCATATAAACATTGATAATATTGAATATTGTTGTGTAATAAGATATTATACAATGATAATGATAGTAACTTATGAATAATTAGTATTGCTGTAGCTGAACATATTCACTGAGAATTAATATTGAAATGTTGCGCTCCAGTGATAATGATGCGTAGTGTTTCTAGGAACGGCGACAACATATGGAGAAAAAAGAATAAATATATATTTTATTGATTACAGAATTATTCGGAGACAATGTTTTATGTAAAACACTATTATAGTAAAACTGGCTTATCTGAATCCTATTTCCGTCGGTAACACTTACCTCGTAAAAACATATAAATAGCCCTCGATATTTTTCATATAATTTTTAGTTGAACAATTTTTTTGTATGATCCTTAATAAACTATACAAAGTTTTCACAGAATTGTCTTCTGTTCATTTTTCTTTCTTTATCTTTTACTAACCAAAACACCTTCTTCAGATTTAATGCTACATAAAGCTTGTATTATGTGTGTTTCCAATTCAGGATTAATTATTTTGTGACTGTTAGTTTGTGTTTCTTCTTGCTGTTCTACGTCTGCAAAGCTCTCTGACCGAAAGTATTGTTCACTGTCTGAGAAAAAATACATTGTATCAAGTCCCATGTGCGTATTTAGCCTCCAGAATTATATTCAGCTTGGTGTGGTTTAAATACACCAATTGCCTTAAAGATAGAACAGCCGCTAAAAAATGAGCAAATGACGCTGCGTAATTTTCATTTTTGGATACTGAAAAAGTGTCTTTCCTGTATGTGATCAAGTGATCTTTTGAAACGAATCATGTACCATATAATGTGAGTTTTAATCCTTGACATTTGCATGTAATAACCTCAAGCTGTTTCATAATTTCTGTACTTCCAAGACGGCTGGTCCATTTCTTTAGCAAAGCTTTCTGTAATGCTTTCCCCTTTCTCATATCACTTCTCACACCTTTTAAGTTGGGTTTTTTTTCTGTCGAGAGATAGTTGTTATTGTCATTAATATTTCTTAAAGTAAAATATACCCATTGATTGTCAACATCTTCAAATTCTTTGGTGAAATTGGACTAGCAGTCTGTTTTCTCTGTAGTGAATTTATGATCGTATATAAATGTATTATCGAAAACGGCTGAGTGCAAAAGAATAGGAAAGAGAAAACAGAAAAGACAGGACTGTAAAAACTCGGTATAAGTATACTGAAAGAAAAAAGGATACAAAAATTGTACAAAAGGAAAATATATGGAAATATGACAAGGGCTGTTTATATGTTTTTGCAAGATAAGTGATATTTGTGATGGTAAGTATGATAATAAAGAAAAATGAAAAGAGAAAGGGAACAAAAGGAAGTATAGTTTGAGACTGTTTTATTCAATTAAAAATGAAAAAGTAAGAATTGAAAGTTAAAGATTATTTTATGTCTACAAAACTGCTTGTATTTATATTAATGAATCTTGAATCAAAGAAATAAAAATAGCTGTCAAAGAACATGAGTCATGAAACAGTGTTAGTATTCAAATATACATTGTATTGATTCAAGAAACTGATTTATATAGAATATCTATTGAATGTTATAATGATCTGATTAAGTTTTAAATAAAAAATTTATTGTTTGATCTGAGCGTATGCTCCTGATATTTTTTTTATATTTTATTTTATTAAATCAAAGACGACCTGAATCCTTTGTCAAGATTAGAAATGATACGATGTCTTATTTAGTTGATACATTTAGATGATTGTATGTCATCAAATTTTATATTAGTTATAGGATGTTATATACAATAATATGGTACGACACTTCACTTTATATTCATGTTTATAGATTATTCTATATTACTTAGTCCATCTTTTATAGCGTTACTTATGCTTATTTCCGCAGCTTATTCTATACCAATTAAGTCAATATTTTTGCAGGTTAATGGTCTAACCATATCTCATATGCAACTAAAGACACTTTGAATCAGATGCATATCATATAATAAGCCTGGTAGTACACTCTTCAAATCTTTTTTTCACAAACAAATTGTTGGAGACTATTAAAAATTAGGCTGGATGAATATGATACACCTTCAAAGTACGTAAATTAGCTGTATGAGAGCATTTTCTGGATTTGGCACCGTAAAATCACTACAGAACAGTACCCGAACGTAGTAGAAACTAAGCCAAATCGTATTCAACAATGTACTAAGGCTGAAGATTACTGGACGGATAACTAATGTTAAACTTATTAACGAAAATAAACTTTCCTATGGTACCATATTATGCACAAAACTGAGCAGATGCTACCTCTATCTTTGAGACATTATTACATTATCAATAATTAACGCTTTCCAATAAAAAAAGTATTAATAAATTGTAACAACCTTCTCAGCCATTATATAATATTCACAACTAGATTGTATTAACGTATTTATACCATAAAAGCGACTATTTAACAAATTTCTAACATTCGCTTATTTTTGTGGCTCATCCTACGCGTATACTTCCTCTTTATTTATCCGATAGCGAAACAAATGTGGTTGTTTTAAGGTCAAGTTTGGTATTCACAAATTTTAGATCACAACAAAAGATACTCTGGTACCAAAAATTACAGACACAACTAACGATGTTGCGGTGGAGGGTTGTCAAGGCTGGCTGCCCAATCTATAAGGTTCCTTAATAGATGTTTAGCTAGAGAAGCGAATACTAGGCTTATTTTTTATGATAAATTGTTATTACACAATACTATATTCTTCAATAAAACCACAGCTGTCATCATTTATGTTTTTCTCCTTTCAGTTTTTGTCGATAAGGATAACTATGACTTATAAATGTTTGTGAAGATTTCTAAGCAACTATGGGACTAACATATCAATGATGTGTAACTTTTGATGAATGTCATTATAAGAGAAAGACAGAGATATAATTTTCAAATTGTATTTGAAGGTGTCTCCAACTCTGTATACTATCTGTCGAAAGCAATATATTATACTATTAAAAGAAAAGAGTATGATTTCAAAATGCATATAAAATAAGAAAAAAAAGGGTAAACTTAGCTTTTGGAATATATTATACTCGTCTTAATTTCATGTGCTATCTTCGTAACATATAAAGTTGTATACGTATCAAAATGTATAGGAGAATTGGGGGTATACTGCTTCCACGACCGCATGTACTAATAGACATTGTGTGTTTTATTAGTGTTGTAAGTGGTTCCCGGTAGCAAATCGACATACAAAGCTGAGCAAGTTACACGAAAGTGGTCGTACAGTGTATGTATATACATCATGATGAATAAGAGTTTTTTCATTTTAAACTACAGTATTGCGCTATAGCGCTATTAATAAACTGAAGTAAAAGCTCTCAGTATCTAAGCCGTTTACTTATGGTATTCTGTGATTTATTTAATGTTAAATTTTATTTCACAAAAATCGGCATAGGTATATTCGTGGGCATAGGTCACTGAAATAAATTTTGGAAATTGTATGTCTAGGTCTAACCACATTTTCACAGTCCGACAGCTGGCATGGTAAGAAATAAACCAAAGTCGCTGACGCTGTCTAATAGTACTAAGAATTGTTCATCGAATATAGACAAGTTCACACAAAAAAAAAACGAATCAAAAATGCAGAAATGCAGAAATGCAGAAAATGCAGTACAATCATGGGAAGAACAATCCAAAAATGACGAAGGAGATGTTCCTATTATTTGTACATACACATTTAAATAAATTTAATGTTTTAAATCGCTTAATTAGCTTATCAGAAAATAATTGATTACTCTTTGGTTTCTGCAAGAACAATACAGAACTGATTGTATTGTCAACAATCTTGTGGTTACGTCTAACTATATACAGTGTCTCACAAAATTAGCTTAATGTATGCACTTCTCCATCAATGATGTATTGCTCGGTGTTATAACAAGGTACACTAAGTGAACGAATTGTTCTAAAAATCCTATAAATCACTTTATAAAGTAATTTTCATGTTAAAACAAATCAGTTAGATGGGTTCTGCTACTTTTGAAAAGCTTAACAAAAAAAGTATTATTATTCAATGTTTATTTCAAGGAGTTTACAATATCGATTAGAAAAAAATTAAGAAGCACCAATTTTGATGAACGGTAACTACAAAAGCTGGCCCACGAAAATCAAATATTAAATTTTTCTTTACAGCTTCACGAGGCATCATGGATAAAGTCTTGTATTTGAACGATATAAAAATATCTCTGCTGTCTTTGTATAAATAATACAGAACAGGAAATGTGGGTCATACTAAGACGATTAATGAAGAATATATTTTATTGAGTTTTTGGATGTAACCAAAATGAAAGTCAACTATCCAGTATTCCGTATAGCTTCCCTTTGATTTGATAGCAGCTTCTGTTTTTGATGGCGTATTCTCATAGTATGCCTTTGTATTGTATTTTGAGAATTTGCTTCATTCGTTATTAAACTGTTTCCAAAGTATATCTATATTTCTAGCATGTGTGGAATATGAACCTTGTTTAGATTTAATGTAATGCCACATATGATAGCTACAAATGTAGATTTGGAATCACTATCCTGCTGAAATAGCACTTCCTTATTATACCAACCGTAATACTTTTATGTATGCATATAGAATATGCTAAGAATTTCGACATACAGCGGGTCACAGTACAGTCGCAATATTTTGCAATCTTCTCTTTAACTAATTTGTTCTTCTCTATAGTTATAATAAAATGATATTTAAAATATCATTGCATAGCTTAAGTAATTTTATAACAAAGTAATACCAAAATTAGTCACTTACTATAAAATTTAGTGTGAAATATTAATTAAAAAAAAAGAAAACAAATTTGCATGAGACAGTACTATGAAGGTAGGTTAGTTTTATTTAATTTAATTAATTACTGAACAACTAATAATCAGTCCAATGACTTTTTGACCTTATAACAGCTTTGCAACGGCTGGGTATAGAGTGGACAACCCATAAACAATCTTCTTTGGTAATCGTATTGTACCATACATCTGTGATTCTTACAAGAAGTTTGCAAATGCCCTTTAGTGGTATCTTGTACATATTAGTTCTCCTTTTTGTGAGAGCCTACATATGTTCTATAGCATTAAAGTCTGGAAACTGCGATGGCCAATCCAAAACCTCGTATTCCTGGCTATTCAAGTATTTTTTGATGGAAATTAACCTGTGTTTTGAATCTTTGTTATGCTGGAAGACAATTACGTATCTTCTTAATCCTGTTTTTTGCGCAGCATTTGATCATATTTCTTTAACTCATCTTGAATGATCTCTTTATACAGCTCTTCGTACATAGTACAGTTTATTTTCCAAACTGTTAAACAGTTTTTAGTTTTTTAGGAACGACCACAATACTGTCGCAATGCAATTTCATTTTTTATTGATTATTATCTCGTGCTAAGTCCTATATTGAATTACTAATTTTGGTATTGGTTTGATAGGGAATTACTTTTCCTATCGAATGATATCTTACATATAATTATACCGTGACTGTAAAGAAGAACAAATTAGTTAAAGAGAAAACTGCAAAACATTACGACGGTACTGTGAGTCACTGTATATGGTCGCTGCATTTAACTTTTGTAACATCTCATTTAATTCAATAGGAAGCTGCTCGATTAGAACGTTGTTCTTATAAGAAGGAAGTTCAACCATCTCTTCACTTGAAAAATATTGCTTCCAAACCTCTTCCTTCGAGCCAAGAATGTATAAATGACCGGGGCTAATAAAATGTTAATGACCAACAAATATTTGTATAAAGGTTAATAGAAAACAGTCGTAAAAAACGAAGGGGTACATAAAGAAAATAAAAAAGGAGAAGAGAAAACATGTCGTTATACTCATAGTCAAAACTACTTACTAATGGACTCTAAAACGTCTTTTACATTTCTTCCAGAACTCAAAGATCATTACTTGGTAATTTTATGGCGGTTATTTTGAAGTGAATTGATGTCGCTATCAGTTAACATTTTCTGGTATTCAAGAGCTGAGGTGCTTTTAGAAGACGTAGGACGTAGTTCTGTTCTAGTACTTGAAATTTGGGAAGGCGTGTAGGTGCTGAGGTTTCTTACTATCAATTCCTTCCATTTGTCTCCTTCTTCATGCTAGTGTTGATAACAATGAATGGAAAAAGGGTCTGGATATTTTGACAAAAATGACAAAAACACTTATAATTAAAGAACAAATAAAGCAAATAACACAGAACAAAATGTATTTAAAAGAGAAAATTGTCTAGTTTTATTGAAATAATTTTCAAGAATTATGATTGGTTGAAAAATATTTAAGCCAGGAGGTTAAAATAGTAATGTATATGCGGACCACATTTCGGGGTACATCTAAATTTTTTAGTACTATGTATAACGGCTCTTAGCATCACTTACTACTGTTTTGAGTACAAAGATAAGGAAAGAGAAAAAAGAAAAGACAAGTCTGTGAAAACTTTGTACAGTTTATTAAAGAAAAATAATACAAAAATTGTACAAGAAGAATATAATATGGAAAAATGACGAGGGCTATTTATATGTTTTATAAGGTAAGTGATATTAATAGGAGTGTGATTTAGATAAGTGAATACTGCTATAATAAAGCCTTTATGCACAAATATGCCCAAATTTTGTCTCCGAACAATTCTGCATGCAGTATGCAGATTCCTGCCTGAGCTGTTGCTGTTATTAAAAATATACCCGATTATTGTCTTTGGGATAAGCAACGCGTTAATATTAATTCAAAGTAAATATTCCCTCTATAACAATATTCAACATTATAGACGTATATATAATATGTATGACTTGTATAAATAATCATATAATTCAATATAACAGTCATAAACCTATTGAATTCTTATTATTACATACATACTGCAATGTATATAATTTTTTTTAATGCTCGAATACTGTAACAAAGGCAAATTCTGAAGTCATAATAACTATTTTCCAAAAGTATTCCGCTAATTTATACTAAATTTTTCAAAACATATTTTTGTCTTTTTCATTCTCAGTTTTTACAAACTAAAAATGATAAAAAAATGTCAAAATTGATGGAATAAAAATACTCAAGTTTGTTTGTTGGGAGATTCGTTAATAAACATGACTGATGAATGCTTAAATTCGATACTGGTCTCTTGTGGAATAACAAAGCGAATTCATATTAAAAAAGAATGTAAAAACGAGTATATATAATTTTATGATATGACTTTAAAGTACGTTTTCTGATCGTTCTATTTCACTAATACTGTAGGTTTGCCCACTTGCATTTTGATACTGTAGAGGATAGTACGATATTTTACTACGCGTATTATATCAAACAACAATGTCTATGCCTAAAACTATCAAATGTTATTGTTAAACCTACTTTAACCAACAAAAAGCCTGTTATTTATGTAAGTGTAATTTAATATTAAATATAGAATGTTTATAGTAATCTGTTGAACAGGATTTTTCCTTGATTAATACAGCTATAGTAAACAATAGCTTAGGATCTTGTATTTGTCTTGATGTTAATAATACCTCCTTATCTGTAAATGAAACTGAAAATAACCAATCTGTGAATGATAGTACTGATACCATAATTGAACAAAAAAGAAGATTAAGTAAACAATGGGAAGATGATTTGAAAAATAGTATCCTAAATTTAGAAAATCTTATTGAAAAGCGAGTATCAGAGTTTAATATATGGAAGAAGAAGCTGATCACACTTAAAAAAATCTTGTTCTTGTTTAATACAATTATTATTTCTGTTACATGTAAAGCAAATATAAGACTAAGTTTTTAGAAGTATCAAAAATACTTGTTTTATGTTATGATTTTATAAGAAAATAAAAAAAAATATCCAATTTGATTTCATCAAATTTTATTATGATTTAGTAGTTGTTGTATAACTTTTTAATTTCATTAACCGCTCTCATCAATTCAATTAAAATAGTTTTTTTCTTCAAAAAATATTTATTAAAAAAAAACCCCATTTTGTAAGTTTTTTATCAACTTACAAGTTTAAGATTTATAATATAAAAGTAATTTTAATTCAACACTCTGCTGATGCTTTTTCAAAATGTCTAAATAAAGAACCTCTCGAACCATGTTAAAATTCTAAGCGCCATTAGGTTGTTATAAGGTCCTATGTTTAGATTTAAGAAATCTGCTGATTGAAAATTTTAAAGACGCTTATTGGATAATTTTTGGTACGCTCATTGATTTTTTCTATTAAATATATTAAACTTTTAACTTCCACTGATTGGATTTTCAAATCCGACAATTGGGGCTATACACACTGTACAATCATTTGAATGCCAAAGGGCGGTTTTAATTTTTCCAAAGGCGGTTTTGATTCATCCAATGGGCGGTTTTTATTTTTTTTCAAAGGGCAGTTTTTTTTTTATTTCAAAAAGGTCGATAATTGAAAATACATTATGATTTAAGAAGAATTTTATTTAAAAATTAAAAAATGACCAATGGGCACATATCATTTTTATATTGTTTTGCTCTGGTCAGATCGCTATGAAAAAAAAGGAAAGAAAAACCCTTTTGGGATAAAAGGGAAAATGTTAAAGTATATGTATAAGTCATCATAATTAACTATCAGAAATCCGTTTTTATATTGAAAGAAGATGATCGACAAAGGGTTCACCAAGATGGTCAGAGGGTTCAGGGATTTAGGAGTGTGCTAGATAGTCCATCTCAAGCAGAATTGCACATATAGAAGACCAGCGTATGAGCCAGGCAACAATTGATTTTCTCACTTTCTTAGTATGGAATGTTGATGGTATTAGGTTCAAGAGATAAGAGAGTGGATCTTCAATAGATTTGGGCATCTGAAGGCGGTTATGCATATACAAACAAGAAAAACTATGTGAGCGTGTGAAGAGTTCGTTTGGATGGAAGGGGCAGGCTTGGAGTTTACCAAGAGGTAACCAACCAAGTCGCCATCGCACGCAACGAAACCGCTCACTTCTTGTCATTAGTATCGTAAGAATAGGGTCGACAATTAGATTACTACGGCAATGGGATTAAAGTTTCGAATATTTTTCTTGTAGTTTTGAGTGGTAGCTGTCAAGTAGGAATCGTCTTCGTTTTCTACTAAAATCCGTATGAGACGTAGTATTAAGATTTTCATTGCAAACTGATATCCATAGAGGAGATTTGGATAGTTGGGACCATTTTGATTTAGTTTGAGACTGTATGTATGGTAGCAATTTCGTCAATAATGCATCATTTGGTAGAAAGGAGGATCTAAAAAGAAATTGTGCCTGGAGTATTGAAATACGATCTTTCATGTTAGGTAAATTTGTTAGGTGTAACATTACTTTTGTTGAGGTGAAAGGTTGTCCACCGAAGATTTGACGCATACATTAATTTTGGCAGTTTTCTAGAGAGCGGATTTCTCGTAGGTTGAAGGTTGTGATCGCTAATCCATATGTGATGGAACGTAATATTTAAAAGAGAAATAAAAGAGAAAGAAAAGAAGAGAGAAAGGGAACAAAAGGAAGTATAGTTTGAGACTGTTTTTATTCAATTAAAATAAAGAATAAGAATTCAAAGTTAAAGATTATTTTATGTCTACACAACTGCTTGTATTTATATTAATGAATCCTGAATCAATGAATCCTGAATCAAAGAAATAAAAATAGCTGTCAAAGAACATGAGTCATGAAACAGTGTTAGTATTCAGATATACAAGTCTTGTTGACTCAAGAGATTGATCTATGGATTATCTATTGGGCGTTATAATGATCTGATTAAGTTTTAAATAACAAATTTATTGTTTAATCTGAGTATATGTTCCTGATATCTTTTATGTTTTATTTTATTGGATCAAAGACGACTTGAATCCTTTGTTAAAGTTATAATAATAAATATTTAGAAATGATACGATGTCTTATAATTGATACATCTAGACAATTGGATGTCAATAAGTTTTATATTACTTACAAGATGTTATATACAGAGTTTTATTTCATATCCAGGCTTATAGTTTATCCTTTATTATGTAATTCATCTATTATAATATTACTTATGCTTATATCCAGAGCTTGTTCTATAACAGCGAGGAGGGTTCCACGAACCACGAATCCAAGTTTGCTTTGTAGACACTTCATCATCAATTGGACGAGGAGCTCGACTTTTCGTGGACTTTTGTTGACCACGGGATGATATGAGATGATTTTTGTGGATATTATAGATTTCAATACATTGATCTTTAAAACACAATAAATTGAATGCAAGTTCCTTGTATTTTTCAAGTGAGTTCAATGAAGCATCGACTACTGAATCATAATGTTATGTTCCTGTATAAAGACCATTGTCTCGAAGTTCAAGTTTAATAAAATAAATCTCCATCCCACAGATTTGCAGTGAATTAACATTATCAATGTGACAGCTATTCAAAATAAATCTGCCAACAATCGCTTTGCTCTCAATTAAAACCTTGCATTGATCAGAATTAAACTTTATACTTCCTGGATTCTCTTCAGCTGCCTCAATAACTCCAATTTCATTCTCGACGTTGTACCTCTGCTTCATACTGTCATGTATAATACAAAGATCAACTTTGAGCACCATATCACCAATTGTGTCATGCAGCGTTAAATGCATATCACCCCATTTCAAGCGTAAACCACTGAAGTAAAATAATCGTTGCGTAATCGGGCCCCAAAACTTCACGATGTAATCCCATTCTGAAGAGTTCGCAGTATCTGAGAATAAATCCGGTTCATGTTTAACTGCCATCAAAATCTGCAACATAAAATGTATACAAAAAGAAATATCTGATCTGTTTTGCTTACGTCAATTTCAGGATCGTTTTGCTCCGCCAACGTTTTAGCCTGAACGTAAAGGGCTTTCCCATTTTTATCAGAAGTTTTTGCTAGGTTATACGCTTTAAATATAGGCTTTAATATTTCGCTAATATATGCGTATTCTGTAGAGACGTGTTTCTTTTGTTTATTTGTACGTTTGAGATACAACCATTGCCTATTGCTGAAAAGAGTTGATTGTGCGTCGGGATATTCATAGCTAAGGTCGAGAATCGAATTCAAGCCAAGTGATACAATTGCTTTTCCGTTGGAATCTAGGTTATGATGCTCTTTACGTAATGTGCAAGCTTTTGTTTCTATTATATAACCGACTGATTCTTCTTTTTCTGGTACAAAACGCTTCTCATGTTCAACTATTCTAACTGCACTTGATTCACCGAGTTGTTGTTTGATCTTCAATTTTTTTTTCATTGAATTGAGCGCCTTTGTTCCTTCATATTGAACATTGACGAAGAAATACTCTTTAGCCAAATCCTGGCTCTGTGTGATATTTCTTTTAAAATATCAAATAATAAAATATTAGAAAATAGAAAATAATATTAAGACAAAAAGAGTCAACGAGACCGAACAGTAGTTCTGAAGTCAACTATTTTTATTTATGAATTTAAATTGATGGGGTATTTATAAGAATTGTTAAAGAGGTCTGAGGATAAGATGTGAATCAGAAAAGTGTTAGTTACGACCGAATAAGGTATGTTGTTGATAATGAAGTGTTAATCATTTTATTAGATGGAATGGATCAAGAGAGATTCAGGAGATTCTAGATAGAGCTCCTTGAAGAAATTTATGATCCACATGTTTAATCAAGAAACATGACATTATAAGTCAGCTCATGACAAGTTTATTAAGAATAATACAAAAACTGCACAATGAAAAATTATATGCAAAATGTCGAGGACTATCTATAAGGCTTTACAAGGTAAGTGATTATTGATAGAAATATGATTGAGATAAGCAAGTATTACTATAATAAAGTGTTTTATATAAAACATTGTCTCCGAATAATTCTGTAATCAATAAAATATATTTTTATTCTTTTTTCTCCATGAGCTGTCTCCGTTTCTAGAAACATAACGAATCATTATCACTGGAAGTGCAACACATCAACATTAATTCTCAGTGAATATGTTCAGCTGCAATAATACCAATTATTTATGAGTTACTATCGTTATCATTGTATAATATCTTATTACATAACAATATTCAGTATTATCAATGCATATATGATATGTATTATTCATGAATAATTATATGATTGAATACACCAATCATAATTCTGTTTGAATTATGTATATAATTATTATTAGTGCTCGAATACTATTATCAAAACTGAGTGTAGAATGAATATTATGCTGTGAAGTACAATATACTGGTTTTATATAAATAATCTCCTTATTATTTAAATAAAAGATGATTTATTTCTATTCATTTAGTTGTAAAGATGACTACAATCATAACAACTATCTCTAGTGTTGCGCCCATTGTAATGGAGCCACCTCGATTAGCATAACACTTTACTACTACACCTCTTGTCTGCTGTTCTTATAGTTATTTTGTCTTGTATCACTAATGTAGTTGATACGACCATTATGTTTTATTGCCATAAACATACTGTAAAGTTCACGTTGTTCAACCATGAGGTGGTCTATTTTATTACGATCATCATATTTACTGTTATATAACAAGCTCTGGATATAAGCATAAGTAATATTATAAAAGATGAATTACATAATACAGGATAAACTATAAACCTGAACATAGAATAAAACAACATATATATGCACATCATATTATACTGTATATAATATCCTATAAATAATATAAAACTACCTTATTGACATCCAATCAGCTAAATGTGTCAACTATAAGATATTGTATTATTTCTAAATATTTATTTTTATAACCTTGATAAAAGTTCAGATCGTCTTAGATCCAATAAAATAAAAATATAAATGACATCCGGAACATACACTCAGATCAAGCAATAAATTTTTTAATTAAACCTTCAATCAGGATAAGTATATATTTATAACACCCAATAGATGATAATCCATAGATCAGTCTCTTGAATCAACACAATACATATCTGAATACTAGCATTGTTTCATGACTTATCTTTTTTATAGCTATTTTTATTTCTTCGATTCAGGATTCATTAGTATAAAGAAATACAAGTAGTTGTGTAGACATGAAATAGCCTTTATATCATTCTTTTTACATTGAATAAGCAGTCTCAAACTATACTTCCTTTTGTATTCTTTCTCTTTCTTTTCTTCTTTTATTTTTTTTTTTATATAGGTCATACCATTACAATTACAAACTTGATTGATTAGTGTGTGTTGTGAAGAGTAAAACATAGTTGATGATTAATTAATTCAATAGAATCAGATACAGATTGCTTATTACGAAAAGAAAGAGATAATAAAAGAAGTAATTTATTGTGGTGTTCCAATATGTTTACTTTCTTATTATTATCGTTGCATTTATCTTGGATCTACACATAAAATAAGTTGAAGAAAGCATTAAACAACACTATTGAGATTGTTGTGATTTGGGTCGTCGTTAACCCTACTTCCTGATAATCATTTTCAATCCTTTGCTTCTCTTTTCATTTAAACAAGATAAATAGATATTTATTATCATTAGAAAACATATTTTTTCTCAAAACATCAAACAATATAACATTATATACATATAAACGATGCATTTATTTGTGAAAACCTTAATAAAATACTGTTTCAAAAGAAGGCTTCACAAAATTAGTCTCTGGACCAAGCAAAGATCTACTGCGATTGTCATATCTTGTTTTTAAAGATAACATTTCATTCTAATAAAAAATTATTAGATTTTTTGAATTTCAAATAGATTTATACATACAAATATAAACATAAAGCTTTCAACAGCTCTTGGAATGTTAACTAGATTATGATATTCATCAATCAAACAAAATTGTCTGAGAGTCGTAGGTAAATAAATACCATCTTCAGTCAAAGTCATTTTGATCAGAGAGCAGGTGAACCCTTTCATAATTGAATAATAACAAGTTACGTTTAATAATAATATAATAACCGATATGCGAAATATTATAGATTACCTTCACAAAGAATACCAAGAGACATTGGTGACAAAACCTTCAATGATACTTGATAGTTAATGGAATTCTTTAAATGTTTCATTAACTTTACAAAATCATCTTCGGCTTGATATGAACTTTTTACGTTGGGCCTTTTAGCCTCAATAAAAAAAAAGTTCAAGCATCGCTTTCTGTCTTTTATACCTAACATTAGATCAGGCTTTTTTCTTTCTTTTCTATCAACTGAATCAATCCTATTCATCAATATTATAATTAATTTGGTATAGCTTTGGAAGGTTCAATACGTTTCAATATCACTTACGTTGAATATTCAATATAATCTAGTTGTGAAAAAATTGCTTTAATGAATGGAGTTATATGCTTCTGTATAAATGTTGATTCAGACTTTTTATTTATTTTGTATTTGTCTTTTAAGAAAGCTTTGCACAATTCTTTAATAATTTTATCTATTGTATTCAATGGTTCAAACTTAATATGATCAATAACACCATTAACATCAGAAGCCTATATATTTTTTAAAGTAAAATATTGTTATTGTAACTTCTTTGTTATATGTATAGAAAACCTTACATCTATTAAGTTTTTGCAATACTGCAAAGCACCGTCACTTGCTTTGGAAAATATTGATTTTCCACGTACATATTCATACATATCCTCTTGTATGTTTTTGATATAAGTTGTGACACAACGCTTTTCATTAAATATATTTATTGGAAAAATAAAGGAAAGTGATCTATTCCATCAAGGGTTAGTCAAACAGCTTTGTTATTATTCTTTCTTAAAGTAATAATAATAATTACAATATTCTAATAGGATTAATATTATTAGTTTTTTCCGCAAGTAAAATATTTTTTCTCCTGAATATGTCCAATTTTTCAGTTATATTATTTCCATTTAAAACCAACTACAGCATAAATATTTAGTTAAATAAACATATTTTTAATGTGCAACTACATATTACATTTGTTTTTGGACTCCAATCTTTTTGACCTTTGCCTTTAAGATAATTAAGCTTCTTCTTTCTTTTCACTTCAGTATCAGATATTGATGAATCAGAGTTATTACTATCTGTATATCGGTTATTATCAATTACAAAATAAGAATATTTCTCTTTATTTTATGCTTTTATTTCTTTACCAAACACGCGCTTCTTATAATTCAAATATGAGACTAATTCAGATTCATGAGATTCTTCTAATGCTTTTTTAATTTCTTTAACCATTTTAACAAAATTATATGAGATAAACAAGAGATAAAGTGGTGTATTTGTTGAATTTTGTTTGAATATTATTTAACCGTGTTTTGTTTTTTTTTAAAAGGTTATATTAATTTATGTACGATTTATGCACCTGATCAGGAGAAGTGTTTATCAGATACATTTGTGTGTCACAGAATTTACGACAATTTAAATATCTGACTATTAAAAGTCTAGTCAGAAGGTCGTTGGTGGTGCTCTCTAACAATACTTAAACTTGGGATTGAGACAAAGAGGAATATTGTTTAGACCAATGAGACTCCGGTTTAGACGAAGAGAAAAAAAATGAGACGAATCAATGTTAATTTTTAGACAAGTAAGGATTATTTTGTAGATGATTTATCTATAAATATCTAAATTGTCCTTTCAAACAAAATCGTGTTCTCCACATTGATTTCTCTTTTGAAGACTAAAGGTCTTCCTTTGCCCTCCCAAACAGAAAGCGAAGTACCCTGCATGTTTTTGCTTGCATTTGTATCTCAGTCGCAAAGTATATGGCAGAGTTTACAATCTACTATACCTTAAAAATATTTCTGTTCGGAAAGCTTCATTGTCTTAAGCACTTTTTTTTTGTAGCTGTTGCACACCTAAATATGTGCAGCTTAAAATGTTAGTAATAGAAACTCTCTCAATACTTGAAAACAGTAACAATACTGGCATTGGAGGTTCTAAACTCATTGATGTCTACCACTACAGATCCAAAGGTTATAGACCTTAGTTGAAGCTCTCTTTGAAGCACTCTAGTGGCACCAAAAGCGTGATCCTTGATTACTACCATATCGTTATTCTTCATACCTTCAGCAAAAATAATGAGAGGAATGACATCTGAATTTTGAATGAACTTTTCTTCAGCCACTTTACTTTTTTTTTTTTTTTTTTTTTTTTTTTTTTTTTGTAGTTTAAAAAAAGTGCTAGATTACATTGTTAATACATGTACCCTGTTTCAATTAAGAAATATATATGTATAGTTGAACAAACCCTTTATCTTGTGTTGCCTTCTTGTCTATGCTTTTCCTTTCTCTGCTTTCTGTTCTTTATGGTGTCCTTTCTTTTTTTTATTGTACTCTTTACCCCTATTGATAAGTACTTTTGCTATTTCAGCATTGGCCCTCTGTCTTCCTTGGTAGTTATTGAATCGAAAAGGAGAAGATTTATAGCTGTAAAACTGGAATAGACGAGACAATTGTACAGGTAGATACCGGATATGTTCTTGAAACTTTTCATTACTAACAGTCTTAGCAGTGTGCAGGTCAGTCTCAATTGTTTCAAATTATGTATGTTGAGTCTTTAACCGCTCCACATATGTAGCTCTTCTATTGGTACCAGTATAGCATGCTTTTTCTTTGCCACTATAGCGCCGTATTTCCAGTTCTTCGGTAGAGTGAGCAACAGTAGTAGTAAATGTCTGCCTCCTTCCTGTATCTAAAGCACATGGCAGAAAGTGTTCTTTGACTTCATCGGCTTGAAAGTCTTCCAAAATTAAATACATTTAGATTTGTTTCTTTCTTTGGTTTATATCGAGCAAAAATAAAACAAGCCCCAAAATTATCTAACATCATGAAGCACATGAAGCGTACTTTGCTTTTCGGTGATAAAAGTTATTCAAGACTGAACAAAAAATAAACGTAAAGTATTTGTATTTTTACAAAGAGTATTGCTTGTACAAATTTAGTTTCTTACCTTTCAAATCGAAACTTTTTAGAATCAAAAGTAGGGTAAAACTGTTCAATGTTTTCTCTATAGATTGTACCGGATTTTTTCTTTACAATAGTAGCAAGAGATATACAATTGATAGATATATACTTCCAGCGCAAGCTAGGAGTAGGTGCAAGCGACAAACTTCTTGGCTTATCTAATGGATCAGTGCAGTTGCTACAGAATGATTCCAACTCACTAATAATATACCCTAAAACAGATATAAACTTGGTGGGTGATGCAGTTATATTTGTAGTATTAGGTGAGATTAAAAGCCAATTTTTGAATTTTTGAATTATTCCAGTGATCTGGTAAACATGTGCAATACGGACTAAATCAAATTGTTTGGGCCACTTTGGGTTTCCATTGGAACCTAAAAGGCGCTCATAACAGTATTTTTCTGCCATCATATATAGAAATCCCTTCGGCATGCCCTATTATAGACTTTTGAGTTTAGTACGTGTCAAAAATCAAGTGTACATACATAATTGTGTATAATTATATATACATGTATAAAAAAAAACTTTTTAACTTGTATACATCTTTTAACTTGATTTGCAGGAAGTATACTAATCTATCTTTAAAAATCTCAACAATATGATTGAGATAAGTTGTTCCAAGCGTAACACGAGCAGCAGATAGAGAATCGCTATACCATGTAATCATACGATCTTTCAAAATAAAACTAATGTACGGATGTGTCTGTTGGAATGCAGCAAACGAAAAAAAAAAACGATTTCATTTGACAAGAAATTTTTGTTCGTAACTTCCTGGCCCGTGATAAGTTGTGATATAGAGTATCAAAAGTTTTTTTTTGTTTTATTGCAGATAAAAAATCAGAATCTTGATTGAGGATTGTACGAAAAGTGACATTTTTGATAAACTCACTAAGTTTTATAACTTTATCAGTAAATAAAGCTTTATGTGAAGGTCGTAATACAGATTCTAGGTATAACTTTCGTGTGAATTTTTCCATACTCCCACCAAAATCTTTCTGAAGCATTTCTGTTAATGTTTCCTTATATTTGGGGCACTGTTTGGATTTGACATTAAGATGTCCATGTTCTTCACAAGAACCACAGATAGGAACAGCACAACAACAACTACTACTACTGCCAGTTTTTTCTTAATCCAAACGCATTTGTTTACCCTTTTGCTTATCAATCTTTGTCACATAATCATCCTTTGTAGGTCCCTTTTTTTTCTTGCGCCTATATAATATTTGCATAAATAGTGTTAATAAAATATCTACGTTTAACTTACAACTAAACATTAATAATTACTTTTGATGTACTGAGAACATAAATAACTTTCTTTATGTCTATAACCTTCAATGACACAATCTTAGCATTTCATTACTTCTATATAGTTATTTGAAGTACATGATACAATTAAAAAATTGGGTATATAATCGTATTATTGCAGACTTACAACTTTTTTTCTTTGCATCTTTTTGCTTTAGATATTCCACACGTTTCAAGAAGGGCATGTTAGAGTATTGAGAAAAGCGAGAGAGAAAGAGTGTGATAGAGAAAAAAAAACCTGGCTCGTTCTGGATAAAACTAACATATTTATCATTTTTTGAATGCAAGTTACACACAGGTATATATCAGTTTTAAATTTATCAAGCAAATACTCAGTGTACAACTATTGAACTCTAATGTGAGTAGTTGCCCTCTCTTATTATTTATGCGATTTCAGCGTCATATGATATGAAAAATGGTCATTATATTGAATCCAAATCATGCAGTTGTCTTTATTATAAAATAAAGAATTTGATAGATACAATAAATGTTGATACTATCTGTACAAGGAAGACAGTTATTTCATTCTTTGACTAAGCTAATAGTAATGTCGAATCGCCACAGAAGTGCTTATTAAAAAATATTCAATTTATGTTCTTGTAAGTCGAGATAGTACACATTAATTGTGCAATACAATATGACTGTATTAGTTTTTTTTTTTTTTTTTTTTTTTTTTTTTTTTTTTTTTTTTAACATCAGAGTTAATCAGTGGTTATTCGGGAACAATTATATTATAACTGGAATGTCAATGGTGCATTTTATTAATTGACTCAAGAGGGCAGATTGTCAAACTACGATACAAGTGTTTTTTAGGCAAACAATTTCAAAATATTAATAAATATATACACATGGCATTGATAATATACTCGTTCTATTTTATTTTTTACTTCAAGGGCCAACTGCTATCATTTTGGAGCGTCTAAAAACGTAACTTGATTGATTTAAATAAAAACATTATAATTTTATTTAGTAAGAACAGTCTCAATCTCAAGTTGAAAAATTGTGCATAGAAGGGGGCCCTCAGAACCGGGTGCACTACTAGTGAAATAGCTACTCAACTAAAAGTGCTAATATTCTTGTAATGCCTCTGAATTTTATCTTACTAATCTTTTTTTTCCAATTACTTTGTTACTCTCTAATTCATTATATTTATTTTATCTTTTACACATATACTTTTATCCTTTTCCCTTTTGTCTCATAAGAGGGCTTTTCTTACTTATATATTATTAGAACTGGCTAGGGGCAATACAGCAGATGAAAAATGCTGTGTGCTCATTTGGTCAAAAAAAAAATTTATAAAAATAAAAATTCAATTTTAAACGTACGTAAAAGGGGGTGATGCAGTTATTTAAATTATTGTGCTCATTATGGCCATTTTTTTTTCTTTAATAAATTTATCATTTAATCATACATAGAAGGGTAAAAAGAAGTAAGTTTTTTTAGCCTTTTATTCATCAATATGTTTAATTTATCAATAAATCTGTATATCCTTTGTAGTAATTTAACCAATCCAAATAACAAAAAAAGTAATATTTTTCCATTAAGCCCCTAATTAATTCTTTTTTCTCCCAATTTTTGATTCCATCAGAATCAGCATTCAAGATGTTACATTAATCTCATCCGCACAGTAGCAGGGTTCCTTTTCTTTTTCCAAGAAGAGGTGTCATACATGCTTGATAAAAAGGTTTGCTAGCAAGGATAGCCTTTTAGAAACTGTTGTTCCTTTCTAGGTATATGAAAATATGTCGTTACGCGAGGACCTTTTTCTATACTTGCTAGCTCCCTTTTGACCATCCTTGTTGCGTCATTCGTGTAGAATTTTGATCAACCAGGCTCTTGATCCTCACGTCTTGATTGGTTTCAAGGTAAGCTACGTGCAAACTCTAAAGAGACAGTCTAAAAGCTATCCAGTTAAGTACTATTAATTCATAAATATACTTACTTCTCTAATCAATTCAACTCTTTTTTTTTTTTTTTTTTTTTTTTTTTTTTTTTTTTTTTTTTTTTTTTTTCTTTTTCTTTGCCTACTTTTCCGTAGGAATCAGAATCAGCATTCAAGACGTTACATTAATCTCATCCGCACAGTAGCAGGGTTCCTTTTCTTTTTCCAAGAAGAGGTGTCATACATGCTTGATAAAAAGGTTTGCTAGCAAGGATAGCCTTTTAGAAACTGTTGTTCCTTTCTAGGTATATGAAAATATGTCGTTACGCGAGGACCTTTTTCTATACTTGCTAGCTTCCTTTTGACCATCCTTGTTGCGTCATTCGTGTAGAATTTTGATCAACCAGGCTCTTGATCCTCACGTCTTGATTGGCTTCAAGGTAAGCTACGTGCAAACTCTAAAGAGACAGTCTAAAAGCTATCCAGTTAAGTACTATTAATTCATAAATATACTTACTTCTCTAATCAATTCAACTCTTTTTTTTTTTTTTTTTTTTTTTTTTTTTTTTATTTTTCTTTGCCTACTTTTCCGTAGGAATCAGAATCAGCATTCAAGACGTTACATTAATCTCATCCGCACAGTAGCAGGGTTCCTTTTCTTTTTCCAAGAAGAGGTGTCATACATGCTTGATAAAAAGGTTTGCTAGCAAGGATAGCCTTTTAGAAACTGTTGTTCCTTTCTAGGTATATGAAAATATGTCGTTACGCGAGGACCTTTTTCTATACTTGCTAGCTCCCTTTTGACCATCCTTGTTGCGTCATTCGTGTAGAATTTTGATCAACCAGGCTCTTGATCCTCACGTCTTGATTGGTTTCAAGGTAAGCTACGTGCAAACTCTAAAGAGACAGTCTAAAAGCTATCCAGTTAAGTACTATTAATTCATAAATATACTTACTTCTCTAATCAATTCAACTCTTTTTTTTTTTTTTTTTTTTTTTTTTTTTTTTTATTTTTCTTTGCCTACTTTTCCGTAGGAATCAGAATCAGCATTCAAGACGTTACATTAATCTCATCCGCACAGTAGCAGGGTTCTTTTTCTTTTTCCAAGAAGAGGTGTCATACATGCTCGATAAAAAGGTTTGCTAACAAGAATAGCCTTTTAGAGTTTGATGACGTCCTGATTAAAGTCCTTCTCAATAACGTAGCCTCCACTAGGTTTTCTCCAAATATCAGAATATTACAAGATTTCATATTATCTCCTCTTTTCTTCACTCTATTTTATATTAACAATCTATTGACCTAACATATTATGCTTTCATTGAAGTCCATTATTTGACCGATTCCAATCTAAGTAGCTCTTAGTTTACCTAACCTTGTTTATGCTGATATTACAGTCCTTAAATAGCAAATTTCTCCTTCTCCTTGTAGACTTTTCTTAATCTTTGTAAAGATCAATCATTATACCTTAGAATATATAGATGAAAGCTACACAGTTGTGTTGTATTTGCCTCCCTCAAATTTCTGTCCCAGTCTTACGCTCTTAATGAATATTATGATTGTAATTGACTTTATAACCAAGTGAATAGAAGCAAAGCATCATTTGTTAAGCAATAAAGAGGTCATCCAAATAAAAACTAGTATATTGTACTTTACATCATCCTATATTCATTCTACATTCAGTTTTAATACTAGTTGTTGTTAGAGTATTTGAGCTTTCATAATAAGTATATACATTGTATTATTTAATAATAAGGATTCAATAGGATTATGACTGTTATTTTCAGTTACATAATTGTTTATAAATCATACATATTATATGTACAGCTATGATGTTGAATAGTGTTATGTAATAATATCTTAGAGGATGATGATAATAGTAGCTTACCAATAATTGGTATTGTTGTGGCTGGAATATTCACCGTGAATTAGTATTAACGCATTGTTTACTTCCAGAAATAATAATTCGATATATATATATATATATATTAGTAACAGTGACAGCTCAGGGAGAATAAAGATAAAAATAAAAGAATATCTTATTGTATGCAGGATTATTTGGAGACACTATTTAGGCATGATTTCTTATTATTCCAGTATTTGCTTTCCCAAAGATTATATTTCTATTAATATCACTCACCGTATATATATATATATATATAAAACTCATGCTGCAACTAGTGATGATATGAGTCTTGATATTATTTAAAGAAAGTTACATACATACATACATACATACATACATACATACATACATCTATTCGTGCGCTTATATCTAAATAATAGATCTAGATATTAGAGCTAGATCACATAAATAAATTGATAGTATCTATTATAGTAATTAAAGCTAGTACAATAGTTGGAATACAGCACTTATCCTTTGGTTGCACCTATGGCACTATCTGATTGAGAAGTCGATGTCTCTGTTGGCAAATCTTGACTGCTTACCACCACAGTTGTTTTTTTTCCTTATTGTCCCTTTTTTTTTCACTTTGACCAATTGACTTAGTGGAACTCTTATTCAATATATATCCACTACACATATTGCAAATGCCACAAAGAATTGGAAGATCCTCTTTTCCTTTTTCTTCTCAACAAGCTTCCTTCCTTTCAAAAAAAAAAAAAAAAAAAAGGAACTCACAATAAATAATATGCTCTAATTCATTTTTGATAAAAAGCCTGTAAAGAAAATATGTAGTAGCACTGATAAGAATAGTAGATTAACATGGCAACCATTTTTTTTTGCAACTAACTAACTAACTAACTAACTAACTAATTATCGTGATAAATTTAGCTGGAATACTTTGAAGAGAATCTTGGTATAGGCTCTAAGCATTCTCAACTGTTTTAAAGGATGAAGACTTTCGAATCTAAAGTTTGTAAGTTGTCTCTATCATTAACATGTAAACAGAAGAAAGAGAGAAAAAAAAATCTTACGCTAGATCATATATGAATAAATAAAAGGAAAATAATCTTAGCTTTAAACTTGATTGGTAATAATCATAAAGGCAGAAGACTTGATATGAAGTGATTAGTGTGTGTGTGTGTGTGGGGGAAAGTGAAATAACTCTAATAAGAAAAAAGGTACTGACATATAAATCTTTTCTTCGTCTTCAAAGTATACGTATGTTGATACTACTAACTGACCTCAGATGATGGTAGACAAGTTTGGAAGATGAATTTACTGTTCATAATAATCGGTGAAAGACAATTCTATTATTAGTAGCTACTGCTATACACAGTATCGCCACCTCTCCATCATCATAAAAAAGTCAAGGCAAAATCAAGCCATTGTATATACAAAAAAAAAAAAGCCTCCCCTAATTGTGATCATATTTATAGATCGTTTATCTTATCTCTTCTTCAGTGACTATTCACTTGATACTACCAAAAATTGTTCATATATACATATTCAAATTGAAGATGCTTTATGATTATAGAAAACGATGACGTAATATTTGGCTTTTAATAGTACTTCAAGGATTGTCTTTATATAATAACTGAATCATTTTCATTGTAATAATAAGGGTTCTTGTGCAAGATATAAACAAAGATATACTAGATCAAATTTTATTATCGACATTATATATAAATATATATATAACAAATACTTAATCCAACATCATGGCATCTGTATTATCATCCTAATAAATGCATATATAATTGTTAATGAGGTTTTATTTTTTAAAAAGAAAATAAACTTACATTTGATTTCATGTATGATTCCATTTCTTTATCTAATTCTTCTGAAGTCTTGGCTTCTCTTGTTGTACGTCTATTACGATTATCTTGGTAGTGACGACGACCACGACTTCCTCTATTACTTTCATAACGACGACTAATAAACATTAATTTTATTCTGTGTACATCTACACATCTTCCCATTCTAACTTTACCTTCCTCCTTCACGAGGTTTATTACGTGGCGTATATTCTCGAAGTTGAATACGCATAGGTTGTCCTACATTATTATATTCATAAATACAAGAGAACTCTCTTCATCTCTCTCTTTCTTTCTTTCTCTCTATTTACCATCAAGTTCAACATTGTTGTATTTTTCAATAGCCTTTTCAGCATCTTGTTGAGTTTCATATTTAACTACTGCAGAACCTGTTGAACGACCTGAGGGATCATAAAAGAGACGAGCTCTAAGGACTTTACCAATTGTCGAAAACAATTCTTCTACATCTTTTTCTGTCACATTATAATGTAGGTTATCAATACTAATCTCAATACCACGTGGTGATCGGTTTTTAGTAGTTCCTAAACGAGAGAAAATATCGGCACGACGATCCAATGTGTCTTCATCAAACATGTCATGAGCCCATTGTCCATCGATACCTTTCTAGAAAAAAAAAAAAAAAAAAAAGATCAGATGTTAAAGAAGACAATAGATAATGGGGAGGGGGGGAGGAAGGAAGAAGAAGAAAATAAAAACTATGGTTTGTGATTTACTTTGTTATCTACTTCAATAGTACGAATAAAGGATCGAGTTGTAGGACCATTATTATTTGATCGTTTACGAATAGGACCACGTCTTGAGGAAGAAAAGTTTGTATGTCTTTTGTTATGAGTTCTCTCTCTTTTCCTTTCTCTGATGACATCATCGAGTGCTTGATCAAGTTTGGAGGCCATCTTTTAATGTTAAAAAAAAAAAAAGAAATTTGTTTATTGAATTCAAGAATTTTCGTATGGTTAAAAAAAAAAAAAAAAAAGAAAAAAAAAAGAACTAAAAATAGTGACTTGTTTACTAATGCACTAAACGAATTATTATAAAATCAAATTAATAAAAAAGACACAAATAAACAAACAAACAAACATATATAAATAAAGAAAAAGTAAATATACAAAAAATAAAATAAAATAGAATAGTGTAATTCATAGTGATGATACAATAAGTTTAAATAAGTCTTCTTCTAAATGATGTTCTCACTGTATTTCTCTATGCTTCTTTGGTGTAGGCATAGGAGAAGGAGGTCGATAAGTACCTTGATTTGGATGAAGATAATCTTGATTTGTTGTATTTAATAATGCAGCAATAGAAGGTGATTGACGTGCATCTTTACAAGTATTATGATTATTTAATTCTAAGCCATGTTCTTCAATAGGAACGGGTTTATGTTCAAGATGTCTTATCCATCGATTACGACATTGTATATTACTACGTCCTTTAATTTCTTTTGAACAGGCTTCCCAGTTACTATGACCGTATTTTTGAACAGCTCTTCTTAATAGTCTATCTTCTTCTTCAGTCCATCTTGTGTAAGTTGAGCGAGGCTTTTTTGGAATATTTTCATAGGACCTCTGTAGATCGGGTGAAGAAGTGTTCGTGTTGGTAGTGGTAGTAGAGGTAATGGATGCAATCTCATCCGCCGAGTCATCCTCTATTGTTAAAGGACGTTTACCAATTTCATGATTCAACATTTGGTCAGCTACGATGCCTAAACTTTCTAAACCTGATAACCTATAATCAGGTGAATATTGTTGCTGAAATAGGTATTTCTTTTTCTTAAGATGAGTATTCGATTCTTGCACATTTGCATTCAAGGTATCAATAATTTCATGCAAGTATTCGATCTCAGCATCCCGAGCTGATAATCTTAATTCAGCTAAATGAAGTTTACGCATTAATAAAGTACGATCTTTAAAGAGAGATTCCTTATCGTCTAGATTTGATGTAGACATATGTTCAATTTTATCTAATGTAGATGCCATTTTTTTTAATTTTTTGACAAGTATTTCTATATCTTTGTTGAGGAGATTTGATTCTAACAAATGATGAGTTTTTTGTTCATTTTGCTTTTAGATACGTATGAATGTAGATAGGAAGAAGTATGAGTACATGTCATGCATATATATATATATATACATTTTCATATATATAAATAAAGTTATATGGTATACTTTACAGTCATTAAAAATATATTCTTCATTGTATTAATAGCATTTTCCTTATCAGAAATAATAGAAGTACGTTTAATTTGTTCTGCTTGCGACCAAATGATCTTTTCAAGATATTTTTGACGTTCCAAAGATTCACGTAACTTGATTTTATAAATTAGACAACTATTATATTACACACACACACATATTAAAATAAGTCTTGTATACCTTTTGCTGTAATTCATCAATATCTTCTTCTTCATGTTTCCATTTATTATTTGCTGTTGTAGGTGCTATATAATCCCATGGATATTGAATTGTAGAAGTGATTGGCAAGTAAGAATGCCCTCCCTTATCGTTATATGGAGTCGTGATTGCATTAGGATGTAACTGTTGCGGAGATAATAAAGGATGTACATGATGATGATTATTATTATTATCCAATAAAACCAGATCAATCTTCCATTTAGCATTTTCACCCCACTGTTCGATCTATGTATGTATGTATATGTGTATATTAATTTTTTTATTTATTTTTTATTGGATAATAATTATATTTACTTGTCTTTTAATTGACTGAAATATATGTTCTAATTTGCCTAAATTTGCATGTTGTGCTGGCACTGGTAACTGATAATAGCCTTGTTGTGATTGTTTTCCACTTAATGGAGAATGTGTTTTAACTATTGAAGACATATTTTGTAGCCTTGATAATGTATCTGTTTGCATTTTTATTATAAACAAAATAAATGAAAAAAAAAAAAGTAAAAAGGAAAAGAATAAAAAAAAAAAGAAATATTGTTTAATATATAAATATTTATATAATTTTATATTTGAATGTTCCAATCAAATCTTTAATAGTTTAACCTATTTTGTAATGAAACCTCACATAAATATCGCGTCGTCATTCTATTTAATATAAAATAAATAAAATAAAATAAAATAAAATACACTATATAAATAGCCACTTGAATATCTTTATTGCTATTCTATATAATTTTATATTTTCTGTATACACAATAGAGTGTGAATCGTGTTTATGATATACGTATTTTTATGATATGAACAAAAATTAACACAATTAGTGCAAATAACATGTGTGGAGTATAAAGTTTATGAATTATGCATCAGCAAAGTTAAACAATTACGTCATATACTTCTCCCATTTTGTCTGGTGAAGTTTTTTATTTTATTTTTTATACACAAAATAAACGTTTACTTTATGAATAAGAACAAGTTGTTCTCTCCTTTTTTTTTTTCTGTATACATTTTAACAAAAAAGAAAGAGTCTTTTTCATACAGCTTACTTTTTTACCCTATTTGTAATTACACGCTATAAATAAAATGTGTCTAATATCTCTTTTACTTTCTTTCTCTCTCTTAAACTCATCATGTTTGGTTTTCTAGCACTACTCTTTTTAATTAACTACTTTATTTTATATAAATAGATACTTTTGTATCACGGTATATGTATCTATTTTGATAAAGTGAATAAGACATGTATTCTATATACACGCGAAGATCAGATAATAGGATTAAGTAATTGTATTACCAGTCACTTTACGCAGAGTTCAATAGTTTTGTACGACTGTAGGTTCTTCTTTCCCTGGGAGATCAACATCTTTTGCTAAAATGATGTCGCAATAAATAAAATAAAATACGACACACACACACACATATATATATATATATGCAGTAATAACAACCTCAAAGGACGTTTTCTTCCCCTCCCCTCCTCCTCTTTAAAAAATAGTATGGAGATAATGATGAGTTTGAGTATACTGTATAGTGTCAACTGGACCATTGCAAGTAGAATACGACTAGGAAAAAAAGGAAAAAAAAAGAGAGAGAGAGAGAGGCTAGAGGGAAAGAAATCAAATTAGTATAAGAGTCTTGTCATTGAAATAGGGGAAGATAAACACACACACAAAGAACATATGTATCTATTATCAGTAATCTTCCTAGTTTTGATTTCCAATGATTTTGACTTGAATTGTAATTAAGTGACTCAACTAATGTCTGTCTTCCCACCGCCCTCTTTGGTACAATTGTAGACTGTATTCTTTCCACAAAGCATCCATTTATTTTATTTTATTTTTTCCAACTCTAATACAACTGGTTTGTAGTAAAAAAAAAAAAAAAAAAAAAAAAAAAAAATCATTTTTGTTCCTGATATAATAACGTATAACAAACATGTATCGTCGTCGTCCAAGATACGTGTTGAGATTGATTTAATTTTCATGCTTCAAAGCTTGTTGCAAGTATATTCCATCCATTTCAGGGTATGATTTCCGCCTTCTTTCATATATGTATACATTTATATACCACAAGTCAAATCAGAGTAAATAAAACAAGGCATGTTAGTACAACACTGATATGATTATGCATCGAAATCTCTCTCTCTCTTTTTTTTTTTCTCTGACTCATATTGCTCCCAGTAGGGTTCAAAGTAAATATAAATATGCATAGGAATGAAAAAAAACAGTTATTTGTATAATGCTGATCAACAATATAAATTACGTAATAAATACATCCATGGTTCAAGTTTGATTTCTTTAATAGTTTGAAACGTAAATAAACATCAATAAGATGCACTCAACAATGAATAAGAAAAGGAATATGATGCATACTTTGTGATATAAGTAAATGAAAGAATATAATTTATACATGAAGAAGGAGACCCAAACTAAAGATAAAAGAAGCTAAATTATATCATTTTTTTTTTTTTTTTTTTATATTCAATCAGCACATAGTATTGCGAGTCAAAAAAAAAATCTTTCTAAACATATCAGTGGCTAAACTTACTATGAGAAATGATAACAATGCATACACACACACACACACACACACACACACGCTATAATCAATGACTACTTTAGCAGAATATTTTTTTTCCATCAAATTGTATTTTTAAAAAGCTACTTTATTTACTGTTTGCGTGCTGCTTTTTTTTTTAGTATCCAATTACAAAAAAAAAAAAAAAAGTGTCACATTTGATAAATAAAAAGGGCTTTTATAATCAACATTTAATCTGGATAAAAGGAACCAATATTTTATTATGATGTATATAACAATGAAAGAATATCAAATTGTTCGTGGATTAATAAAAATGGCAAGGGTATGTAAGAAAAAAAAAAATAAAAGAAAAATTAAAATAAAAGAGAAGAACGAAAAAGAAGATAAACAGTATACAATCCTCCCCAAGCCTTTCAAAAAACCATCTTGTAAAAATAAAAAATAAAAAATAAAAAAATTTTTTTTTGAACTGATTTTGTTATTTTTTTACTTTTTTTGGCGTTATTTTTTTTTACTTTTTTTGGTGTTTTTTTTGATTATCTCATAAGGCTGAAAAAGGTTGTTTCTTTTTTTTTTTTCCTTTAAGCTGTTGGTTTAGGAATTGATGTAAATAAAGCGTTTGCTGTAGTAAAAGAACTTGCAACAACAGGTTGGCAACGTTTGGATACAACGACACCACGACGACGACGATACAAAGGAATCCAAGGATAAGATGTTGAAGGAGCTGCAGGACGCTTATTACGCAGTAACGAAGAAGATCTTATTAAAGGTTTCTTTTGTTGTTGTTGTTGTTGTTGTTGTTGTTGTTGTTGTTGTTGTTGATTAACTGAAAGTTGTGTTGTAATGCTTGCCATTTGATCCTTAAGTTGACATGATTCTGAACAATAAAGTGAAGAATCATTCTATTAAAAAAAAAAAAAAGATCGTTAGTTTATAATCAAGATTGATTATTTAATTTGTTAAAGAATATAACAATCACTTACCAATACATCATCAATACGGTTATCACAGATAATACACCAAGAAAGATCCATTTTGTATTTTGATTCAATATTGGTGGCCCTTTTTTGTCAAATAAAAGAAAAGGAAAGGATTCATAGAATGCAAAAGAAAACTTTGAATTTATAAAAAATGTGGAGTTTGAAATTAATAGGCAAAAAAAAAAAAAAAAAAAAATCAATAATGATGATTCATTTAGATTATTGTGTTACATATATGCTGTGCCACTTTTTATAGTAAATATTTGCATGTATTGACATTCATTAGCCAACTTACACAATGCAAACTATAAATGGGATCTACTACCACAAACAGATATAATAGATAACTTAATATTTACCATGTATGAATATATAATAGATAGACATTTATATACATATATGTATATATATATATCTATAATCTAGAAAAAAAAAGAACATACCAGAAAGTTTAGTTATATGTATATATATATATCATGTTCTAAATGTATCCATATATATATATATATATATATATATATATATATATCATGAGCATTAATATAAGTATAATAAAAGAAAAGAAAAGAAAAATGATTATATTACATTTATTATCATTATAGACCATCATTTGTAATAAGAGAAATAATAGCATGTGCTACACCTGTATTTGAAACATCTAGATCAGGATCTTCAATCTTATATTCTAATTCAAGCTGTAATAGTCTTTTAAGTTGATTTACAAGGACACCAATACGCGCCCATGATCTAAATTTAATCCAGTCTTCTTCTCCTACTGTTAAACCTCTACCAAGATGATCTACGTTAATTTGCCCTCCAAAGAACAATATACCGTATGAAGGCACCTCTGTGCCATCTCGAATAAATGTTTTACTTGTTGCCATTTTTGAGAAATAGGTTAAAAAAGATGAATTATAATTATTGTTACTGAACAATAAGGATGAAGGATGCAAGAATACTCGACCTATACGTATAGAAAGATAGGATGTTTAATTTAGTAAATACACACACACATATATATATATATATATTTATATACTCTCTTTGTCTTTTTTTACCATCTTCTTTTGTAATATATTTGATTTCTTTAGCTTCTTTTTCTCTTTCAACTGTACCGCCTATTAGTTTATCATATTTTGTGTCGGGTAACTGAATCTTGGCTACATTAGGATTAAGACCAGCAAAAATAATCGACTTGATCAAATTGATATTATCTACATTTTCATTACTACTCTTAGAGAATCCAATCTCTGATAATGCTTCTCTATATTGTCGACGCAAATTTTGTACTTCATTTAATGTTGCAAATGATAGAAAGTTTTCTTCGCAAAATTTGCGTGCTGCTTTAAGTCCTTTAGTTTGAATCGTTTCATGCCATTCTTCATAAGCTTTCATATCTGCCAACCAATCACTTTTACCATAATTAAATTTTTCTCTTGCTCTAAACAAACAAAGCTGTTTATATTAGCTACTAGTCACATCTTCTCATTCTCTCACTCACTCACTCACTCACTCACTCACTCTCTCTCTCTCTCTCTCTCACTCTCTCTCTTTCTTTCTTTCTTTCTTTCCTTTTTTTTTCCCCCTTCCCCTCTTCTTAACTCACCGCTTAGCTTCTTCTCGTTTCTCCATAGGTGAAGTAAATGGGCTCTTCAAGGACATGATAGAGGCAATGGTCAAGATGGGCTCTAAACATCCAAATACAGAGCCAAACAAGAGCATTTTACTAATTCTTAAATCAGCAGGAATGGAAGCCATATGTCGCCCTAAAGGTGTCAGGTCACCTATTACATCTATTGCATCTACCTGTCGTAATGAACGAACTGCTGCATCTAACGCTTTCACGGAAGGTGGATCAATCGCCTTGGCCAGGAATGCTCGTATATCTTCATGGCCCATTGCCTTTACCGTCAAACATAATTGTTCAAGTGGGGTCCTCAGTAACTCGGGAACCTGTTGTGCACGCATTTTAGTTTCATCTGTATGTTGAGTAAAGAGCTTGAAGCATTGACCAGGTCGTGTACGACCTGCACGACCTCTACGTTGCTTACATGAAGCGCGTGATGCCCATGTCTCTACTAAATGCATCATCTGATTCGATGCCTCAAATTGAGTCTCCTTCACACGACCTGAATCAATCACATAGACAACACCTTCAATCGTGATCGATGTCTCTGCCACATTCGTAGCGACAACGATCTTACGTACATGAGCTGGGACAGTCTTGAAGACACGGGTTTGTTCTTGCGGTGAGAGATTAGCATGCAATGGAAGGATTTCAAGGTCATCTGATAATAATTCATCTTGAAGGACCTCAATACAACGTTTGATCTCCATAGCACCTGGCATAAAGATCAAGATGGCAGGTTGAGCATGAGGGATGATGACCGTTTCATGGTCGATGATATGTCGCACAGTACGTGCCACAAGATCATAATCAATAGAGTCCTTGTTACGATACCGGGCCAAGGTTCGTACCGTACGTTCTCCATACCCTCTTTCTAAATAAGGTATTTGCCATTCAGCCCATTCACCTTCATCCTGTTTAGTCGTCGTCGTCTTATTATCATCTACGGATATCATCATCATCTCTAAAATATCTTCTAAATAAAAATCTTGCACAGGATGAGTAAAGCCAGGAATTTGAATCGTCGGTGCTCCTCCAAAGTAACTTGAGAACAATTCTTGATTAATTGTAGCTGACATCAACACAATCTTTAAATCTTTGCGCTTCCTCAGGACCTCTCTCAAGATAATCAATAAGAAATCACTATCGACGGAGCGTTCATGCACTTCATCAATCATCACATGGCTAATGCCCCTCAGATAAGGATCAGACTGCAATCGACGCAACAGGACACCCGTTGTCACAAACTGGAGACGTGTTTGACGTGACATCCTGGTCTCTCCACGAACAGCGTAGCCTACCGTCTCACCTACCTTCTCACAACGTTCAGCCGCCACACGTTCAGCTACACCAATGGCTGAAATCTTGCGTGGTTGGGTACAAATGATATTACAACTAGACCCTCTTAACTGCATAATCTCTTCGTCTAAAATGAATTGTGGAACTTGTGTCGTTTTACCACAACCGGTTTCACCACTCACGATCGTTACTTGATGTCCCAACACTGTTTTAATCACAGTGGATTTAAATTCATGAGCAGGTAATCTGGATCGTACAAGTCCCATCGGGACATAGGCTGGGGAATTCAGTAGATTCTCTAGCTCCTCTTTAAGTTTCAAAGACACCTCAGGGTTCGGAGAAAGTGCTTCGATACGATGATGACGACGTTGATGTCGTCGGTGTTGTTGTTTAGTGGTCATACTACTATAATCAAAACTAAGACGCTCAGTCATGTCACGTAATTTGGGAGGATGTGAGATGATCTCTTGAAGGTTCTCACTAAACCATTCTGTACACATATAAATGAACGGCATACCTCTGTTCCTTTCAGCTTCCTCAACAAGACCACGAATGAGAGCCATCTTTAAATATTTAGGAAGATTGTCACATTCAATTACAAATAAGGGTAAACCATAAGGGTATTGTGAGTCCTTGGGAATGATCACCTGTAACGTTACCGGTTCTTTAGGTGATGAAGGTGTAAGACTGGCACTATATTGAATATGATAAATCTGTCGATCATCACTATCCGTTTCCTTTTGAAAAATCGTAGATTCATAGATGGACTCCAGGGCTGTAAGCTCATCTTCACGAAGTTGTTGAAGCTCTTCAGTGTCTTGAGGAGTCAACTCTGGAAGAGGTTCATCCCCGTGTGTTAACCTCCATTGAAGTAATTCTAGGGCTTTGGATTCATCCCCTTTAGCTCGATTCAAGGCCTCTTCACAAACAGCTTCTGGATATCCAATAGAACTCATACGTTTAAGTAACCAGTCTCTACTTAATGATTGCGTTGTGTGACTAATGGTCGTCATGGTTGGATTATAATTTGCTAGCATAAAATTGGCGGGCAAATCTATATATAAAAAATTAATCATTGGTTATTTATTTATTTTATTTTATTTTTTTTGTCTCTTCCTCCCACTATAAAAATATATATATTATATACCATCCTCAGGTACGTGTAAACCTAGAACAAAAAAAGAAAAAGGAAATCAATAAAAAAAATCTTTTTCTTCAAAAAAAAAAAAAAAAAAAAAAAAAAAAACTTACAAAGCCAGTCTAATGCACTTGCTTTATCAGCTGAATAATCTAACGCTTCATCAGCATGTGTAGCTCTAAATCCCATTTCCACTAATTCTTTAATCAGCTTTTCTTTTTCTTGTTTTGTGTGTTTCCTAGGCAACTTTTTTTTCCCCCTTCAGATTAGACATTACTCATTTTTTATATATATTAAAAAAAAAAAAAAAACTTACAGGTTGATATGCAATTTTCGATCGTTTAATAACTCGTTCAACCAACTCACGATGCTGGCTTGCCATTTGAATAGCAGGCAGACTCTCCCAATATTTTCTCATCTTTTCATCCATTTCGACAACTTGTTGCTTTTTATTTGTAGTAGTAGTAGTTGTTGTTGGTGGTAAAGGAACAGCAGCAGCAGCATGTTCCTTTGTAGGCAGCTGTTGTCGTTGTCTTTTAGGAGCTGTTGACGTAGGTGCATGTGCATTAAATGGATCAGGATTATATTGCCAACTATTAGCAGTTGTCTTGAGTTGTTCAAATTGTCGCCAATAATCTCTATGTGTAGGTGGCAAAACTTGATGCATGGGTAGGTGTGAGCGAACACGATGCAATGCATAAGTGGCAGCTACATGTTTAGCCTCTGCGGCAGTCGGGGTCTGCACCTCAGGTGGTGGCGTCATGACAACTGTTTGCATCTGGGCTGTTCGTTTATTTCGCTGTCTAAGTGTGACGGATGCCAGGTAACCGTTACCTTGTTTCTTTATGTCAAATTCGGGATTCTCCCAATTGGATTTTTGACAATGTTCGTGTAAGTGAGTGACGGGTGTTTTGCCGGTCCACATGCCAAAGATGGATGAACGTTGTGGTGGTGGAGGGGTATCATCTGATTTAGCATTGCCCTTTTTGGTATTGGATTTCTTTGTTGTTGTTGTTGATGATGATGATGATGACGATGACTTGTTCGATTGTTTGTTCTTCTTTCCAGACATTTGAAAAAAAAAAAAATACGTATAAATTTTTTTTAATGGTCACAATATAAATACACATTTTTTTTTTTTTTTTACTAGTAGTTAATTTTGATGAAAAAAAAAACACACCTATCAAAGTGAAAGTTATATATCCATTAATACTGTTTCTGATAGTGGTATTTGCCCATAATAAAGGGCATTTAGTTGTACTGATATTTTGAATGATAGTTACTTGCATATTAAATAAAGAACATAATGCTAACCTAAAACTGCACATACAGGTTATATACAAGGCGAAATTTTACGAAGAGTTGGGATGTTTTTGAGTTAACTGATTATCATTTCTTAACAAAAAGATATCCTGAGTGAGTCTGAGTTACCAAAAAAAAAAAAAAAAAAAAAAACAAGTACATAAACCATTCGATGACGAAACATTATTCTTCTCCAAAGTGTATTATGATAGTTTAGGTAAAGATGCAAATGTATATATTACTTGTAAGATTGAAGCACTTTTTCTATCGTTCATTTATAGCACAATCATAATTATTATTCTTGCTATTATTTATATTTATGATTGTGAAGATGTGTCATTTGTATCTTTATTCCTATCTATTATATAATACATAGTAAATTCGTGTTAATACATATTTAATAAGCTCATGGTGCCAGTAAAGTTACAGGAGGCAGTTACTATTTCAAATTTAATATATATTATAATGTTATTAACCCTCATTTGTCTTCAAGCGAGTATTTTATTTTGATCAGTAACCCTCGATATTCAGTGATCTTATTTTGCTATTTCATATATATTTTAGCTATTAAAAATGAATAGCAATCCTTCCCCCTCCCCTCCTCGAGCCCTTCCTTCCTTCCTTCTTCCCACCTGCTTTTCAAATAAATTGTACATATTAGCATTCTTCTTCTGGTCCAGTTATTGGCTGTTTCTATGCTAATTTATTGTATAGTATCTATTAGTACGTTCATTCATGATAAAGTAATTTAAGAGAGTAAACTGATTTGATCAAGTTAACTTATTTGATGAAGAGTCTTCTTAACTTGTAAATTGAATAACTTCTCTGAAATGAGGGAAAATAAATACAAACATAGCCCTTCTTCAACCAGGTTTGGGTGAAATACATCATCCGTTGGTGCTGCATCTAAATCTTGGATAACTTATCCAATCCCTCCGTTTATAGTAGCTTCGTATTTATTCTGGTTGAAAAGGCATTGATCCACTGTTGATTGCTGAAGTTCATTGAAAATTCTGGATGGCATTGTTGCTTCGTGTAGGAGGAAGAAAGTCTTAGTTTTCATTACATGTTATTGGCGACTTGGTTGATCTTCTTCTTAAATATATATTTTCTCTTTCCTCATGAGATATGTTAGTATTCTACATCTAATTTGTATTGATTTCATACCCCTCCCTTCCCCTGTATCGCAGCTGCCACATAGCTTGAAATACACGAAATGCCCATATCTTCTGACTTTACGCTGTATTTTAAAGCCGTGATGCTATCTGTAAAAAAAAAAAAAAACAAAAAACAAAATGCCAATTTTATCGATTCCTTGAGTAATCAAGTCAAAAAACAATGACGACAGTAAAATAATATACATACATACACATGTATATATTTCAAAAATTGGAGATGAAGATCCCCTCTTTCTTTCCATAATAATAATTTATCTATATTATATAAATATATATATAAAGATGATTGGGAAGGGGTCCTTCCCGTGGAACATTATTTGAAGGTCTCATATTAACTTTGATATATAACCAATTCGTTTGCAGGTTGCTTTTGACACATACACATGACATAACAGTTTCATTCCTTGCCTGTACTTTATTTCCTTTTTTTTTTTAGCCTTAACAACATAACTCTGAGCAAGTACTTGACGTTGATACCATGGTTGCGTACAGCAGTGGAAACGAATTCACCATTCACTAGCACATATATGTAATCAACTGTTAATCTGAAAACTCAGTATATTTACGATACTGGAAATCTTTATTTTTATTTTATTTTTTGAAGCACCAGAGGAAAATTTGAGGCTGCAACAATTGTCTCAGTTTCCGTAATGATGAGGAGTATAGATTCTTCTTGATTTCTTCGGGACCTACTAGTTGGAAAAGTCGCTGATTCTCCAAAGTAAGGAAGCATATATACATACATACATACATACATACGGACATTACATTATTTATCATTACCAGCAGACTAGTCCATTAATAACACTCTTGGTAGAGTTTTATCTTCAATCACCAGGGGACATATGAGTCGTCTCACATAAAAAATAAGAGTACTTGCTTTGAAAAAAAAAAAAAAAGCATTGTTGAGTTTAGAAAAGATCGTAAAAAAAAAAATGAAGCATGCTTAACTATAGATATGCTCTCAGAATCACTAACCTCTTTACAAGATATAGTCACTCCAATTATCTTGAAGTTAACAAGAGATGATATGAATTCTCTATACCCTATCCCTTCACTATTAACACCTTACTTATTATTATCCATTTATTTATTTTCATTGCACAGTCACATCATTAAATCTCAAAATGAATAAAGTTTTCTAAATTAACAAACTACTTGAATTTTGTCTGTAGGTTTCCCATTGATGGGTTTCTGTTTTTAGATTTAAGCTTTTTTTTTTCAACAAAGTGGAATTTAAACTCATGATATTCTAAATCCGACGTTTATTTCTTGATGAGAAAAAAAAAAAAAAAGTTAAATTTCATAGGTTTGACTATATCTAAATATTTATATATTTATAAAAAAAAAAAAAAATATAAAAAGGACCCTAGCAGTTAAAAAATGCATCATCCTGAAGAAGAAGAAGAATACGATTATGATTCACTTGGTACAAATACAACCATGTTACAAAATGCATTTGCAGGTGCATTAGCAGGTATTGCAGAACATTGCGCCATGTATCCCGTAGATAGCATCAAGGTAGGTTAGTTTATTATTATTTTTTCCATTTTTTAATTCAAGTTTTAATAATGGATCATATACACACACATCTCTAGACAAGAATGCAAGTCATTAATGTTCAACATCAGATTAATACAACAAAGACTGTAAAATTATTTAATTTATGGAAGGGGGTGAATTCAGTTGTGCTAGGAGCTGGGCCTGCACATGCTCTCCATTTTGGCACTTATGAGTTTTGTAAAGAAGTATTTGCTGGAGCCAATAAGGGAGAAGGACATCATCCACTTGCTAATGCCAGTGCTGGCGCTTGCGCAACATTAGCCCATGATACAGTTATGAATCCTTTTGATGGTACATTGATCTAGATTATTTCAATATTGGGAAACTCATAAAAAAAATTATTATTATTATAGTCGTAAAGCAACGTATGCAACTTCGTGAATCAACTTATAAATCAATACGAGAATGCGCTCGTGATGTTTATCGAAAAGAAGGACTTGTGGCGTTTTATATTTCACTACCAGCCACACTTTTCATGTCATTGCCGTTTCAGACGATTCAGTTTACAACGTATGAATTCTTTCGAAAACTATTAAATAATGATACGAATGATCATCGATATGACCCAAAGACACATATTGTGGCGGGAGGATTAGCGGGTGCGATTGCGTCCTCCATCACGACACCACTTGATGTGATTAAAACGTTATTACAGACGAGAGGAACTCATTCTGATCAACGTATTCAAAACTGTAAAGGAATTAAAGAAGCAGCAATCATCATTTATGAAAGATATGGTTTTCATGGTTTCTTTAGAGGATTTAAACCTAGAATTTTAACACATATGCCAAGTACAGCCATTAGCTGGACTGTTTATGAATATATTAAATGGGTGATAAACTTGAAACAAAAAGAAGATTTTATTTCTTTTTGAATTATTTATTTTGAAGAAGAAATCCACTAAATAAAAAGAATATGATAGAGGAAATTAAATAAATAACTAATCTAATTCCATGGAAGACAGACACAAGCGCCTTTTATATCTATATATTTACCTTTAATACACTTGAAAAATCTAAATTTTCGAAATCCTTTTTTGATGCTAAAGATTGATAGATTTCACTTGCCTTTGTACTCAAGATAGGACGTTGATGACAGGAATCAGCTGCTTTCATGGCCAATCTAAGATCCTTTGCCATTAATCGATTACTGAAACCACCTTGATAATCACGAGAGGCAGGTACGTTCGATAAGACACCTGGATAAGGGTTATAGCTATCCGAAGTCCAACAACGACCCGTAGAATTATTGATGACAGAGGCCAACAGATGAGGGTCCATCCCTAATTGAGTTCCTAATCGCATCGCCTCCGAGACCCCCACCATTTCTACAGCCAATAACATATTATTACATACTTTAGCAATTTGACCTGACCCATTAGGACCACAATAGATGACCTTGGTCCCCATCATGGCTAATAGAGGCTGAATGGTCTCAAAGGCAGTCTGAGAGGGTGAGCCAACCATAAAGGTAAGGGTCCCATTTTGAGCACCCAGGATACCTCCACTGACGGGGGTATCAAAGACAAGAGCACCTGGATAACGAGACATGATTGTTGAAGAGAGATCACGAGCTGTTTCAGCATCGATCGTACTAGCATCAATAAGACGCGTGTCAGCATCTATAGCGGATAAAAAGGATGTATCATGATAGATAGATGACACATGAGAGGCCTCAGGCAACATAGTAACCACGGTAGCAGCACATTCTGCAACATCTGAAGGTCTTTGTAGTGATTTAAAATGAAGAGTAGGAAATTCGTGTTGAATACGTGATACAGCATCGGGATTTAGATCATGAATATAGATAGGGCCTTGAGTATGTTTTAAAGCAAGATTTTTAGCCATACCATAACCCTATGAAGAAGAAGATGATGATGAGTCTATGTATATTAATATGATTAATATTATTTACCATTTGACCTAGACCAATGATACCAATAGAAGATTTCCTTTCCTATACAAATGTATATAATTGAGTTGATACATTGTATATAGGATAAGATATACATGTAAATAAATAGAATAGAATAGAATAGAAATACATACCTTTACTATAAATATCAAGTATGATTAAAATGGATGATATGCGTGTATATTTTTTATTTTATTTACCTGATGATATAAATCGAACATGATTTCTTTTCAATAAGCTAGTATTAAGCAAGATTTTATTAAGTAGCATCTTTTAAAGTATAAAGGAGGAAAAAAAAAAGTAAAATAAGGTAAAAGGAGTATTTATTATAAATATGTTGCTCTGTCTGTCTCTCTCTCTCTTTTTTTTTTTTTTTTTTTTTTTTTTTTTTTTTTTTTTTTTTTTTTTTTTTTCCCACGAGAACAGAGATATACATCAAGAACAGACAGCAGTAACAACATTCATTATTGATAGCCTATCATAAATCACCTTTTATGTAATAATAATATTGCATAATTATCCTTTTTTTTTCTTTCTTTCTTTCTTTTCCCTTTCCCTTTCCTTTCCTTTTTTAAAATAAAAAAAAAAACTTATAAATATATATATATAATTACTACATGTCAGATTCACCTCCATTAACAGATTCAGATACATCAGATACAGAAAGAGATTTAGCAACCATGTTGGATACATACATGAAAGGAAAACAAGTAGAAAATCCATTTATGAGTAATACCATTGTAAAGGAAGAAAAAGAATCCATGGCTCCTCAAGTAAATGATAAACAATAAACATAGTATACAAAATGTTACTTTTTTATTTTTATTTATTCATGTATTTGTTTGATAAGAGTTTAACATCAAGAGTAAAAAGAGCTTCAAATGAACATATTCGAATTCTATCCTCAGAGATGATACACTATTTGAAACAGCATGAATTTAAAGGTAAAGGAGAAATAATAACAACAGAAATTAGATATTCAAAGGGCTTCTTATTCTCTATTTCTCAAGTGAGAGGTAGTAAAGGCAAGGTATCTATCTATAAAAGAATTATATCTGTTATCTACTTTTAATATTCTTTCGTCAATTTTCAATGGTTAGACTTATACTGTCACTATTGGTCCTAAAATACAGTGTACTTGTGTAGATCATACAATGAGAGCTATTCACTGTAAACACATACTTTATATCTTGTTAAAAGAACTTCAAGTACAAAATTTATCTTCTATTATCTATCTTACTTTATTTCCTTCAGATCAAGTAAAGTAACACACACACACACATTATCTTTTTTCTCTTCTAATCATCAACATTCATAGCTTTTAAATGATGTTTTCTCAACTTATTATGGATTAACTGAAGAAGAAGAAAGAGTTTAAATTGCTTATTTTTTTTTGTATATAAAATAATAAAATGATCATCTTTGTAGTCTATCATGCAGCAACATAAACATATACACAAATATGTATTTTTTTTTTTTTGGAGATCAATTTATTGTGACTTGCTTTTTCATATAAATCAATCATGATAAAAAATAAAAAAAAATAAAAAATAAAAATGAAACTTTATTAATATACATACAAATCAACTACTACTTCAGAATGCCAAAAGAATTAACGCCTAAACAGATCTCTAGTGGATTATCTTATGTACATAAAGAAGCACCCTTTTTAGCTCGATTAAAAGAAAATAGACAAGACAAGAGAACGATAGAAGCTAAATTTGAAAAGTATATGGATGGAGAACAAGATGATGATGATGATTACGATGAATTAGAAGGAGCACAAATAGTTGAATTAGATTCTAAAGGCAGGGGTGAGTAATAATAAAACAACAACAAAAAAGGAGTAGGAGGAAGAGAGGGGAGTTATATTTAAATCTCTAAAACTTTTGGATAATAATAATAGAGATTCATAAAGATGAAGGCACAAAGAGTGACGATGAAAAAGAAGAAGAACCAATAAAAGAAGAAAAAGAACAACCCGCAGTGGATGAAAATGGTCGAATCTTATTTCGAAAACGTAAATCTTCTTCTTCAAAACGAAAATTACAATCAATTATTGATGAAGAAATAGAAAAGAACGTGAATAAAAAAAAGAAAAAAATCAAGTCAAAAACAACTTCTTTACTCTCTTTCACAGAAGAAGAAGAAGAAGAATAAAAAAAAAGATCACTGTTGTTATTGCCTTCGAACATGAGATTAAATCATATTTACTCCTTTTTTTATGAAAAACCACTAAAATTACCATATTTAGTTGAACCTATCCTACATGTATTTTTTTATTTATTTTTTAAAAAATATCCAATCATAATGGATCATTCATAATATTTACATCATGTATAAATAAGCTTAATAAAAAAAATTATTTTTCATATAAACGGACATTTTTATCCATTTCTATTTTATTTTATTTTATTATTATTAAATTTTATTATACAAATGACAGACGTTACAGAAAAAAAAAAGGTATCAGTAGAAACAGAAGCAACACCTTCACCTAAACTTGTCGATGGCCATTTCTCCATGGTTCGGTAAATATCATAGATTTAGACGTAAAAAAAAAAAAAAAAAAAAAATGCGCGTTTAAATAACCAAATGTATTATATATTCATATTTTTTAGTAATTTTTATCTGGCTGATATTATTACTTTAATGAATGGTGTATGCGGTATTCAATCAGTGTTAAGTTCAATGCGTTATTTAACAACAAATAATGTTCGAGATTTATATATAGCAATGTATTTTATGCCCTTGGGAATGATCTTTGATTTTATGGATGGAAGGGTTGCACGTTGGAGAAATAATTCTTCGTTACTTGGACAAGAACTAGATAGTTTAGCTGATTTAGTAAGCATTTTACCAAGCAAAAGAAAAAAGAAAAGAAAAAAAAAAACAACAAATAAGAAAGAATTATTATTATTATTATTAATGATGAATATTCTTTTATAGATCTCTTTCGGGGTTGCGCCTGCTGCTTTAGCCTATGCAGGTAACTTTCAGTGTGTGTGTGTGTGTGTGTGGTAAAGAGGAAAGAGAAAGGTGGTCGTATGCTTAAACACATTCGTTTTTTTTTAATTTTATAGTTGGTATGCGTACTTATCTTGATTCTATTGCTTTGACTTATTTTGTTTGTTGTGGTATTGCAAGACTTGCTCGTTACAATGCAACTGTAGCCCTGGCACCAAAGGATGCTTCGGGCAAGGTTCATTATTTTGAAGGAACTCCGATTCCAACTTCATTATCATTGGTGGCTTTAATTGCTTATTTTGTATCAAATGATATGTATTTAGATACTTTACCTGGACAGATGATCAAGATTACGAATGATTGGGATCTTCATCCTCTTGTTCTTACCTTTGTATTGAGTGGCACCTTGATGATTTCAAAGACGCTTAAAATTCCCAAGCCTTAAAAAAAAAGAAGATTCAACCTATATATATTTATATATTTATTGTGTATAATATAATATATACCCTTATTTTTATTTACTTTATTCATTTCCATCCATCTTATTGAATAAAGTTATATTAAATGCGACACCTTCCAAATGATATCATTTTATGCAACTAATTATTATAGAAATAAGCTTATATGAATATATTTATTTATTTATTTATATGAATTATATTAACACTAATAGGGAGAAAATAGAAAAAAAAAATAGACAAATAATAGAAAAATAGAAAAAAAAAAAGTTCCTTATGTTTTACATAGCAACGGCTTCTTTTTGTTGATCATTTGTTACTACATTAGAAGATATGTTTACCATCGAATCTTGACCATAACTATTAGAGTCATTTATAGGAAGATTGGTTTTAGAAAGAAAATTCGGCCCTATTGTAACTCTAAATGATTAGGTACGTAAATGTGTATAAATATATCATTTTACCTTCTTTAGATGATGGATTTTTATTCAATAATACATTCATAGGTGCATGCTGATGATGAAATTCAGGTGCAGAATGAGGCACAGGTGAGAATGAAAGTTGTTCTGAATCCTTATTATGTTGAGAAGGAATATCGTTTGTCATGACTTGTTGAGCAGAGGCATCTTTATAAATTTCCTCCTTATCATTCTCTTGATCCGTATTAGCAGCATTATTTAAAGGGGCTTGGTGTTGCTGATGCTGTTGCTGATGCTGTTGCTGTTGCTGATGCTGATGCTGTTGCTGTTGCTGTTGCTGTTGCTGTTGCTGTTGCTGTTGCTGTTGCTGTTGCTGTTGCTGTTGCTGTTGCTGTTGCTGTTGCTGTTGCTGTTGCTGAGGGATCCATTCTTTATCATAAGATTCATCATGAGTCGTGGTTGGATCTGTAGAATGGGGTTTATGCGAGATCATGGGAGGTGTATCATCAGGTGTAGTAGGATCATCTGTCGAATGACGTTGTTTATAATTAGGTGTAGGTGTAGTACTATCATCATCGTTAGGAGCATTTGAATTGATATCAGGGAACATATGAGGATCATCCTGTATAAGCTGAGGCAAAGGCTTTGGTAAAGGTTTATCTTCAATAGCAGCAGCAGCAGCAGTAACTCCTCCTGAAGATTTATCCTCGATAGGTAAGACTCGGTCAGGTAAAATAGGTAAATCTTGACTACGAGGTCGTTGTTGTTGTTGTTGTTGTTGTTGTTGATTAGACGTAGTAGTAGAAGAGGACTCCATAAGGGGTACAACTCTAAATCCATCATGGATACCATGACATTTTCTTACCCAATCATGTGCCTCTTGAGGATGATCACAACAAAATTCATAGTGATTGCTCATGCTAATTGGATTACGCTTCTCAGCGAGACTCAATTCAAATGTACCATCTGAATGGTCATGAATATGATAATGAGGTACAAAGATAGAATAAGAAGGTTTCAAAGGGTTATTTTGAAAGTGTTCAGGCGTTTTATAACCATGCAAATAGCCAGCTTATATAAATAAAAAGAGAAATAGATAGATAGAGAGAGAGAAAAAGAGTTAGGGATATTTAAATCAATTAATATACATAATACATATGACTCGTCTTGTTTTCATACCTGGCGTCAAGATGTATACACCTTCTATCCATCCTTTCATTTGATTTCTTAACTGCAATGAACCAATTTTTAATGCCCGACAATACTTGCTATCTTGATTCGCATATTCGATCATATTCTCCGTTTTGAAAGCCGAATTTTCAAAGATCAAGTTATATTGGTTTCGACGTACAAATTCGTTCCATTCCATATTAGGTTTTAATTCATGGAAGCTCTCTACAACATGACCAATGATTTCCTCCTGTTCCATTTGATGTTTCAGTCTAAAGTCCTTGTACTTTTGAACCACGTAACGCATATTTTCAGTTAACTTTTGCTCAAACATAGCCGTCTCCCTTTGTAGACCGAGTACATTTGCATGAAGGTCATTTTCATGATCACAGAGTTCTCGAATAGCATGAATGATAGATAAATTGATTAAAAAGGGGTCAGGGTTTTGACCGGCATTCAATGGATGACGATGACAAGATTCGATGACTTTACCAAGACGATTGATAAGACGATCGACATGAGCACGACTCTCAAAGATAAACGTATTTTTAAGTCCCTTATCTTTTTCAATCGATTGAATCATCGTACGCGTATCTGATTTAATAGCGCGTAAGGCGGGAAGAATGCTCTTTTCAATGTATTCAGCTGTTTGATGATGCTTAATACCATGTTCCATTGCATAGTCACGAATAGAGGCCCATACATCTTGAATACCCCCACTCCCCGTTTCCAAAAATTGTCCATTGGATTTTTCAAAGGGTAAAATGATTTCTCTACTTGATGCAACTAGACCCTTGGCTGTCTTACTTTCCACCGTTACGATTTTCTTAAACAATGAAACCTAACAAATAAGGTATATACATATATATATGTAGGAAGAGATGAATAAGGGATAGACTAAATTTAAATATATACATGTATGTATGTATCTATATTCTTACCATGTTTTTGATAGCAAGTCGCCATGCTTCAAGTCGATTTGTTAATAAATCAACAGGATCAATACCATTTTCCATACGATACATTTGTTTCTGTGACTTTGATTCACGTGGATAACGAATACTAAGTCTACGAGAAGGAGCTGCAGTAAACATAGGAGGAGAAGACCCTGATTCAGAATCTAACTGAATCTTTGTTTGACGATCTGACGTCCAAGGAAGAAGACCTTGAGTTGAGACATTTGAACGATGTTGTGTACCAGCAGAATCGTTAGAAGCTGGAACAAGTTGCTGTTGTTGGTTTTCTTTATTTTCACCAGGCATCAACATTTTATGTTCATTCTTTTTAATATCAATTTCAGGAATAGCCATACCCTCTGGTATATGAGGTAAAGCTGCACGTGTAGTCAATGGTTGACTTGTTGACATTTTGGTAGCACACAAAAAAAAAAAGATTAAAAAAATAAAATAAAATAAAAGAATTATGCACTATTTTGACACTTTTATCATATATATGGCCTTTTTTTTTATTTTTTATTTTATTTTTTGCATAAAACCATTAAAATCATCATGATGTAAAATAATAATAATAATAATGAAAAAAAAAAAAATAAAAGACATTTTTTTTTTATTATTATTATTTGAAACCGATTCAATGCTCGATTCATGACGAAAAAAAATAAAAATAAAAAAGACTATAATTAAAATCAAAGAATGTTGTCAGCTAACAATATTATAAATCTAGCTGAAGGGGGCTTTTTACAAGAACAACATTTTTTTTTTTAAAAAAAAAAAAAAAGAATCCAAAGTATATAAATAGAGCTGAAAAAGAAAAGATCTTGTACCTGATTCTTTTTTATTTTATTTTATTTTTATTATCCTCGAAAGAAAAGAAAAAATGACTATCGGATTTGATGAAGATCTTCCTAATGATGTTTACAAATACAATGAAATTCGTAAAAATATGGATTGGGAAAAATCAGGTATTGCCTCCCTTTTGAAGCCAGCCCCCGTTTCTCAACATTTACCTGCGTTTGATGCTGATGGTAAGCCTTGTTTCAAGCCCTATAGAGGATCTGGTAAATTAGAAGGCAAATATATCTTGATTACGGGCGCAGATAGTGGTATTGGTCGATCTGTAGCTACTTTATTTGCTCTTGAAGGTGCTGCTGGTATTACGATTGTCTATCGTGATGAACGTGAAGACGCTGATGCCATGTACACCAAGAATACAATTGAAGGTCAAAGTCAATGTAAGATTCAGTTGATTGCTCGTGATATTGGCTATGAAAAGAATTGTCAAGAAATTTTGAATTTCCATTTAAAGCAATTTGGAAGATTAGACATTTTAGTAAATAACGCTGCTGAACAACATAAAGTGACTCGTATTGAAGACCTTGACTGTGATGTTGTTGAAAGAACATTCCGTACTAATGGTAACCAAAGCATAACGTTTTCCTTTTTTTTATTATTATTGTTATTCTTATTCTTATACATATTGCTTCTCTTTAGTTTTTGGTCCTATCTTTTTGACCAAATTGGCCTGTAAACATCTTGTTGCAGGTGGAGTGATTATTAATACGGCATCTATTGCTGCTTATCGTGGTATGGATGTCCTTGTTGATTATTCTGCTACAAAGGGCGCTATCGTTTCTTTCACTCGTGCTCTTAGTCAACAATTGGCACCTCGTCGTATTCGTGTTAATGCAGTTGCACCTGGACCTGTTTGGACACCTTTGATTCCTAATACGTTTTCAAAGGAAGAAATCCAAAATTTTGGTTCTTTCCCTCCCTTTAAGCGTCCTGCTCAACCATGTGAAATTGCTGCCTCTTTTGTCTTTTTAGCTTCTGATGATTCTTCCTTCATTACCGGTCAAGTTGTTCATCCTAATGGTGGTACTATTATTAACACTTAGTTAAATATATATTCTATAAATGTATATGAATATACAAATATCTCCTTTTTTTCCCCCAAATAAAGTTTTCTATTCAGGAGATAATCTCTATCGTACAAGTGGAATTTAAATCATTTAATATGTTACTATAAATAGGAAATGTCTTTCTCCTTAGTTCTTTTTATTCAAAAATAGCTTTTGTGATCATTTGTGAACGGAAATACTGAAATATTGGAACATTTTAAATTTAGTATTAAAAATAAGAGAAATTATTTGGATTCAAAGTAAACCTTTTATGATGATTTTCAAGATTCCTTTCTTATCATTTTTCTCCCCTCCCCCAAGTTTTTTTTTTCTTGCTGCTGCTACTTTAAGCCCTTTAAAGTATTCTTTTTGTCCGTGTTCACTTTTTTTCTTTTTCTAAAAAAAGAAAGAAAAAAAAAAGAGGTTACTTTTTATTACTATGTTAATCAATTTTTTGTTGATTTAATGATATCTAAAAATAAACATACGCCCTCTCTTTAACTTGATCTTCTTTAAATATACTTGCTTACTCGACTTTATCAATATTATAAATGTCATTGACCAAGAAGAAGATAACGATGATGATGATAATGTTGTTGTTGGTCGTTTTAAATTACCAAAGAAAGTAACAAAAGTGTACAAACAATAATAGTTTTGTGAAAATGACAAACATGTTTTCAAGCGGAAAATTAGTGTATATTTTATATGTTTACTCCTCCTCCTCCTCCTTCTCCTCCCTCCCCCCCCTGAATTGACATTGAAAGTTGTTTATTATATTAAAGGAGATAGGAAGATATATTTTTGTGTAGATCTTTTTAACCTTTCCTCGCTCTCTTGCTCTCTCTTTCTCTCTCTTTCTCCTTTATATATATATATGTGTGTGTGTATATATATATGATTGATTTATTTTATTTTCTTCTTTCTTTCTTTCTTTCTTTCTAACTATTTTACTTGCTAGATGACGACTTTACATCGTATAGATGACTTTGGTTCATTTAAAAGACAACCATCACTTAGTAGTACATCTTATCATAATCGACCCTTAACGGCATCTGATTTACATATGAGATATCCACACCAATATAAATGTAGACCTTCTTCTGATATATTACAAATGCATCCTAACAAAGTATCACCTGAAGGTAAATAGAATATAATAAATATGTATTTCATTTCATTTTATTTCATTTCATTCATATATTTATTTATAATAAGCGGAAGCCATTGATGAATGGTTTGAAAATATTCAACGTTATGAACAGATGTTGGAAGAAGTAGCAGCTGCAAGTTTAGATCAATGTTTTAAAGATGAATTACAACGTATCAATCAATGGTTTCAATGTAGATCTGATGCAGAACGAACGGCTGCACTGTATACAGTTGTTCAAAATGCTTCAAAGATACAAGTTAGATTTCTTATTACAGTCCTTGAACAAATAGTGAATGAACCTGCTGGTCAGGAAAATGGTACGTATAAAGAGAGAGACAGAGAGAGAGACAGAGAGAGAGACAGAGAGAGAGACAGAGAGAGAGACAGAGAGAGAGACAGAGAGAGAGACAGAGAGAGACAGAGACAGAGAGAGACAGTCAGAGACAGTCAGAGAGAATATATATTTATAGTATTATTAAAATAGATTTGCACTATGGTTATCAACATCAGCAACAACATCATCATCATCATCAACAACAGTCTAGTTTCCCATTCATGTCAACTACAACACAATCGCTTTTATCTGATCATTATTATCAACCTCAATCATTTAAAAAAAAGTCTTCTTCCTTATTACAATCTCTTCCTCCTCCATCCTTATTTCAACAATCATCTAAATTATATCCTTCAACTTCAAGTGAACCAGATGAATTAAGACGTCGAGATTATATGTTATTTTCTTCTTCTTCTAGACCATTACAAAGACCTACTCCTCTCTATGAAAAGGCGTTGGCTGCACGACAAGCTCAACTTCAAATGTGTGGTAGTGGTAGTGGTAGTGGTAGCGGTAGTGGTGGTGATTCATCCAGTAGTACTACTTCCTCATCTTCATCTACTACCACTCATAATAATAGTCATCATTTATTATTAAGACCCTATCATCCTCATATCAATGAACTTTGGCCTTTCCCTGATAAACAAACTTGGAAACCTCTACAACAAAATCATTTTTTATCATCCTCCACTCCAAAGAAAACAACGATGATGACAAAAGAAAAATCATTGACTACACTTGAACAAGCACAAGAGCGACTTTGTAAACAAGATGATCTTTTATTAAAAAAAAGGACTTTATTAGTAAGAGAGAAAGTAAAGGTAAAAGTAAAAGAAGAAGAAGAAACAGAAACAGAAACAGAGGCAGAAGCAGAAAATCATAAATTAACAGGTTTAGCAAGACGACGTAAACGATCTTCTGCCGCACGTGCATTAAAAGATAAAATTGCCGCAGAAACAGTTGATTTTGAATTAATGAAAGGTAAATAAAGTTAGTTAACTGTAGTCCCTTTTCATCCTCATTTTTTTTTTTTTTTTTTTTTTTTTTTTTTTTTTTTTTTACTTACTATTTATTATATATGAAGATGTTCAAAATTGGTTAAAAAGTTTACGATTACATAAATATGGATACGCATTTAATGGCTTAGATTGGAAACATGTCATTCGTATGACAGATCAAGATATGATAGAGGCTGGTATAAATACATTAGGTGCAAGAAGAAAGTTATTAAAAGTCTTTGAAAATGTACAAAGACATTGCAAAGAACATGTAAACGACTATTATTATTATTTTTTCATTTACTTGGACCTAATTATTCTTTTTTATATAATAGAATGTGGAATTTTAAATCAAAAAAAAAAAAAAAAAACTAAATTTGGAAAATTGAAAAGCCTCATTCTGTATTACTTTCTACTAAAAATAAACCTAAACCCCACCCCCTCCCCTCTACAACAACAAAAAAAAAACACTATCTATTATTATTACACAATAACGGATAATATATTTTTATTTATTTATTTGTATTTTCTTTCAGCCTCTTTTCTCTCTATCTCTCTCTCTCTCTTTTTCTTGTATTTATTTTATTTTTTTATTTAAAAGAATGTTATTTAAAAAGTTGTCTTTATTATTATTGGCTTCAGTTACATTAGCATGTGAGATGGATTGTAGACGTGGTGTATCTAAAGATTTAGCTAGCTTTTATGTTCCTGTCATCAAGGATACTATTCAAAGTTTACAATCTCAATTAGTAGCCTCTATTGACAAAATCAACGTACCCGCACTCATTACTAATAAAGTGGATAAAAATGAATTAATGGATGATATGCAGCAGACTTTGACAACGACTTTAGACGACTTTGTTACTATGGCATCTGCACCTTCTCGACTAGCGGAAGGATTCTATCAAGTTATCTTTAATGAAGAATTACCTTATAAAGGAGATTGTAATAATCCTAAAAGACTTGATAGAAAGATGCCTAAACCAGGAGAAAGTTGGACGATGGAAGAATGTAAAAAAAAAATTCATTGAATAATAATCATATGCATGCTTATATTCTTCTCTTTTTAAAACAATAAGGTCGTAAAATGGATTATCGTTGTGGTAATCCACCTTCTATTTGTTACTTTTTAGAAGATGTGAAAGGACGTTGTGTGGGACGAATGAAACGTCAACTTACAGAATATGCTTCCTTCGATAATGGTCAACTTGTAAAAGAATTAGTCATCAATACACGACGATCTGTTTATAAAACCCTCAGTAATTATGGTGAAGGCAAATTAAGTGAAACAAGTCAAGTAGAAGATTATTTGGCCAAAGTTATCAGTTCCATGATTCGTACTCTAGATAGTTGGGTAACTCAAGATGTTAAAGAATTATGTAATAAGCCTACTCAAGACGAACTTTGTAATGGTTGGGATGATGAAATTAGAAGGGAAATTCTCAAGTGGCCTTAGATAAATAAGAAAAGGATGACACTTTATGATGAAAGATATTATTAATAAAAAGTAGTAGTCACACCTTTTCTTTCTTTTTTTGTTTTTTATCGTTATTGTTACAAAAAAAAAAAAAAAAAAAAAATTAATATACAGCGAGCGAGCAGGAAAAAGCACTTTTTTTTTTTTTTTTTTTTTTTTTTTTTTTTTTTTTTTTTTAATTATTCAAATTTGACAGGGCTCCCTTTTTTTTTTTTTTTTTTTTTTTTTTTTTTTCATTCTACTATTTTATTCAAATTATGTCCACTACGATTATTGAAGGAAAGGATACAGTCAAGTTTGTTGATGAAAAAGAAATTGAACAAGCTGCAAGCACTATAGAACATAAAGTAGAAGAAGCTGAAAAGGAACAAGAGGAGGATGAAGGACGTTCCGCAGCTTTCAATCCAGAGACGGGAGAAATTAATTGGGATTGTCCTTGTAAGTCCTTTTTTATATGTGTACACATAATATACTTATTATATATACATATATGTATTTACTATTATTGTCCCGGGGGGGGTAAATACGGAAAAATAATAATAAAGGTTTAGGAGGTATGGCACATGGTCCTTGTGGAGAAGAATTTAAAGCAGCCTTCAGTTGTTTTGTTTATTCAGAAGCAGAGCCAAAAGGATTAGATTGTGTAGAAAAGTTTAAGGCAATGCAAGATTGTTTCCGTCTTCATCCCGATGTTTATGGAGATGAGATTGATGATGATGAAGAAGAAGAAGAAAAAGACGAGGAGGAAAAGGGCGAAGAAAAGGAAAAGAACAAAGAAGAGGAAAAGAACAAAGAAGAGGAAAGTCAGAGTCCTTCTGTTTCATCAGAGGAGGAATTTACAGCTACCTCTCCTTATGAATCCACTTTATTATCTTCAGTTTCTTCTTGGGTTTCTTCATGGTTTTAGAGTTTATAAATATCATGCGTATATACTAGATATCAATCAATCAATCCATTGTGTATAATAAACAAATATCCCCCCCAGTCACCGCCTCTTCCTTTATATATAAAAGAGAGTGAAAAAGAATTTTTTTTTTAAGAAAAAAATAATGTTATAGACTCATAATAAATGATACAGTGTTTGACATAAACCAATAAAAATAATCTTATTAGTTATAACTAAATATAAATTATTTGGGAATAAATATAAAGTAGGCAGTCATCATAATTACGCGAATAAAGATTATCATTTTTCTCGAACTGAAAAAAAGAACATCAGTTTTAAATATTATCACCGCAGGGATATAAAAAAGATCAAACCAAAAAGAGCTTCATCATTATTACTGCTTCAAAATTTACGCGATAAACTTACTAATAATAGTAGAAGAAGACATACAATTAATAAAGCAATGTTTAAGAGACCAATTCAGTTTAAACTACTATTTTTAAGAATTCTTGATGCTTCTCTATAATACGCATAATCGTAGTAATAATGATGCTGTATTATACATTACTTTTTCATATAGATTTAATGAACGTCGTTGTATATTGAAACAAAATTATTATCTCTTATTGGATAAAATAAAAAATAGCGCAAAATAAAAAACCCCGTTTCATTGTTATAATATGCTTTATGATCGTTCCCATTTTGATCTTGATTAGGAAAAAAAATTGCTATAGCAACAATAATAAGTCTTTCCCTCCTTGATATCTTTTTTTTATTTTTTTATTTTTTTATTTTTTTATTTTTATTTTATTTTTTTGTTTATTTCTAAACAGTCAAAATTTATATTATTATTAAACATCACCCTTCTTATTATAAAAGAAAAAAAAAAAAAACAGAAAAATAAGTTCCTAATAACAAAATCGTTTTTTTTTTGTAATGGATGTTTCTCAGTTATGTTCTTCAATCCCGGATCATTCTCCTAAAAAGTAAAAAAAAAAAAGGATATACGTGTACATGCATTTAAACGCTCATCATGTTTTTATAAACATGTATAATTATAGTTCTAATGATACCTTCAATGAAGATAAGGATGAATATACTACTCTAGCTGAAGTTGTAAGCCATCCCGAATCTTTCATTTCTTTAAATGTGGTAATTTATATATTTGTAAAGAAAAAAAAAAAAAAGGTTTATTCATTTAGATGAATTAGGCTCTTGATCAATCTAAGAAATTATGCAAAGGTATTTTACAATTCCAACTTGAGTATCAACAGATGACTGATAAAGAAAGAGTATGCATAATTGACAAATTATCAAACTCTGCTAAGGCTATTTATAAAGCTATTGAATCCAATGCAGAACATTATATCGATAAGAAGGAACAAGTAATCGATCAACAAATAGATGAAGAAGATGAAGAGTTCAATATAAAAACACCTAATGTAAGTGTCTTTTTTTTTTCTTCCATTAATTAGACCATCCCACACACATTATACATTTATAAATTCTATTATAATAGAAAGATTGTGCAGAATATGAGTTAATAAGACAAGCAAGAAACTTACAAAACAATCAACCATCACCAAAATATCGTAAAAGAATTGTAAGCACACACACACACATTTCTCTTTTTATCATAAAGAACATGAAATAATTTAATTTTAATAATAATAGAGACGTAGCTTGAACGGTCAAAGATGTCATTCTTGTAATACAACAGAAACACCTGAATGGCGTCGAGGGCCTGATGGAGCAAGAACTTTATGCAATGCATGCGGTCTTCGTAATGATTATATACATAATATATTTCATAGACAGATACTAATGAATATTGAGGTTTTCTCCTTCTCCATTAGACTATTCAAAGTTATTAAAAAAAGGATCAATTGGCGTACAGACACATAATTATTTAATAGAAAAAGCTACAAAAGACTTATCATCATCATCCAATCATGATACTTTAATTTGCAAATCAAATCCCAATATTAATTATCCATTTAAACTCATGAATTCAAAATACAACACTTCTTCCTCTTTTACTTATACCCCTGCGCCACAATTACCTCCATTAAATGTTGCTGTAAATACTAATTCATCTTCTCTATCTCAATTATCACCTTTATCAATGAATATAGTCCCATCCACATTAAAGTTAAATAATAATGTAGATCAACTTCAAATACACCAATGGAGACAATCTGATTCATAGATGATTTATTTTATTATTTAATTAATATATCAAAAATGTTTATCATAATGTGATGATAAATAGATTATTTTATCATAATTTGTTTTTATGATATATATGCACACAAAAAAAATAATAAAAAAAAGAAAGTCCATATAATTCCTTCTTTTTTTTTTTTTTTTTTTTTTTTTTTTTTTTTTTTTTTTTTTTTTTTTTTTTTTTTTTTTTTCTTTCTTTCAAGCAAGATCAAGTTACGTAAATGGTATTCATCATCCCAAGTTAAATGTCTATTCTTTAATAGAAAATGAAAGTAGCTCTCGTGCTTTCCTTCTTCTTTGAAAGACAAAAAGAAAAGGAAGGGATAGCAGTTGTGGTGGTAAAATAGGATACTACTACTACTACTGTTGTTGTTGTTGTTGTTACTTATCTTTTATTTTAATAGCTTATATGATGCATCTGTAACTGTTCCTACTACTATAGGACACTACTATAGCTACTATCACTATTGCTTCTCTAGAACAGTAGTCATTTGGATGAATAATCCCATTACCATTCATTCTAAATAAAATTACTTTTTATTATTACTATTATTATAATTATTATGCGGAAGAATAAATTATTTAAAGTGAATTCATATATTCTAATATGTATTTTTTCTTCTTATTTGTTTTCAAAATACATGAGTAAACGATCATTTAATCTTGATTCCTTCTACCAACTATTAAAGGGACGTGTATTTTATAACATTGATTATCAAGCATGGTTACTTGACTGTATGAATAATGCTACATTACCCATTCATTCTAAATTTGCTTCTGTCATTAATGAATTTGTTTTATGGTATATATTATATTGTATACGTGGATAAATGAAATTGTCTTTGAATTTAATGTTATTCATCAAGTTTTTATATAGTACATTCTTAACTGATCAATGTCATAAAATACCCGAGGAAACTATAAAAACTTATTTCCAAAACAGCTCTCATTCCACTACACAAATATTATTAGCTCTATATGTCTTGACATTTAATGATTATATTATTGCATTTCAAACAGAACCAAAGTTCATTAACCAAAGTAATGTAAAAGAACAAACAGGTAAAAACGTATTTTTTTTTCTTTAAGACAAGTATATATTTATATAAATGTATATATCTTTTTGACACTTTCTTCGCCCTTTCTTTTTTTTTTTTTTTTTTTGTATAAGAATATTCCACTGACTTATTAGACCATATTCCAATTCGATCCATTTTAAATCATGTTGAAGCTTTTCAGGGAGGTCAAGCATATAAATCGATTTATTCAGATCTTTTAGCATTATCAGCCAACTTATTTCCTGAATTGTTTGATATTCAAGCTTTTTTGATCAAGGAAGGAAAAGAATCAAATAATTTATGGAATGTAGGACACATGTCAAATGATTGGCAACATGAAAAATGGACAATCACTGAACTTGAAAGCAGATTAAATCAATGGGAAACAAATCCAGCGGTTGTAATTGAAGGTATGCCTATTGTGCTTTTCTTTTTTTTTTAAAAAAAAAAAAAAAGATGCATGTCTATATTTACTGAACCTTTTATGATAGCTTTATCACGTTTAGAGTCAATAGCTTCTACAGAAACAGAAAACTATGCAGCCTGTATGATTTCTACATTAATACCACCCTGCTTAGATAGAAAGTATGTTGTTGTTGTTTTTATAAATGTTCGAAAAGTGAGGGAGAGGGGGGAAATGAGTTTTTAATCAATTCAATTATATAATTAGACTAGATAAACGAATAGCAGAGGCATTTGTATCTACTTGGGAAGCATTTAATATCATTATCCCTCATTCATTATGGTTAACAACTATCAATTTTCTTATACCAGAGTAAATGGGCATACATTGAAATTTAAACAAAAAAAAAAAAAAACTAACTTGTTCAAAAATAGAAAATATACTTTAACGAATTTAATACAAAATCCAAACATCATTTTCAAATGTGATAAACGTATATTTAGATCTCATGAATTATTACCTATTTGGTTACATGTATTGAATTGTTTACGTACAACATCTAAACATCGTATTTGGAAAAGATACCATACAGTCCATTCACGACCCGATGTAAGTCTGTATATCTATTCATTGGACAAGATAAAGCTGCTAACAAAAAAAAACATTCTATATAGCGTCATCAGTTTAATTCACGTAACGTGTTAGCACTTACTAATGCACAAGATACAATGATGCTTCAGTTATTACTTGAACTTTGTTTAGAAAGACCTCAAGAAAACAAAGGTAAATAAATATATATACATATTTTTTTTTTTGAAGCTTATATCTTTCTTCTTAGATACATTATACAAAGTTAGAAAATTAATATGTGATTTTATTCATTCTATCTTTATTGACGGTGACCGAGATATGTTATTAGCTAAAATCCTTCATTTTCAAACCTATTCTACAGACTTAATTCCTATGGTAGTTGACTATATCCCGTCCATATATATCGTTTTAAGTTTTATTCCTGAATTAACAAGACAGCCTCAAATTGAAAAACAAGTATTTGGAATACTTATGGCCTGTCATTTATGTGAAAAATATCCTCTTGAAAATTAGTACAGTATTTATGATCAAGCTGATTCTCCTCCCCCCTTTTTTTTTTGTATTAACACTTTTTTTTTCTCTTTAAAAAAAAAACAATAGCTTGTTAATGGCAGAAAAACATGTTTTACCACGTTTACTAAGAATTGCTTTTCCTGTGACTCGAGAAGGTCAACCATCAACTACATGTGTTCCCTCAGAATATTTGATAAAAGCTATACCTGGCTTTGTTCATCTTGCTAGAGCCTTTCCACACTTTGGACCACAGATATTAAATGCATTTGACGGTAAAAATATACATATATATTCATAAACATATAGTATATACAGTAAAATTTATTTCGTTGGTATTGATAGATATTGCGAAAGGTTTACCTGAACCTCGACAATTTATTGGACAAGAAGGCAATAATAAAATTATACTTGTACTTCAATTGCATAAAGTGTTAAAAAGTTCAAGAGATCTTGTACAGACAGAAGTAGATAAAATGGATAAAGTGAATAAAGTTACAATTTAATATCTCGTTCCAAATGAACAAAGGAACGATTATTATTAACATTTATGCAAAGTGATGCTGTTGTTGGTTCCAAATGTTCAGCATAAAGTCTTAAATAACCTTCTATTGTTTCTGTATAACCGTTCTTTATAGTATATGTTGAATCTATTTTTAATTCTACATGTTGTGTATGTATAAAAATAAATAAATAAATAAATGAATGCTTTTTCTTTTCCCTCTCCTTTTTATAGTTGAGCTTTAATAACCCTTACCTTGTTTTGTATTCAAGATTATGCAGCCTGATTCATCTCCTACTAAATACTCGTGAATTATAATCATAGAATTAGCTAATGAATAGATGTATGTATATAAAGGAAAGAGAGAGAGAGAAAAGAATTGATATTAAAGAATATACATATACAGATATCTATCTATCTATTTTCCTATATATTACATTTTTCATGCTTTGTTTCTAATGTAATAAGCAGTTCAATCACTTTTACTTTAATATTAATGCGAAACTCATTAGGTGTCAAAGTTGAAATGGTCAACATAATTTAATAATGTAAAAGGGAAGAAGGGGAAAAAAAAAACAAAGTAACACTGTCTTTTTTTTTTTTTTTTGTTTTTTTATTTAGTATAAATTTTTTAAACCCACTCAAAAAAAATTATTTACAAGTCTAACAGAGATAAAGAAGATTGAAAAAAAACAATAATTTAAAAAAAAAGAAAAAGAAAACATCATATAAAGTCCCCTTGTCTTTTTTTTTCTTTACTTGTGACGAACGTATTTTCCTACAACAACAGCGTGGTCTCTTTCGTAAGGTTCAAGAGTAAGTTGTTCTTGAGGTTTAATTCTCTCTTCTTGAAGTTTCTTAACTTCACGAGCAAAGACGGTAGCAGCATCAACAGTTGAATCAATACAAGAAGCCTTGATAGAAATAACAATGTGACCTTCATTCTTAAGGAAATGGTGTGCATTTAAAGCAATAATACGAGCTTGATCAGGTTGAGCAACGTCAGCAAAGATAACATCTACCATGGGAACCAACATACGGTATTTTTGAGGGTGACGAGCATCTTCAATGATAGGAACAACGTTAGTACGCTTCTTAGCCATGTTAATCAAGTCACGACCGGGACGGTGAGAGAATTCGACAGCATAAACGGCACCTTCAGGACCAACAACATCAGCAACATGAGAAACAGATGTACCAGAGGCAGCACCAAGATAGAGGACCTTTTTACCGGGAGCAATATGAATATGATCAACACCACCCAAAACGGCAGCAGCCAACTTGGATCTGAAGGGATTCCAGACACGATATTCAATCTTGGTACCTTCAGGACCATCTACAGAGATACGCTTTTCACCATAGACAGCTTCACCAGGGACCAAGTTCTTAGTCACCAAAAGATCTTCCTTACCACGGGCAACAAAGATACCGGCATGTCTGTGAGGTTCGATAATGACCTTGGCACCTCCTTTAGCTCCTCCTCTAGCACCGCCACGGCCACCTCTAGCACCGCCTCTAGGTCCGCCACGGCCACCTCTAGATGCTCCACGACCACCACGTGCACCTAAAATTCATAAATAAATAAATAAATAAATAAATAAATAAAAGTAAAACTAAATAAATTCTTATGTTCAATCTTACCTCCACGGCCACGATCACCACCGAAACCACCACGGCCTCCACCACGACCACCACGACCACCACGATCACCACCGAAACCACCACGGCCTCCGCCACGGCCGCCAAAACCACCACGACCACCACGATTACCACCACGACCACCTTCAAAAGCCATTATATTTGTATATTATAAATTGGGGAGGAAAAAAAAAAAGGTTGAATTAAAGATTTGTTGTTGGATTTCGAAAAGGAAGAAAAAAAAAGAATTGAATAAATTAAATTGCTATATGATTGATCCTAAAAAGAAATTCAATTAAAGCAAAGTAATTATATAAATATAAATTTGTATATATAAAAAAAAAAAAGACAAAATAAATATTTATATGTATAAAAAAAAGTTTTGGTTTTTTTTTTTTCTTTAGTCAGTTCTTTCAGTCTGACGAAAACAATTGGATTTACAAATTTGACATGTGGCTTAGCAAAAATTCGATTTTTATTATTATTATTATTATTGGTGCCTAATAAATTTGGGTCAAAAATAATAATAATTAACAAATAGCTATCTTTTAAATCCATGAACAATTAAATAGAATTTATTTATTCTTCGCTTGGAGGGGGGGGGCACTATCATCTTTAACCAAAAAAAGAAAAAAGCTTCAACTATTGCATACTCTATCGGACTGCTTTTACTCCATAGAGTTTTAAACTTGAAAGAAAGAAAGAAAAAATGTGGGTGGCTGAGTTCCTGACGAAATTCACTTTTTATTGAATATACCGCACAACATACCACATATACATACACATATTGCATTTTTTTTTTGTCTCAAAACTAAAAAAAAAAAATCTTCTTCATATCAATGGTGCAAGGATCTAAATTAAAGAAGCCAGGAAAGCCTAAACAAAAAGGTGGAAGAGAAAAAAAGGGTATTACAAAAAAAGGAGGTAAAGACATACTTAAAAATCAAAATAATCAAACTTCTTTATAATGTTAAAAACTAAAATTATATTTAGCTAGAACAATTGCACCCAAGAAAGCTTCTTTAATAAAACAACAAGCAATGAATAAGGTATAACATTTAATAAAAACAGCATCAATGTCAACTCAAAAAAAAAAAAGTGTATACATGCAAATGTACTTAAACTCTTTAATTAGAAATTAACAGCTGAGATTAATAAAAACATTGAAAGACAAATGGCTGTCAAAGCTGATGCTGTGGGTAAACTTACAATTATGAAGAAATTAGCTGATGAAAAGCTTGCTGATGACAAATCTAAAAAGAAGAAATAATACCATGTACATAAATATATATTTACTTTATACATCACTTGCATTACATGAAAAATAAACTTAATAGTCTGTATTGTCTATGCAAAAAAAAAAAAGTGCTGTAGGCTAATGAAGTTTTTTTTTTTCCCCTATTTGCATTAAATTAAAAACCCGTTCATTTAAAGTTTTTATACACATTCGTCAACAACTTTACGTTTTTTTTTCTAACACACTACTATAGCTAATACTTTCAAAAAAATGGCACAATTACAAAAACGTTATAGTAATAACAACTCATCAATACGCATATCACAAAAGGTCGTCCGCGAATTACTTGATTATATTCGATTATTTGACATGTCAGAAACAAGAGATAAGGATAAACTACAACCCCATGTTGTTCCAGTGACATTGGTGGACAACTTTTTGTCTAGCACAGGTCATACTGCAGAAGAAATCATGCAATATATTTATAAACAAGAACAAATACGTAAAAAAGATGACAGTAATAAAAACAACAATCCAACTTTTGAGTTTACTTCTTTCTTTGACTACATGAAAGATGAACGTGTGCAAACAGGCGCATTGCCTAAAATAAAGCAAGTTGTAAACAGTTTAAAGTTACTTATATACCATCCAAGTTTAGATGACGTTGAAAGACATGTTTCTAATTGTTTTCAACAATATTATGCGCTTATGAAATTACCATCTAGAGATAAAGTAAGTGATAGTAAAAGAGAAAGAAAGAAAGAGAAATAGAGAGAGAAAGGAGTTTGATCAACCATTTTTTATGCTGTAGTTTTATACGATGCCGATAGAAAAGCAAGAAGAATATGTAGGATTACTGAAATCGATATTTGAAAATATGTTTCCAGACTATTTTTTTGAAATGAAGCCTTATGGGTAAATGACAATTTACAGCTTAAATATAAATATGTAAAGTTAGACAGATGATCAACGTTTATATATATATATAAATATATACATATATTTATTTTGATTAGATCTTTTGTCATTGGATTAGGATTTTCGACTTCTTATCTTAAAATTAACATCGAATTATCAGATGTCGATTTAGCTCGATTGTATGATAGAGAAGGTGATGCAGCTTTTATCGATCAACAGGAGCCTCATAGTTTTATTACTATGAAATCTTATTTGGAATCCTTGAAGGCGACCAAAGTTGAATATAACAATAGTACAAATTCAGTTCGTTTCAAATGGAATGGTGTTCGTATTGAATACAATTTCAATAAAGAAATTAATACCCGTTCTTATGACATGATTGCCGAATACTTTAAATTAGATGATCGTGTATTGCCATTTATTCAAACTTTGAAGCTCTTTTTTCGAGGTAAGTATACGACTAATAAACTACAGACAAGTAATAATAATAATAATAATATTCATAACAGCAAATCTAAGGAATCACGGTATACGCTTTTACGCCTTTCAGATAATGGCGCTTTCCTATTTAATTTCACTAGATCCACCTGTCCTGCCTAATTTACAAAACCTCTTTCAACATGACCCAACTGACACCTGTCGATCAGCTGAATGTAATACCAAGTTTTGTTTCTGGGATACGGCTATTTATAATAATAAACGTGTTGGTGTTGCTGCACGTTTTCATGATTGTGTCGTCTTGGATAGATCACAACCTAAAACACAATATCAAGTAGAATTTAACGAGACTACTCAGCACTATTATTGGAATTCTGCTAATACTTCAGCATTGGACCAACTATTGATGGACTTTATGTGCTTTTGGGGTTATCATTTTGATTATTCAAAACTTGCCATTTCACTCAAGATGGGCGGTTTTACAACAATTAAGCAAGAGTTTGAAGACGACAGGATAATTATTGAGGACCCTTTCATGAGTGGTGTCAATCTTGCGTAAGTTTCTTTTTTTTTTAAAAAAAAAACATACTTTAATCAAGTTTTATTTACAACTTAAATATATACATGTATACATACACATGTACATATACATACACATATACATATATAGGAGGGATATAGTAGCCATGTCATCATTTGTAGAAGCATTACAGAGCGCGTTCCTTATGCTATATCAATCAATACCTATCGAAAAAGTTATAAAGAATTTGGACCTTAACATACAAAGTCAAAGTCCGCCAATAAGCTACTCTTGTTTACTTCATCAGCCCAGCTATGCAAACAACATTAAAACTCTTCTCTTCTTGAACCTTCCTGAGTTGGCTGAAGATGAAAGAGAAAGTCATTGCTATTGTAAAGAACTATGCGAGACATTCTCTAGCCTAGGAATGCCTATTCAACTCCTCGATTACGACTATGAAGTCAAACTTATTACATTTTATAAAAATAGGAACTCATCTGACGAAAGTGTTAATATACCTTCTTGTATCACTATACGGAATGAATCAGTATATGTTGTTGAGTTATTGGAAAGTAAAGGAGATTCTAATCAATCATACAGTCAACTTCAACTTGATCAGTAGCAGGTTCTATCTATAAAAAAAAAAACAAATATATACTTTTATTTATTATCCCTTTGTGTATATGCATATACATACCCAACAATGTGCTTGTTATTATATTGTGTATATAGACAAGTACGTATATAATACAAATAACAATAAAAATATATATGTATTTATATATATATATATGAATATGTAATGATGAAAATATATTAGATTGTGATAGTTTATTATATAATAAGATTCCTTTTTTCTTTCTATAATGCAAGTAATTTATGCCAAGTAGAATGATGTTAAAATTATGGTTGGTTAATAAAATTAATAAAGGTAACATTTGTATTGTTTAAAAGGTAGCCTAAAATAGATTCTTTAGAATAAGATAGTTGATGAATTGGAATGAATACAAATGTAATTTACTATAAATAATATAGAGAAGAATCATTCATAAGCATTCTTTACAAATGTATATATATATATTTGTATATAAAGTCGTTCCAACGCCAAAGGGCGGGTTTTATTTTGTCAAAAGGCGTTTAATATTTTCTCAACGGAAAATAAAACATAAATGAGTACTTATTCCTTCTAAGAAGATGGTCAAGGAAGAGTATTTGACGAAAAAAAAAAAAAAAAAAAAAGGAAATGACGCTGTGGATTGGTAAGAAGATTTGAACCCATTTCATTTAGAAACATCAACCAATATTAGACATTATTATAATTCTCAGGGACCAGAGCAAGAACCGATTGTTGAGGACTTGGATACAAAAATGCAAGAGGTTATTGTTCTTGCAGAAAAATCAAAAAAATCAAAAAAAAAAAAATCAAAAGGGCACTATCATGAGTACAGTAGTGAGCAAAAGCTACTTTTTGTTTACTGCAACAGAGTAAAACTTTTCAGCGCTGTGAAGTCTGGTATATATTTGGTTTTTGAAAAACGAATTATTAAGCATCCTTCAATAATATTTGGAATGTATTTACAGAGCAAAATGAACAACGATAGCAATATAGACAAAGCCCCTAGTAATAGTCAGTGGGGGGGGGAAATGCAACATATGTTACGAGAATAAAATTAGTATTAAAAGAAACAGCAGCAGTTGATGCAAATTGTGTCGTGCAAAAGAAACTTACAATAAAAAGAAAAAAAAAACTGATTCAGGGACAGACTTCAGCTTTGAAGACAATTCCAGATTTGCCATTATTGACCCTGAAAGCACCATAAAACAAGAAAAACAAGAGCCTCGTGCAACACAAATGTCAGGATGCCAACCACTTGAGCTTCCTATATCTAAAGAAGACAATAACAATTCTATATCTATGACAGCGTATACATTATTAAAAGACAGTGAATTTACAAGACTAGCAAAGTTTTTGGACTTTGAAAGTTCAACATCATCAAAAAAATATGTCTGTTCATTCTGATAACCCAGACTAAAATTACCAATGGAACTTATAGAAATAGCCAAGATCATATTCAAGTCTTTTCTTCAACTTTCAAGATGTGTTTTCTGCCAACAATATCAACTGTTGAAATTCTCCATTAAATAAACACGTTGATAGTATTTATATGTCACAAATTTGGCAAGTTAATTTTATATCAACAAGGCCCTTTTCTTTAGCAATAATGTGTGTTCCATAATAGCGCCACTGCCAAATTTCTGTTTTATTTATTCTAGTTTCATGGATAATTCTATATATGGTTTAAAAATGTATAGGTAGCAATTATTTTGTTAACTTCATTTTATCATAGAACAAATTGAGGCTATATTAAATTTTGGATATAAATGTAACCGAATATGTGTAGTCCTTTACAGAGACACCAAAAGACAATTGCATGAACAGTCTCTGTCCATTTCCAAAGTTCAGCCAACGTTGCAAAAAGTTGTTCTCAGACCAAACTATATAATACACCTCGTAGTAGCTACGCTACTCGTACAATCTTTAACGATGGAAAACATAGCTCCTCTATCAATTGTACTTTCACTAAGGTCGCAGCCGAGGGTCCACTACTTGTAAGCGCCGAGGGTCATCAAACAAGATTCCTACGCTACTACGAGGGTATATACAGTTGTATCTCAAAAAATTCCTATATATTCAAATAAATATTAATCACAATAGCTTGATGGAGAGTGTATTTGCTCACGTAACCTTTCATGGAGTACACATCATGAGGCGACAGTGCTGATCAAAGTAACTACGCTACTAGTACAATCTTTAACGATGGAAGACATAGCTCCTCTATCAATTGTATTTTCACTAAGGTCGCAGCCGAGGGTCCACTGCTTGTAAGCGCCGAGGGTCATCAAACAAGATTCCTACGTCACATTGGAGCACTGTTTATAAAAAACGTAAAATAATTAATGTACAAAAGATTTAAAATAAAAAGCAAAATATTGCGTAATGTGTGACGTAAGCATACCCGATTTTGATAAAAAACTTGCTGAAAATTGGAGATTTTTTTTCTTAATGACTCGTGAACTGGACGAAAAAGAAAAACTTGTAGCGCAATATCTGAAATGCACGTATAAACCTACCTTTAGTGGTTTTACTTTTAAGTGCAAAGAGCAAATAAAATCCCTTTCAGCAGACATATCTTGTAAAACAGCTCTGAGTTTATAAAAGTTTTGGTGTTCGATTTACAATAATGTGTTGCAGGTGGACAGACCAAGTGTCAAACTTTCTAATGTGTAAGTTGAGTTGCATACTATGATTGTGTTAACTTTACTGATCGTTACACCTCTTTTTTAGATCTCCTTCATTAAATGACACTTATTTCTCTCTTTTTCAATATGTGCGAGCGTTGGTAAATATCTCTTAAGTCTGTATTTACTCTCGATAAATGAGTTAATATTTTTTTTTTATGATAGAATTTAGCTGAGGAAGTATTCGAAATATCAGCTATTGAATCCATCACTAGCTACGCTACACGCGCAACCAATTTAATTAAAAAACATGCTTTAAGACTTGCTGAACCTACACCTACCATCGAAAATGAATCTATATCTGCAACTGAAAATGAGCTTATACCTACTACCTACAAAGAACCTGCGCCTACTACAACTGACAATGAACTTACTCCTATACCTACCTCTGACAGTGAATCGATAATTGAAAATGAAACTATTGCTGCTGAGTCCAATACCACTTCTTTTCGTTTTACAATAACATCTCATGCTGATAAATTTAATAAGGAAGACAAGATGTACAAATTGCTATCGTCTGGTTGTCTCAACATGATGAACGAAACTTGCAAATCATATTACTCGACTATCTTTTCACCTGATCAATATAAGGCTATTCTAATCAAATGTAAGGAGATGAAACGAATGAAGCACAATAAAGGTGATACTTTGATCAATGAAGTGTTTGATTCTTTATTACCCTGCCGCTTTGAGTAAATACTGCATTATTTATTAAAACATACAATATTTTTATTATAATTTAATGCTAGTCGTAGCACGAATCAAGCTTTGACCATACTTGATGACATGAAAAGTCTGGAGAAAGATAAAAAGTCTCTAAAGTACTTGGTTTTATGTATTGTATATAATATGTAAGTGTCTCTTTTTCTGGGATGATATTGATTAAAGCTAACAAATATAAATTGCATAGTGTGAATAACTTCAAATGTTGGACGAATGAGGATCAATATAATGAAACCATGTATGTGAGGAAGTTTGAAGATATACTTGAATTCCTTTTCGTTGATACAGGTTTAACGGTTCGAGATGGAGAAGGTATTTCACAATCCACTCGTCGTATGCAGGTTTTAAACGACTATAATATAGCTTATGGAAGAAGAATTGATCTTTTGGTTAGTGGCGATAATAATGAAATCTCAAGTATCGAGTTTAAAAAAAGGACTGTATCAAATCATGTTTCACTTTATCAACAAAGTAAAAACATGCGTATCAATAGTTGCATTCTCAGTCATATTCATCTAATGACAAGTTCAACTGAAGATACTGTTTTATACTATGATTTCATTGGTAGATATGGCTACTTATGTCAATTATTTGAATTTAAAGGTGCTTACGTATGTCAAAAGATTCAGGATATTCCTATTCCCAAATGTTTACTTGAATTAGATTCATTTCGCTCTTCTTTGAAGAATCTTTTCGCGTGGAAAGAACATTTGGTAAATCTCAGTAATATGATTTCACTTGCAAATTATAACCAAGAAAAGCAATACCGTCTTGTTGATATTTGCAGTACAATAAGCCCACCTCGGTCACCATCCAGAAGTATTACACCTGCAAATGTATATCTTTCACCATCAAATGCTAACAAAAGAACAAGAAACATATTTGAACATGATGGTGAAAATTAGTCTTTTAATATCTTATATCCCATATTGTATTTCTTTTTTTTTCTATCTTTTTTATCACAATAAAAAAATTCATTACCATACATGCGCATACTTAATTCTAATGGTTGTAATCCTTCCCTCTAACTAATTGACTCTATACAAAATACTGTCTAACACTGATATCTTTCAGACTGAAATTTTCGAATTTCTCAGTAAGAGAAGCAACTGCATCACTGACTCGAGCTTGTGGATGATCATCGTAGACGTTTATGAGATGAAACTTATGCTTTTCTTCCAAGTGGCCTTTCTCTCTGTCGACTTTGCTTGTTTGTCCTTCAAGAACATTCCAATCTTTATCCCTTTGAGTCTCATTGCCCACTTTTGTGCTATGCGTGCGGTGAGTCCACCAGCTAATTTACCAAACTTCACAGCACTGAAAAGTTTTACTCTGTTGCAGTAAACAAAAAGTAGCTTTTGCTCACTACTGTACTCATGATAGTGCCCTTTTGATTTTTTTTTTTTTGATTTTTTTGATTTTTCTGCAAGAACAATAACCTCTTGCATTTTTGTATCCAAGTCCTCAACAATCGGTTCTTGCTCTGGTCCCTGAGAATTATAATAATGTCTAATATTGGTTGATGTTTCTAAATGAAATGGGTTCAAATCTTCTTACCAATCCACAGCGTCACTTTTTTTTTTTTTTTTTTTTTTTTTTTTTTTTTTTTTTTCCGTCAAATACTCTTCCTTGACCATCTTCTTAGAAGGAATAAGTACTCATTTATGTTTTATTTTCCGTTGAGAAAATATTAAACGCCTTTTGACAAAATAAAACCCGCCCTTTGGCGTTGGAACGACTTTATATATATTTTTAAAAAAACACACACACACACACCACATTTAGTACTGTTCCTTCAATATCGACTTGAAAACTTATTTTTATACAGATATACAATAATAATAAAAAGAATGGAGAAGAGGGAAGAGGTTCATTTGATATCAACAACATATTTATATATGTATAAATTAAATAGTAAAAGAAAAGATGGTATATGGTAGCTAACTTATTTACGTCCTAAATAAGAAGAAAGCGGGCTTTTAGCTCTAGGTCGGCTTCCGATTAAAGGTGATTTAATAGATTGTTGATCATGGTGTCGATTATTACTATTGCTACTACTATTACTTGTATAAGAAGCTTGCTCACTATTATCTGAATATTGTGATGTAAAAGAATTTCTTCTATTACGATTATTTAGCATAGACGGAAAACGTAACTTGCGAACAGAATTTTCTTGCTCCTCATCATAATTATCTTCATTACGTTCTATATCTGTTTCATCATAACGTGAACGTCGATTCATTGAAGAAGAAGGCAATGGTGATTTTGATCTTGTTGGCTATATGTATATAAATGCAGAATTAGAATTTACTAAAAAAAAAAAAAAAAAAAAAAATAGTGGGTCAACTCTGTTTACCTTTGGCTTTATTTCCCGACCGAGATTAACATAATTGCCATTATCAGAAAAATCATCATTTAAAGAAGCCAACTTCCGAAGCTTAACAATTTGTTGCATGAGGGGCTCTAATTCTTTGGCTAAATCACTTGCGTCTTCTAATCTTGATCTCTGAATACTCCTATTCATTCTTTCATATTCTGCAGTAATAGATCGTAATTCTACATGACGTTCATTGATCTCTCTCTCGAGCTCTTTACTCGTCTTTTTCATAGCCTTCACATCAGCTTCAAGCTCTTCCTTTTCCCCTTGTAGACGTTTAATCTCTGCTTTCAAAGCTTGATTCATTCCTGATAATTTACCATAAAGCTCCATTACACTTTGGATCGAATTATCATCTGAATCAGTCACCCCCGGTGAATGTTCTAAGGCCTTCAACACAAGTCGTTCCAACATTTCATACATGACACCTGTAAACTCATGAAGATCTGTATGTACCTTTTCCATCGACTTTTCAAAGTAATTCCGAGCGTTTTCTTCATAACGTTGCATCTTTTTCTCTATTAATTCACGTTCATCCTTGTTCTGTTCTTGAATTGCTAAAACTTCTTCTAGATGGGCTTTAGAGGCTCCCTTGACGGCTCGACGAATGGTCTCTTCCATACTATTCGCATTATTATCACCACCATAGCGAGATAAAATACGTAATGAGCGTTCCATAAATGTTTCTGTGTTTTTAACAAAGATGCATAATTGAGTCAACTTATCATTATCATTCAAATCACTTGCTGTTGCTGCTACTCCAGTTGTATTATTATTGAAGGACATTGATTTATCATTTGATGTAGAGGATGAATGAGAATGATTTAGTGCTGATAATCTTTCTTCAGTGATATTCAATCTCTCAACGACGTCCTCAAGTTGTTGAGATAAAGCAGAGAGATCAGGTATAGCACTTTCTTGAATATCATTTGAAATAAGTTGTAGATAATTACCAATCACTTTAATATTCTTCATTTGTTCATCTTGTCCCTCTTGTTGGGTCTTCGTAAGTTCATGGATAGCAGCTTCAATCGTTTGCGATATCTTGTCATGTAAACGATTGATATCAGTAGGTGCGGAGGGAAGTTGACGAGTTTGTTTTAGACTATTTTCAATTGTGGTTAGAGTAGAATGATGTATCTCTCGTGATTCTTTAATCCATTCCGATAATTGTTGTTGTTGACTTGTGACTGCCTTATAAAGGTCCGAATCTTTATCTGCATAAGTTAAAGTAGGCGTTGCAGGCATACTGTCAGTTGAGGTTGTACTAGCTGTAGAGCTATGATTATCCATAATAGCTGTGGAAATTCGAGATTGGTTTACTTGAAGATGTTCTATCATTTCAATTAAAATGTCAAACTTTTCAGAGAGCGAGGGTAATTTCTTAGCTTTCATTAGACTTTCTCCTTCTTCTTCTCCTTCTCCTTTCACTTCCTTCTCTTCTTTATTGTTCAACAAGTTGACACCAACAAGCTCTTCACGTAGATCAAGAAATTCATGATGAAGAAGATCAAACATATGCTTTTGTTTTGCATCTTTCATATCGATGTCTTCCTTTTCAGTTTGTAAGAATTTAATAATATCACTTTGAAGTTCAGACCATCCTGATTTAGCTTCATCCAAGGTATCACACAATTTACCAATACTTGACTTGATATCTGAAAGAGAATCATCTGTGATAGAAGAAGACTTGAGCTGGTCACGCAAAAATTGCAAATTAAATTTGACGTCTGTTATCGTTTCCTTGATACCATTATTATCTTTATTATTATCCAAAGAGGAATTAGAAGTATTTCTTAATCTCGTTGTTTCCTGGGATGATTTTGCCTGTCTTAATTGATATTCTAGTTCATCCACCCGATTACGCCACTTTCTCACTTCAATCTCAAGGGACTCAATCTCTTGTGATGAATCCATCGATTTCGTCCTCTTTTCCATTATCTCTGTATATTTATTTCTCCATTGCATCGCCTCACGCTCAAATATCTCACATTTTGTCTCTAAAGCCTGTCTTTGACGATCCATCTCAGTTATTAACTCATCCTCTCGTTCCTCAAGTCTTTGATGTAATTGTCTTTCCTTCTTTGCAAACACTTCCTTTAATTCATTCTCACGATTTTGTAATTCTTGTTGAAAGAACTTGTCTCTTTTAGCAGCCGCTTCTTTAAGGCCCATAATTTGCTCTTTCAGTTGTGCATTTTCAGCATCCAGTTCCTCAGCCACAGTTTGAAGATTTCGGTTCATTTGTTCAGAGGATTGTATACGAGATGTGAGTTCATTTTGTGTAGCAATAGAGACTTTACCCATAATAGAGGTAAGGGATTCAATCCAGTCCTTCCGTGAAAGCATATCATCCGTAGCCAAAATGATGTCATCTCTTTTAATCAGCATACGGAATTCCCATTTAATACCCTGTTTATAATCTTGTGCACGAGGTGATATTTCAAGTACTTCACTCATATCATAAGTATGGATATGATTTGTACACTAAATATATCCAACAATTGTAAGTAAACATGTATGTATGTATTTTTGTATGTATTTTTTTTTTGGGATATTAAATCAAACCTTTATATCTTTGTATAAATACAGTCCTCCTGGTTTTATGGCATTACCATGTTTGGCTACAGCATATACAGGTTTCCATTGCTATATAAAAGGAAATTTAACAACCAAATATGGAAATAAACATTTATTTATTTATTTATTAAAAAAAAAAAAGAAGTAAACAATACATACCATTAATCCATTCTTTTTATAGAGCCAACCTTCCTTAACAACCTAAATTTTTAAAAATAGCTTTAATACACTCGGTATTTATTTTTATTTTATTTTATTTTATTTTTTATTTTCAACTTGCCTTGAATTCTTGAGTACTAGTAGAAGAATAAAAGTTCGAAGTTTGTGTAGACATAATTGATCCTCCAGACCCTTAAATATATAAATATTTGTGTGTGAGCAATCAAAAAAAAAAAAAAAAAAAAAAAAAACTCCATTATTGTATCATATAAATTTATTCAATTTTTTTTTTTTGTTTTACCTTTATTAATACTAGGCGATCTTGCTCTGTTATCTTGTTGATTCATCATCATACGTTCTTCTTCTACGTCTTCATCTTCAACTTCATCAAAGATAACATCCTCTCCATCATTATGAAACGATGGTTGTTTGACTGGTTTAATATGACTAGAGGATTTGCTGGCTACAGGTAAAACGGATCGATAGATGGGACTGTTATTATTTAAAATGCGTGAGTGGCCAGCTTCCTGTTGTTGCACAAGCCATTGATGATGTTGTTGAAGGGCAGCGACAGATTGTCCAGAGGTTAAAGGTCGACGATTGAACTTGCGTGATGTGCCTTCTGTTCCGTTATCAGGACTTGTAGTACGTTTTGAAATAGGATAATCTGAATTAGATGGTGATGTAGATCTTGCGTTGCGCCATTCATTTGAACTATTCCTCAATCCTAAATTAGTAGTACTATTACTACTACGAGGTCTAGTTGGATTTTCTTTACTAGTATACATTATGAATATGTATTTATATCTATTGTCCTTTTCTTTTTCTTTTTTTTTTAAAAAAAAAAGAGAAAGAGAGAGAGAAAAATAAAATGGTTTTCATCACTAAGGATACAATGCCTTATATATATAAAAAAAAACTATATTTCCTATTTAGGAATCCAAAAAAAACAATAACAAAAAATACTTTTTCTGTTCCTTTATTCTATTATTATTCTTTTTTTTTATATATATTTATTTTTTTATTTTTCAGTTGTTATACCACAGTCCAGCTTTCATAAGAGCTTCTTTCTTTTGGCCACCGACTAAATAGTTTGCATGCACCATTAAAGGTTGAAAGCCTAGTTTTAAAGGCATCTCCATTTTAAAATAATATCTTCCATTAGGGAACAAGAGCATATCCAATAATCGATAAGGGCTCTCTGAATAATCTCGAGAGAACATTGATTTCAAGACTCTATTCATGATTCTTTGTTGAGTAAAGTTTTCAGTTGTATCCTGTTCTTGAATGATACGATGCAAGAATTGCTTTGTGACAGGAGTAGGTCTCATCATGTAAAAACCCGAATTAATTGATTTCTGGTCCACCTCTTGACTAAAGACGATATCCGTATTAGGACGTTCTACCATCTGTAATAGAATCGTTTCACGAATATGAGGACTCAAGAAGACGATATCGACATCACTAAACCAAACTGTTACATCCAAATAGAGAAGTCGTTCGACAATTAAAGTTTTGGCATGTGTAATCGGACGATAGTCATTGCTTTTCCAAAGAGCAAATTCAGATGCGAGAGGGACATGAAACCAATCGTCTGGTATAAGTACGACTTGTTGACCATAACCTCTTCGACTTAATTCATCTACGACGCCCTGATCAATAGCAAAGACCAAGAATTTATCATCTTGATTTGTTCGTTTAAGTGATTCAATCCAATTGAGCGTATGGTCCAGCATACCACTATTCACCACAGCGGTCAATAGAATATTCACTTGTATTTTTTCAGTAAATTTATTTTTAGTAATCGGGTCTACTCTTTTTACAGATCTTTCCTCGCTTATTATATTATTTGTAATAGCTGTCATGATTTTATCAGATGGCAAAGGATAGTCTTTAGGTTTCCAATTGATATCATATGTATAATTAGATACACCCTGATTTTTTATTAAAGTATTTTGATCATTCTGTATAAATGTCTCTGTAGTAAGCTGACTATTTTCCAATAATTTGTTGTTGGTAAACCCATTATTTGTATGAAATATACTTGCAAAAAGTAAGAGACCTATTAAAAGTGTTAAAATGTAAAATAAGAGTCTTTTTGACTTGGTGTCTATCATATAGAGTTAAATAGAAAGAAAGAAGGAAAGAATAGGATAAAAAATAATAAAAAAAATAAAAATAAAAATAAAAATAAAAATAAAAATAAAAATAAAAATAAAAATAAAAATAAAAATAAAAATAAAAATAAAAATAAAATAAAAATAAAATAAAAATAAAAAAAAATAATAGAACAAGCCAACAAATCTTTTAGTCAAACAACTATGTTTCAGTGCTGCTAAGTCTAAAAATATGAATGAATTATTTCAAGCAAAGTAGATCAACGAATACTTCAAAAGAGTCAACTAACTAACACGTATTCATTAACTCCGGCTAATTGCAACGCTATTGAGTTAAAAGATAAAAATAATACAAAGTCAACTAACAATAATAATAGTAAAAAAAAAAAAAGACAAGGGAATTTTACTATTCATGCTTTTTTATATTTTATTGTTGTAAGCAGTAGTCAATAATGAATAATAAACGTCTTTTTTTTTTTCTATTAAGAATAAAAAGTACAATTTAGTGTCAAATAAAAGCTTGATAAATATTAAGCTTGCTTTATACTTGCATTTTTTTTTTTAAAAAAAAAAAGTGTTTACAGGCACCCCCTTTCTTCTTACACTACATACCAGTTAATTATCGTTATTTTTTTTTTCTTTCATGAGACAGTGGCTGCAAAATTTATTTCGTATCATAAACAGGAGCAAACCAGATGATCATTCATCAATTTACGACACATTGACACGCTCAGAACTAATTTTAAGAATCAAAACCTTAGAGAATCAATTAGCTAAAAAAAGCCCTTCTACAAGAAAGTTTTTAAAACAAGAAAAACCATTTGATATAACAAAATATGGGCAACAACGTATTGCAATCAAAGTAGCTTACCTTGGTTGGAATTATTATGGATTTGCTACTCAAAGTAATGAAAAAACTTATCCTACAGTAGAGGATCAACTCTTTAAGGCTTTAGAAAAATGTCGACTCATTCATCATCGTGACGATTGTGACTATTCTCGGTGTGGACGAACTGATAAAGGTGTTAGTGGGCTTGGACAAGTGATTGCACTCAATATCCGTAGCACTAATAAAAAATTAGATCCTAGTTTACAACAACAACAACAGCAGAATAATGTCAATTTTACACCGCGCTATATAGGTATCTTGAATAAAACTTTACCGCCTGATATACGTATCTTGGCTTGGGCCCCTGTTGATGCCACCTTTAATGCTCGGTTTGACTGCAAGTCGCGTACATATAAATATTTTTTCCAAAGGGGAAGCTTAGATATCGATTTGATGCGAAGGGCAGCAGATTATTGTGTGGGACTACATGATTTTAGAAATTTTTGTAAACTGGATCCTGCAAAGAATATAACAAGCTATGAGCGTAGGATCCTTTCATTTGATATTAATCCAGTCCAAGAAGGAGGAGAGGATCTATACGAGGTGAAATTAAAGGGAAGTGCCTTTTTATGGAATCAAGTGAGGTGTATAATGGCTATTCTATTTTTGGTGGGGCAAAAGTTAGAGTCACCAGAGGTCATGAAGGATCTTCTTGATGTTGAGAAGGTACCTGCAAAACCACAGTATGCTATAGCCCATAGTTTACCTCTTGTCCTCTATGATTGTGAATATGAAAAGAAGATAGACTGGATCTATATAGATGGAACTAAAGATGATACGCATAATTTAATTACACCCTTGAACACCTATCGACTCTTTCATGAAATGTGGGAGAAACACGCTATTCATAGTATCTTATTTAAAACATTCTTTAAACAAATTGAGCAATTTCCTATTTCATCTTTAGATAAACGTATTTTATTAAAAGATGATTTACACAAAGATGGGCGAATTTCAATGCTATTAGGTGCTGGAACTGAATATAGGACACGACATTATGTAAAGTTATTAGATAGACCTCGAGTGGATTCACATGAGGTGAAAACAGAAAAATATAGACTAAAAATGAATAATAAAAAACAACAACAACAACAACAACAACAACAGCAAGAGAAAGAGCAAGAGCAACAGCAAGAGCAACAGCGAGAGCAACAGCAACAATAGCAGTAGTAGTAGCTATTGTAGAAATATGAATTTAATCTGTTAAAAAAGAAATACTAAATGCAGGTGACTTTTTTTCTTGATCCATATTTTGTAGGGTATTTTGTTGTGTTGAAGTATTCACAAAAGATTTTTTTCTACGTTTACTATTATTATGGATATCATCACTTTGTGAACTGTTATTATTTCTTGGTTTTTTTCGTTTAAGCCAGAAATTACTGAGTAATACATGTGCTCCCCAGAATTCAGAGCAAACTTTCAAAGGTAAAAGATGTTCAGTGGCTACCTCAAGCTTCTGATAAGCTTCTAGTCTAATGGTGGGGTCAACTTGGCTCCAACGTAAATTAGAATCTATATAATAAGCTTCCTTGATTTGAGATATGACTGATTTAGTAATCAGGACTGCTTCCTTTACCATTGCCCTATAATCTAAACCAGTTTCTGTTGCTGGACCTAATATTTTTTCAATAAGCTCCATATAAAGATTGCATGTAAATTGTAAACTATGTGCTTTCCCGCCTGTTGTTTCTGCAATATCTTTTGTTGACGGTCGAGATAATGTTCTATCTATTAATTTGAATTCTGGGAAAGGACCCTTTTGTTTATTATCTAAAGATTCTGATTCACGTATTATTCCTCTTGTATCATTTGTTATTCGATTTGCATCTATTGTTGATGGTAAAGAATATTTAATATCTTGTATTTCCGTTTTCAATTCTCTTATTTCATCTATTAAATATTCAGTAGCTTTTGATATACATTGTAATTTATCCAGGACAAGATTCAGTTTTTCGTGAATATTCGTTTCATTTACATTATGTCTAATCTATAAGAGACTTTCTATAAGAAAAATGATTATATTATAATTGAAAAAAAAAAAAAGAAAAGATATTGAAATTTACCTGTTCCATGTTAGTATTTTCGTGTGATTCTAATGGTTGAAGTACTCTATTTTCTTTTAGATCACTATATAAAGAGAAAGAGAGAGAGAGAAAAAAAATATTTGATTTAGCTTATGTAAATTATTAAAATACTTTTTTTTTTTTTTTTTTTTTTTTTTTTTTGCTTTATTAACATAGATATTATAAATTATAGGAACCTTTTATCATTTCTATATCGTTTTGATGCTTTGACCATTTATTATTTTTAACAAATTAAAAAAGTAAAAAAGAAAAAGATAATAGACATGTAAATAAAGAATACTTGAGTTTATTACTATAAAATTAAAAGGGAAAAAAAAATCCTGCTTAATAAACAAAAAAGAGAGTAGAACTAGAGTATTTTCTTTATACTAGCTGTAAACTAATCATCACCTTTATATATTTTTTATATATTTGGTAATCACGGGTTTTATCATTGTTCCCCATTTTTTTTTCTTAGTCCGCTTAAAACCGACAAGTTGGAAAAATAAACTACGATTAAAGCAACACTTTTGATTTATTTTAATAAACATTATCGAATTTGATACAAGATAGTCTGCTGCCTTCGAACAAGCAAATACTAGACTATTTGAACTTATTCGTTATGTAATTTTCAAAAATGTATCCAATCATCTTTTTCTACAAAAAAAAAATAGAAGAAAAAAAAAACATACAAAACCCAAAAAAGAAAAAAACTTTATCGTGATGGATCAATAAAATTATAAAAGAAAATATATATAGAAGGTCCAGACAACAATCAATGAATAATGATGTAATTGTATCTGTTAATAATGCATGTTTATTATATAATACCAAAGTTTAACAACCTGCATAACTCTGAAAAATACTATGTAAATTCGGACTTTTCGGACACACGAGTTCTATATTTATGTTTTTCATATGATAGTATTCACTTCTCCTACGCTTTGGGTATAATAAGAACATAGCATTCCGTTAAGTATAGTAAATAAAATTCAAAAAAAAAAAAGAAAAGAAAAAAAATTATATTTTTAATAAATAAATTAAACATAGTGTGTATCAATGAGGTTCTAATTTATAGATCAAATAATAGAAATCGGTAGTAATTATCACTTCCTCACCTTAAGTGATTGCTATATTATCAAATTGGTGGGTAAACCAAGTCAATTTCCAACTCCACTTATACATAAATTATTATATCATGTCTTCGGTCTGACTATAATCTTATAATAATAAAGCTACCAGTAACATATATATTTATATACATATCTCAGTACTCATCCATCGAATTACTTTTATAGTTCTATTTAAGATCAGAAAAATTAAATAACATAAACCTATGTTATCTTTACTTCAACTATTCGATTTTTTTTTTACAATAGAGTGTAATTTTATACAATTTCACTTGTGTTCACAAATCATGTGATAGGGCCTTTATGTTTCATAATATAAAATATTGCAAAAGTCTTAATGTATAGTCATTTTATTGCAGGTAGATATAATTTTCGTAAAACAATTTCCCCAAAAAATAAATTAACAAAAAAAAAAAAAATTAAGCTTATACATGTTTAATATTCACTTTTATGAAAGAATAGGAAAAAGAAAAGAGACTACATAGTCATATAACAAATATATAAAGTAGGTCATGTTTAATGGGATAAGAGGCAGAGTGGATATGCATTTGACAATTAATAATGAAAAGATTTTCCACCGTTTGTAAATATACTATATATAAATGTATATATATAGTATATTTATATATTTATAAACATTTGTATTTGTATCGGTTTCATGTTGATGTTTCTCTATATCAAATAATCATAAATATCTGTATTTATACTATATTTTCGGATCTTATAAATACGCGCTATTTTGTCGATTTTACAATTACTGCACCTGTATCAATATACCTCACACTTTTAGTACACTATCTATCGTTTATAATGTTATATGTAGACCCATATACTATGCCATTATAACATATTACTATCAAGAGATTTTATATATAAATACTCATATAATGAAGAGAGATATAAATCAGATACAACGCTTTACTGTAGTGATTATGAGCTATATAAGGTAACTATTATACTTTTATTCTGTCAAAATTACATGACAATTCGAATTAAATGGTAGTATACGTGTCATATAGGGGTTTTTTTTTAAATATGTATTAAAATATGATATTTATACTATACTTGACATATGGAAAATGACACGTGTAATAAAGCTTTGACATGCATACATTGAAGAGGAATGCATTCAATCGATCTAAAGTCCCATGCTGGTATCCATTTATTACACATGATCTATATATTATTACAGTACATTTCTGATACTATACTGCTTAATCGCAACATTCTCTCTAATTCAACACAACCCTATATTTTATGCCTATGGTGATATTATTACAGATTTGTGTACACAAGGAGGCAATAACTAGAGAATAATAGCAGAAAAAAAAAAGAAGATATTTTATAGTATCTTTTTTTTTCTTCCAGTTTTCAACTAACTCAACGTCAATGTTTTAATTATTTATTATTATTGTAATATAAAGAAATATAAATAGGTGTCCCGCTCCTTATTTTTATATGTAAACATTTAAATATTCTTAATTGAAGGAGTCATTGTTGAAGTTACCTACATGGTGGTATTACATATGCAAGTAGAGTTTTATTTATCTGACTACTATTTTATTCTACTATACAATCACACTACAATATAAGTGGAGATATATGTATTATTGTAATAATAAAAGATAACAAATATATCTTCTTCCTTTGATTGCTTATTTTAAATTGTTGAAATATTATACTAAACTGTTCTTTTTATATATTTGACCTTTAATACAACTGATTATACAATTAATGTGGTTTGAATCAAAAGCCTAGTGAATAAATTCACTTGTAGTAAGTAGTTTATAATTTACAATAGAACATAAACGAAATACATCTCTTTTATTCATATACATGTGTATATATGTATTTTATGTGTATATATCCCTAAATTCGAGGATTTAATGAAGACTATCGTTAGTACTCTTATGTATAAAATTAAAGTTATCTCTTACATACATATAAGTGTATATCTTTCTCTTAATTATTCTGCACTAGATGTTTTATTCTTTAAAAGATTTGATTTAGTATATCGACTTCATATGATCAGACTTTGTATACAATGCTTTTCAAACTTATACTAGTTTAATAATAATAATAATAAAAAGAAGTCTTGTTTAAACATAATAGAGTTAAATCTTTAGAACTTCCATTTCCAGCAAATTATTCAAAAGAAGAATGAAACACAGTATTGGTTTCAATATCTAGACATATGAAAAGGATATTCCAGATAAGTTAAGATAAAACTATATCTTTTTCTTCTACTAATATTGTTATTATGTCAAATTATCATACAATAAATAAAAAAAAATATAAAAAAACACAGTGCATATACACTGATATAGACATACTAGCATATATCTCAAGCATCTATATTATTATTACTTTATATTGCACTGAGATCATTTGTTCTTTCTCCAGCTCTTGATAGTGAAAAAAAAAAAAAAGAAAAAAGAAAATACTAAATCATTAATTTCATCTATAATAATTCCATTGGTGGAAATCTTTGATATCACAATTTAAGATGAAGTTTTGTTTATTTTATGTAATGTCAAAGTTCATAAGTCTGGGCCACAGTGCAATATATTTATATGAATACAAAAATAAATAAAGCAATTTACATAACAACTACAAAACAAAGTCAGACAAAATTACCAGTTTTCGATATTTACTTTATTACAACTAAAAGTAATATTATTTCAAGTTAAAGTAAATAATGAACTACTACTTTTTTTTCTTTTACTAGTGCTTATAATTCGATTATTATCAAATAAAAATGCTTACTATTAAGTTTAATATAAAATAGAATTAAAGGATCATCATGATGACATAAAGCAGCTATTTTAGATAGTAACAAAATATAAATATCATTACATCATAGCCGCATTCATAAATCTTATATAAGACATGTTGCGTATATCCAAGTTGTTAAATAAGATCTAAACGAAAACCTGTTAAAAATAGATAGAATGAATAGCAATACTCAACAACCAAATATTGCAAATAATAATGGAGCAACAGGAGCTCAAAATACTTATGGTCAACAACCCTCTGCAAATAATAATGGATTACTTCAGGGTGTTACTAATCAAGCATCAGGTATTGTTGACGGTACTGTAAATACAGTTGGTGGAGTTGCTGGAGGTGTAACTAATACTCTTGGTGGTGTCCTTCAAGATACTCTAGGCTCACTTTCTGGAAGTAATAATAATAATAACAATAGAAATGGTATCCTTTAAAATAAATATTACTACTATTACTACTACTACTACTACAAAAATAAATAAAATGATTATGTAATATAACTGTAAAAAAATTGCTGCTGTTTATCATTATTTATTTATCATATAAGGAAAAAAAAAAAGGCATCTGAGCACCTGAGCGCTTTTTAAAAATAATTACGGATATACTTTACGATTAAACATTATTATTTTTATAAATTAAAATTTATAAAGCGACCTATGGGTACATAATATCTTTGTTATATTGTATTGCCCAGGTCAGTTCAAATCATGTGAAGAAAGTATCTAAAAACCCTCTTATGGGACAAGAGGTAAAAAGGTAAAGGAAAGGGAGAAGAGAAGGTGAGAAAGAAAGGGGATATTGCTAACAAGTTTAAAGAGACAACCAGTTGAGTAATTTTCTGCCTGGATCAAGAAGTGGAGGGGGTAGTTTATCGTGCATTAAGTAATCTATTTCCTGTAGAATGGTACACATAACTGGCCAGCGATAGAACCAAGCAGAAACATCCTGAGAATTTCGGTGCTTATGCTGAGGGAGATGATTTAAAAGAAAGGAAAGGGGATCTGCAATTGATCGTGGCAAGAATAAACGGATGTGCATATGCAAGCATTCAGTGGCGTGTGACCGACTAAAGTGTACATGAGGATGATATGGGCAGGCTTTAGGTATTCCTCCGGATAACCAACCAAGACACCATCGAATAGTTCGACTACGCTCACTGTATGTCATGAGTAACCAGAATATCGGGTCAATAATCAGATTAGGGCGGCAAGAGGAAAGCAAAACAGAATGTGTCTCGTCACGTAGTTGTTGAAAACTCTCTTCAAGAAATTCTCAACGATGTTTTCGAAAGGAGCGTTTGTCTAACGGAATGGAATTGGCGGCACAGAGTCTCCAGCATGGTGTTTGAATGAGTTTATACCATTGAGTGTTGAAAGCGGAGGCGTGAAGTTCGGGAAGTAATTTAGCGAGCAAGGTATCATCCGGTAAGTCAATAGCACAGAAAACGAATTGGGCCTGCAGAATGGATACCCTAACCTTCATTGATGGTTGGTTTACCATATGAAGCATCACCTTTACTGATGATCGACTAGAGCCATCAGGATATACTTTATAGTTTTTACACTTCAAATTTAGACGATGTTAGTTTTTTTTTTTGGACCTAATCAAAATTAATTTTCAGACGTTTAGTTCATCTTTTTTGGAAAAGGTAAAAATGGAAATCAGACAAAATGTTAGACGAATTAAAATGCAACTGTAGACTAACAAGTCACTTGTTTTTTTTTTACCTCCTGCCTACATGGATGTTACTTGCGAACAACTTTAAGAAAGTTTAGCTGGCGTATTATAAAAAAATCCATCTTTTGGTGCTGATTTAATTGTACAATGAGAAACCAATTTACGACTGTGCTGAGCAAATTTAAGGATTTTTTTCTTCGATTGAGGGGTGGATTCTTAAAAAGAGTCAGCTTCTTAAGCATTCGTACCATTATAGCAATACACGATGTAAGAGTGGGGATCAAAACTCATTTTTTAATCATATCTAAATCAAACCTTAGGAGCCAAAGAAAAAACAAAAGGATCCGAGATCTCTTTGTCCCTTTAAACTGACAAGTTCATATCTGTATTCAACCAGTCTAAGAGAAACACAAATAAGTAGATAGTCTTCGCTTGGATTATATAACTAATAAGCAAGACATCTTTAGTGATAATCTTGTGACGTGATCTTCAATATATCATATCTTAATCCTATTGTATTGGATCCCAGATCGATAATTATGTACTGAATTTTTGCTATACTATTTCTTCCTCTCTCTTTTTCTGTTTGTCTTTTATTTTTTTTATCTTTCTTTTATTAATGGCACGTACACCCATATATCCTGAAGCCGAAACACTCATCGCAGCAAAAAAGCTTGCAAAACAAGAAAGTATTTTGAAGCTTTGGAAAATTTACTGCAAAAGAACAGGCTATTTTTGAACTCTATATACACAGATGGATACACTTGTAGAGTCTCATTTTGTCGAAAGACAAGTGAACTTTCTGAGAGTGCTTCTCTTCAATTAGATGATTTTAATCAAGAAGAGATCAATAAATATTTCAGACCGTGCACCGTAGATCCCGGCCGTAAAGAATGTATTTGTATCTTATCATGGAAACAATGATATACGAAGTCTTTCTAGTGCATAGTATTACAATATGATGGGAAATACGAATAGACTCAAAAAAGAACACAAAAGAAAGCAAGAATTAGGTTTAACTAAAATTGAAACTGATATCCGAACACTAAAAACAGTATCATCAGAAGATTACCTTCAACATGTGTTATACATGATGGAGCATATGAGCCACTTATTTGAATTTTATGGGTTTAACACTGCAAGATATCGATGGAAAAAAACTATGTTGGCTCTCAAATCGTTATAGAATCAAGCGTCAATATTTTGTTAAATGGAGGTAATAAGTATAACAAGAATAGAAGAAAGAATACGAAGAGAAACAGAAGAAGAAGAAGAAGAAAAGCCAGAAGGGCTGAAGACAATCAAGAGGAACGAGCGGCTGCCAATTTATAACTGAAAAGGTGTAGGAAGAGCAAAAGCTGTTTCGAAGAAGGCGATCGCAAGAAAATGCCTCTTGTAATCTTTGGTGATGGCCTTCAAAACAAAGACCAAATCAAATTTAAAGGTCTTCGACACGGCATTTGAAACAAGATGTATAGGCAATTAGAGCATAGAGAGAGATTTGGAGAATTGTTACTTTTAGATATTAATGAGTATAAAACCTCCAAGGTTAGTACAACGATGTCTATATATCACATGTTCTAAACAGCATCCTTATAGATCTGTAACTCTTGCTTGAATCAAGACCTCAAGAGTCTGAAATGTGGGGAAGATGACGATGTCAAACGAATCCATCAAGTATTGAAGTGCAACACTCGCAATATTTTTTGGAATCGTGATGTGATGGCATCCAAGAATATGTTTCTGATTGCTTCTTCAATTTGGAATGGGAACGATCGCCCTACTGTCTTCACACGACAAAGCGCCACCTCCAATGTAATTGCCACATCTAACTCCGGTGAGGTGCTGGCTTAAAGATTTTACAGGTAAGAAGCCTTTACGAAAAAAATAGCATTTTTTTTTTCTGAATCTCATCTAACGTTCTGTCTCTCCTTTGTCCCATTTTTGCATCTGTATCTGAATTTCCTTTTTTATTCATCCAAAAAAGGTAAACAAACTATCTGAAAATCAATTTTAATTCGTCTAACATTGTCTGAATTTGAAGTAGAAATACTGCAACTGCTGTAATTCATACCGAATTCATCTTGTTTTCTTCATTAAAGATGTATAAAGATTTGAAATTGTAAAATTACATGAGAATACAAAGCCAATTCATATCCCTAACTTAACTTTTAGATATATTACCAAAAATACATATACTATTGCTACTGAATCAGGTTCTAATTTAGTTGTTGACCGAAATACAGGAAACTTAAGCATATCAGGTGAAAAAAACAACAACAACAAAAAATAAGGTTAAAGTGCTAATTTTTCCTATAGAAAGTATACCTCCTACCAATGAGCAAGAAAGTGCCTTGAATATTTATGGTCTTTTAGGCTTTATTAAGTTTTGGACAGGTAAACGTTGGAATCATTACTTGTTATAATTTTAATAAACATGTCTTTGTCAAGGTGATTACATGTTGACAATTACTCAACGTGAACTTATTGGCTCTATTCGTGGAAAGTCAATTTATCGTGTTGGCTCTTTTCAAATATTACCTTTAGCTCATAACTTGGACAGCTTGAATGAAAATCAAGTAAAAAACAAACAAACAAAAAAAAAAAAAAGAATTAATAATAACTTGCTTTATTAGAAATCTCAAGAACAAAAATTTGTCAACTTGCTTGAATCTCATCTCAAAAACAATACTTTTTACTTTTCATATGATTATGATTTGACTCAATCAGTTCAGCGACAAGCTTTATATAATGCTGAACAATTAGAGGGACCTTTTTATAAAAGGGTACATTCACAATCTCAAGAAAAATTATGCTTACGAACTAATTTATTTAATTTCTTTTATAAAGGCTGATGAGCGTTTCTTTTGGAATCGATTCGTATCTACAAAGTTAATTGAAGCCAAGATTGATGTAAGTTGTTATTTTTTTTTTGTAGGTGACAAAGTTGTATATTTAATTGCTTTTTGTAGCTTTCTGGCTTTATTTTACCTGTGATACAAGGATGTAAGTGGGCAAAAAAAAAGTTTCATTTCTTATATTTTAACATCATGATTTTATAGTCGTTGAATTGAACAAGTGCCAAATTAATAACAAAGAATTTGTATGGGGCTTAATTACACGTAGAAGTAGACATCGTCCAGGAACACGTTATTTTTCACGTGGTATTGATGAACACGGTCATGTTTCTAATTTTGTAGAAACAGAACAATTTGTCTTGTATAATAATCAAGAATTGTCTTATGTTCAAACAAGAGGCTCTATTCCCGTCTTCTGGGCTCAAGTAATCAATCTTAAATATACACCTCGTCTTTGGATTGGTGAAAATAGGAAGAGTGTAAATTATTTATTTTATAGGGAAAAAATGATAACTTTTTTTTTTCTTTTAACTCAAATATTAAATTATAGTTAGCAGCAGCTCGAGCCCATTTTGATGAGCAAATTCGTATTTACGGTCCTCAAATTTTAGTAAATCTAATCAACAAAAAGGGATATGAGTTACCTATGGGTCAGGCTTATGCTCGTACAGTTGAACAGTTAAATGATCCTCGTATCTTTTATACTCATTTCGATTTTCATTCTGAATGTTCAAAGATGCGTTGGCATCGTATTCAACTCTTAGTTGATCAGTTGAAAGATAAATTAGTAGAACAAGGGTAAAGTTATTAGCAAAAAAAAAAAAAAAAAAATTAAAGCTTAGATTAACATGATTTGTATCAGTTATACTTGCTATGATGTATTAAATAACAATCTTAAGAAAATGCAAACTTCAGTTATACGCTCTAATTGTATGGATTGTTTGGATCGAACTAATGTAGTTCAAAGTACGCTTGCTAGATGGGTTTTAACTCAACAATTACGTGATTTGGGTATTCTAGAGACTAATCAAAAGTTAGAAGATCAACCAGAATTTATGCAGAACTATAGAAATGGTAAATAATTAGAACTAGTGGCTTAAAGAGATTTATATTTATACATATATATATATATATAGTCTGGGCTGATAATGCAGATGGTGTTAGTTGTGTTTATTCTGGTACAGGTGCCCTTAAAACCGACTTCACTAGAACTGGTCAACGTACTAAAATGGGTGCCTTGAAAGATTTACAGAATTCTATAACACGTTATGTTAAAAATAACTTTTTAGACGGTAATCGTCAAGATGCATTTGATTTATTCCTTGGTCAATATCAACTTGAATATGATCAATCTCCTTATGCACATAGTCCATTTGATATCGAGAAGCCCCTTCGTGTTCGTGTTGTAAGTATATCAATATATAAAAAAAAAAGTTACTCTTATGCCCTAGTTTATTCATTTTATCATTTAGGTTCCTTATATCTTAATCTACGCTATTTTCATGCTTTTATTAAACATCATTCATCCTAATTACTCTGGATTCAAATCATATACATCTTATTTCCTTTTACTTCTCTTCTGGATTTCTGTCTTGATTTCAGGTGTTAATTTTGCTTTCAAGCACGGTGATCAATTTGTTCAATGGCCTTGTTTAGTTAAATTACCTTCTACTGAAGAAATACGTGAGTCAAGTACGTTTACAGAAAAGGGTAACATGGCTCCTCCTGAACTTCAAAAAGAAGATATACTTTAAAAAAAAAAGAACCTTCTTTTTTTCTTTTTCTCTACCTTTACTTGTTTGTAATTTTTTTTTTTTTATTAATGAAAAAGCAATAAACTTGTTAATGATAAATTAGCTCTTTGTATAAATTTCTTGCTTAGATCTAGTTGAAAACAGGCAAGACAGCATATATACAACGCATTTTCTTGTATTTTTATCCATTTTACAAATATAAAAAGCATGAAGAATTAGCATCATTTTTTTTTTTTCATTTTCTTTTTTCTTTTAAATAAATAAGACTATGGCCGAAATTGCAAAGAAACACAAATATATCTTAATTACCAATGGTGAGAGTTATGTTGGCCGTACGATGGCTATTCATATTGCAGATGAGTTAGAACATCGTGAAGGTAAACTCAAAAAGAGTCATTGGCGTGTTAGAGTACTGTGTGAAAACAAGCATAAAATGGATTATCTTGAGAAACGAGGAATCGATGTTAAGGTAAAAAGCCTTCAAAATCAAATGAATTTTATTGATATTTTTTTTATTTTATTATTATTATTTTTTTTTTTTTTGGCTTGTAGGAAGTTGACTATGAAAGTGAACATATGCTTCGTGAACAAATGAAAGATCATATTAAAATTATGATCTTTAACCCTTTTTGTACCAAAGACGGACGAATGGCTATGTATGGCAAAAATTTGATTGATGCTGCTATGCATGAGAAAGTAAAGCGTGCTATCATGATATCAAGGTAATCATCTATAGCTTTTCCCCCACCACCACTTATTTCTTTATTTTATTTTATTTAACACTTAAATTATACATTTAGCTTCGGTTGTGAGATGGCTGAAGACAATGAATCTCCCATGGGCCAGTTTAAACAAGCTGAAAACCACTTTCGCAAATGTTTCGAATATGGTTATTGGCTTATTTTCCGTATTCCTTTCATTCAGCAATACATGTATTTCTGGAAGAGCATGATTGAAAACAAGTCCAGACTAGGTATGCCTATGTCTAAACACAGTCTTTTAACGATGGTTAATATAAAGGATGTACTTGAATGTGTATCTATTGCTTGTCTTTCTAAAAAATCTGCTGTTTGGTCAGCATACGCTAACTCGGGAAATGAATCTGATAATTCTTCCTCTGATGATCTTATTAAGTTGAATAAACCTTCCTCTAAACAACTTCAAACTGGTGGGTCTCATTCGACAGGCATGAAAAAACTCTTTATGCTTCATAGTATGCAACCAATGAGCTTGAAAATGATTGCAGAATCCTTAATGAAAGCACTCAAACATGATGATAGTGGTCTTGATATTGACACTATTGAAATGGAATACCATGAACTCGAAAGTTACTTGAAGTATATTGCTGAAAATATGGATCATTGTTCTACAAACCCATCTTCCTTTGACTTGGCTTCAAAGCATAAATCGAATCATGAAGACCATCTTGCATGGCATCCAATGCCAAAGGAAGATCTTAAGCATTTCCAGATCAAACTTATAATAGATCACTTCAAAATGGCTCATTGCTCAGATGTGGTTGCTCCTCTTAATAACGATGTACGAGATATTCTTGGTCGTGATCCTATTGAACTTCGTGACTTTTTTATGCTTAATCGTCGACAATTCCGTCCTACTGCTAAGAAGCAATAAGTCTTACAATATTTGTTTCAACCTAACAAATTTTATAAAAGAAAATAAATAAATAAAACCCTATTATGCCAGCTTACTTTTGTTTAAACAGTTTTTTTTTTCGTTTTGCTATCAAATAAGTATCATAAACATTTAAATCTTTAAGCTTAAGAAGGTTTTCTTTATTCTTTCAAATCCTATACCTTTGTTTACATACCCATCAAAATTATTTCATTAGTCTATCTCAAAGTAAAGTCAAAAATTTATTTAATAAAAAATATAAAGTAAGAGAATATTAGAATATGGTTTTTTTTATTTATGTATTCATTTATGATAATAATAATAGACACTAATAGTAGTCACTCGTGTAACATTTCATTAAGGATATAAAAAGGCGCTCATTTTTAATTTCCCCCCTTTTTTTTTCTTTTTCTTTTTCTTTTTTTTTTTTAAATCAGCCAATCAGCCGTAGTCGTGGGGCCCGCCTTGTTCACCACGTTAAATACTCGAACACAGAGGCAATATGAAGAGCCTGTTTTAAGCCGGGCGGTGACACATGAATCGCCCAGTCTGTGTAGTGCTTCCGATGGGAGGGAATTCTATGCTACCTTCCATCAGCGCAGAATTATAAAATAGTGAGTTCATGCTTTATTGATAATAAGAAGAGTAGGCTGAAAATAAAAAATAAAATAAAATAAAAAGAAAGCATTAACTACGAACAACATAAGTTCATCATATACAAAAGTGTTAGACATCTAAAGGATTGTTTTGTAAAATAGATAGTCCTTCTTATTACAATAGAATAGTCTAGGATAGGGTTTAAAACGATATGTGCATGATGAATGATACTTTCACTTATAACAAAAAGACATCAAGTGTCTGCTTATTGCCGTTGTAATTAAAACTACTGAATATGCTCTAAAATTAACAGTTTACAATATAAGCTGTATCTTATCATTAAAAAGAAAAAAAGGTCTTTTAACGATATGTTTCTTGAATAAGTTAAGCGGATCATAAAAATGGGTTTAATTTAGATTCCCCCCTGAAACTCTCATAACATTTTTATTACATATAACATTTGGCTGTAAATAACTCTATTCTTTTTCTGATTTGTACCTAAGCACAGATAGCTTTAACAATTCGTATATAAACACTTATTAATGTAAAATATTTGACTAGTGTTCAATCTTATTTTGGTGAGAGATATTGCTTCAGGTCTTTTTTTTTTTGATAGTAACCCGGAAGTTGGTTATAATTCAATTATTTGGTTTTATTTATGCATCTTCTTCTTTGGATAAAATAGACATAAATATTTAAATTCTTACTAGAAATATCTGACTGGATAGCTCATATCATCCACTCAAAAGTTCCTCAAACTCCTTCTTGATGGAAGGTGTCTTCAGTTAGTGTTCCACTTTTGAGACGTAGGTTTAGACACGCGGATATCTACAAAGATATGAAGGGCTTAAAGAGAAACATTTAAACAAGTCTGTCAAAAAACAAGTTTAGAAGCTTATTGGTTTAGCATTTTCCAATGATAATTCAGTCTCAATTAAGTCTTCAGGGTTTGGCAATCTAATCAAAGGAACAGTGATTATGATTGTATTGATCTTTTATTTTTTTTATAAATATTGTAAAGGACTTTTAGGTACCTAGTGATTTCTATTACTTGACTCATCGCATAAAATCATTGACTACAATTAATTGAGGAGGGGGATTAAAAGCCTTGATTTTTGTTGTTTTAAATAAAACTTAAGATTATACTCATTGTCGCAATCAAAAAGAGACAAGAAATCTAATCCATTATTTGCTAACAACAAGCTATTAATCTTTATATAACTTATGATTAGTGAATTTTTTCTCTCTCATATTAATACTGTTTCACTGCAAAACAGCCCTTTGAAGAGAGCTTGAACTTTAATAACTTTTCATTACAGATGGACTTTTTCATTATTAAATGGTCTTCAAAAAAAAAGAAAAAAAAAATCTCAGCCTCTGAGATTCATTTCCATTGACATTAAAAAAAAAAAAAAAGAAGAAATGCTTAAATTATGCTCTACCTACTTATTTTTTCCCTCTCTTTATTTGGTCAATCAGTCAAGAGCTAAAAAGAAAAGAAAAAAAAAATGGTTACTATTCTCGATGGCTCAATTGGAAAAATACAAGCTTTATATGACTTTTTAACTGAACTACAAGTCCATTCACTTCTTTATGAAACTGATGTTGAAGCTAATCGTAATAAAAGAATGAAGATTTTCTCTGAGAATGATCGTCCATACACTTCACCATCGCCTCAGCACACAGCCACAATACAGTTTCCTATTTCCATTCCTAATGCAGACCCAGCAGCTGTGATGGAGCTAGTCAAAGATGTTAGTCAATTTCATGATCAGCATTTAGATATAGAATGGAACTATGTTAGAATGGATGAATCGATCTTCGCTTCAATGAAAGTGTTTACTTTAGGAGAAAAGCATGTTATTGTTGAAAATGAATATATGTGCCCAAGTAACCATTTTCAAGATGATGATACAGAAGTTATCGAAAATAATGTACAACTATTTATTGCCATTGCTTATGCTGCGCATACTAAACTTATTTATGCCTACAATATTAGACTTGTTAGCAATACCAGTAGTTTTAATTTACAATTAGATTTAAAGTATGGAAATACAGCTAACAGATCAACAAAATTATTAACTTCACTTTCGCATAAAGTTGCTATAAAAGAAGATAACAAAGTAGAAGCCCAATACAATAAGAATGATTCGTTAAAGCCTTTATCTTATGCGTCTTCTTCATCATCATCGTCATCTATAAATACTACTACTTTGAATGTTAAAAAACGTCATTTAGTTACAAATAACAACACTACTATCAACCTAACTATACCACCTTTACCTTGTGATTCTACAATTGAAGATTTTTATAACTATTTACAACCTTCTGTGTCTAATATATACCTTGAACCTTATACTTCTCACAAAGTTACTGCAAGATTAACTCCTTTCCAAACACAAAATGTACAATGGATGATTTATCGTGAAGGACAAATTATTAATAATGATAATGCTATTATACCTAATTTAGACATTTATAATAACTTACCTCTTCTTTATGCTGGCTCTCATGATGCCAAGGACTCTAATCGTGGTAGCTATCTAAATCTATTTACAGACGTTGTAAGCGTAGATAGGCTAGCGATAAATAAGCTTATCGATCGTTCATATCGTGGTGGCATCCTTGCCGATGAAATGGGCCTTGGAAAAACTATCAGTGTATTGAGTTTGATTGCAAAACATATATGGGATCCTAAAAATGAGTTTCATCCCAAGCCGAGTGAATGTCATGATTTAGTTTTTTCAAAAGGTACATTAATTATTGCTCCTTCATCCATTATTCCTCAATGGCAGTTGGAAATTAAGAAACATACACCAAGTTTATCTGTTTTTATTTATGAGGGACGTCGTAATGATAGATCTATTTTGGCAAAAGATCTTGCTCAATATGATATTGTACTGACTCATTATGAGGTATTTCCTTTTTTTTTTATTCTTTTACCTATTATGTGATGTAAACTAAAATCTAATGAGAATTAATATAGGCTTTTAGACATGAGATATATTATGCGACTCCTCGTCCAAAAAGACCTCAACGAAAGGGTATGATTATATAAATCATAAAAATAATCATCATTAATATATTCATTTAATACATATATATATACAGGTGTAAGATATAATAATGAGTTCAAGACAAGCCCTTTAGTAAATACGCTTTGGTTTCGTTGCATTCTTGATGAGGTATATATATATATATATATATATATTTATAATTATTTACATCTAAATTATATACATACATACATATACATATATATAGGCACAAATGATAGAAGCTTCTTTAACAAGAATTGCTGCTCTAACGAAATCAATTCCACATTGGTATGCATGGGCAGTAACAGGCACACCTATTCGCAGCAACAACAACCACAACTTTACTGACCTCTATGGTCTTTATGATTTTTTAGCCCTCGAAACTACACTTAATAGTGAACGTGAATTTAAAACCTTTTGTACTGATCCCAATTACAGGCCCATCTTTTATCAATTTGCAAGTATGACAATTCGACGTAATAATAAGGCAGCTCTAGGAGACCAAATTCATATTCCAAAACAATCACGGCATGTGGTGCGTATCCCGTTTTCAACAATTGAACAACATTATTATGATGACCTTTGGCGAACATGTCGTCAAAGGCTTCGTTTAGACTGGCTGGACAGTATCGAATGGTCATTACCTGATGATGCCTCTGAAATAATGCAAATGGAATATCATAGCTTACGATCCAAGATGAGACCTTGGTTGCTTGCATTGCGTCAAAACTGTATCCATCCATCCATGATTAATAACAGGACAATGAGATTAGAGAACCTAGGTGAAACCAATAGTACGAGAGGAGCAAAACCTTTACATGATGTTCTTAACGATATGTTACGAAATGCAATGATTACACTGGATAATAACCAACATGCATACTACTCCATGACACTCAAGCATGGTGGCATGTATGAAGTCTTACAGGACTGGCGATCATCTTACAATGTGTATTTACAACACCTACAAAGCGTAGAAGATTTAGTTCAACATCATGCAGACGAGGTGAAGAAGGCACAAGACTTGAAAAAGCAAAAGGCAATAACTGAGGGAACAAATGAAATATCTACTATATTAAAATATAGTTCAAATACACTGATGAGATGGCATTTACTTTTACATCAATATTATTTCTATATTGCAGGTATATGCCATCGTCTTGTAACCGAGGCCTCTGAAGACGGCCAGAAGGAGGAACAAGAAAGTCTGGAAAACTTGTATTATACCAAAGCCACAAATATTCGTCGTGTTTTATTAGAAAACTATACAAGTAAAGTCAAACAACATGTAAAGGAAGTAAGTGAGGCAGCGAGAGCTATCCAATCTGACAATCACAATTCAGAATTTTTGATGGGATCACGACCTCTACTTGACGTAAATACTTTTATTGAATTCTTCAAAAATTATTATAAACAACAACTGCATCCAGCTGCTGACGAAGAACAACAAGAGGCAGATCGGGAAGAGGTAGCACCTGATATTAACATTCTATATAACCTTAAATATCTTGGGCCTCTCCTGGATCGACAATATCAAAAGATTCTCTATTTAAGGTCTAAGATTATACCCATCTTGACAAAACCACTTGTCGATGAGCAACAACAAGAGGAAGCAACAGGTAACGAATATGAGGAATCATTACGTCAACAGGAATTATGTCAAGTCTATTTATCTGCTTATCAACACTTGCTTCAAGATAGAAAATTTATCATAAAGGGAACTACTATGTCCGTAGCTGAAATTATTGCAGCCGAAGGATCGTGGAGTATAGATGAAAACATGAATGGGGATGCAGTTATTAGCCCTGAAGCAAAACAAATAGAGATAACTGAAAATGCATTTAGAAAGGAGCTAATGTCACCTACTGGATATAAAGTTGAATGTTTAAGAGATGTTGAATTCTCATTAAGAGCTCTAAAGACCAAGTATTCTGATGCAACTGACGCTGCCAGCAATAAACAATTGGTACTACAAAGGGAGCATGAGTATATAAAGTTCTGTTTACCTATACAGGCTAAGCTTGTTGATGATATAGATAACGACTTTAAAAAGCTATCTCAGTTATTCAATAGTCGAATCTCTTATTACAAATATCTTCAAGGCATCTCTGATACCTTGCTCGAATGGGAACATAAAAATCCAATGGCGGAAATTGATAAATTAAAGATGGCAGAAGCTAAACTTGAGGAGCAGATTGTACAAAATAAATCACGATATCACTATTTTAAAGTGTTGATGGAAGAACAAATTTCATTAGAGAAAGAAGAAAAGCTAGTGAAGAAGGATTGTTTAATTTGTCAAGAGCCTATTGAAAAGGGCATCATTACTTATTGTGGTCATACCTCATGTTTAGATTGTGGCTTATTATGGTTTAAAGTGAATCGACGATGCCATACATGTAATTCTAAAGTAGGCATGAATCAGTGGTATAATATATCATACAAGCAAATGGAGATGCATAAAAAGGGAGAATCTTGCAGTACTCTGTTAGACAGCAATGAAGATGATGAAAGATTAAAGCAACTTATTAACGAAATCAATAAGCAACAGATTGTAGAAGGAGAAGGACAAAAGATTGATAGTATTATTCGTCACATTAAGCACATCAAAATGACCAAGAATGGAAAGTGTGTTATCTTTTCTCAATGGGCAAAAGCACTTGATATGCTTAAAGAGGGACTTAAAAAGAACAATATTAATTTTATAATGGTCCAGAGTGGGGCGCCCTCTGCAAATAAGAAGAACATTAGTAAATTTCAAGAAGATCCTAACGTGAATGTTATTTTACTACATGCACGAAGTCAGTCTAGTGGATTAACATTAGTAGTAGCTCAAACAGTATTTATTGTTGAGCCTGTCTTAAATGAATCCTTAGAGAAACAAGCTATTAACCGTATTCATCGTATAGGCCAAACCAAAGAGGTAAGGTATTCTATTCTTATGACTTATGAATCAGTTAAACTTATTATAGTCATTAGACGGATGTTTTTTGGTATATTATTCAAGATACGATTGAAGAAAGAATTCAAGCTATCCATGATGTCAAACGAGAACATCATAGAAATGATAAAAAAAGAGTGACAGAGGAAAGAGTAGAGCTTTCTAAAGTCTCAGAAGGAGGAGGCGAATATGTAAATAATGATGACCTTCGTCGTTGTTTCACTAGTGATGAAGCTTATGCATTAAGTTGAATTATAGCTTTTTATTATTATTATTGTTAAAAAAGTACATTAATCAAAATCTGCTTCAAATAAAACTTCGCGTTCTGCCCTAACTTCACCAGCAGGAACTAAGTCCCAAAGTTGGTTAAGACTGTCATAACCAAATTTTTTATGATATAAAATCATTCTTGTGCCATCGTTTGTTTGATTTCCTCGAACGTCTAATACCATATGTGGGTCTGCTAAGGTATAAATGTATCCATCTTCATAACCCCATCTTTGATTTTGTGCCTCTGATATAAGTTTACGATCATATTGGCAAATCCATGCCTCATCCACTAATGGCCCACCTCGAACATCCAATACCTTTCCTGAACATTTATTAACTATAAACCCGTCCTATAAAGGATATTGTGTGTTAAATTCAAAATAAAATAGAAAGTTTTTTTCTTTTTGTGTGTGTGTGTGTGTGATGAGCATCATTGTATTATTTACTTGGTAATACCAAAGTTGATTATCTCTATCGTCATTATGTTTAGGTGTCCAAATTAATATTTTAGCATCATTCTTGAAAGTAACTTTAATTTAGTGTATAGTTGTATTTTTTTTTTTGAAAGAAATAAGTCTAAAATACCTTTGTAGACGCGCCATCCACTTTGTAAACAGTAAATTAGTACATCAGACAATTTTTGTCATTAGAATACATCTAAAAAAACAACAACAACAACAGCAAAGTTATAAACTAGATACCATCAATAACTTTTCCTGAGTTACGAGATTTGATATAAAAATAACCAATAGGAAAGTCGTCCATTTATTTGTTGATCAAGTAGAAAAGAATATAAAAAAGATTTGCTTCCTAGAAATCATTTCTCTGTGAATGTTAAGCCTACTGAGTATAAATTACTCAATAACATAATAAAATAGATTTATTATACAAATACTAAGTGAACGAGTTTATCAATAATAACGAATAATAGCTTGTATTAATGACATTGTTTTCCTTTTGAAGTTAAACATGAAGTTTGAATTCTTTTCATAAGCATCTTTTACATATCACTCCTTTAAATAATAATAGCTGTCGTCAATATTTTAAAGACTGTCTGGGTATTAAACTGTTTAAGGCACCCCCTCCCCCATCTTTACGCACATTTTTTTTTTTACCCCTTCCTCAAAAAAAAAAAAAAAAAAAAGAAAAGAAAAAAAAGTTAAAGAATCATAATATAAAGTGAAATGAATCGAGCCTATTCCTCTATTAAATGCTTATTAAATTCAACACGTCAACACACATTCATATTAACAAAGCATCATGATGTTGTTATTCGTCGTCAAGTGCATGGAGGTGTAATGGATCCCTTGCGATTGCGTCCTTCAAGATACCCAGCCGAAATGTCAGAAAAGCTCTTAACAGCGATCCGTCAGCATAATCCATTAGCAGTTTGGAAGGCCTATCAAGATATATGTGATAAAAACAATCTCAGTAAACTTCCAGCAGAGTATCATTCAATGGCATTACAAGCGTTCCAATTAAAAAGGCTTAAAGCATACGGTCCAAAAGTCATCAAGTTTTATCGTAAATGCTTATTACATATTCTCGAAAATATGAAAGCTCAAGAACATAAGCTCAACGTTCGCGATTATAATCTATTTCTAGATTTTTATGGACGATCTCATGATTGGAATTCGGCAGTAAATTGCTGGAAAGAATTAAATAAGGAACAACAACCTAATGAATATAGTTATAATTTATATTTATTTGCTGCTCTTCAGTGTAAGAAATATGAAGAGGTATTCAGGATATTTAATAAGATGAAAGAGTCAAAAATAAAGCCAAATGAAAGTACATGTAATATCATGATTGAAGCTCATGGATGTTTAGGACATGTTCAAGATGCTGATCAAATTTTTAGTACCTATTTTCTTCCAAAACAACCGAAACAGGCTTCTTTGATGTCCAGTTTACTTCATCCTGAGCTGTCTACAGTCGAACGTCCTAGCTTTACTTCACTTATGGCACCCATTGCCCGCTCTCTACCTCCTCCTAAAATGACTGATACCAACACAATTCCAGCCCAGTTCAAACCTAATAGGGACACATTCATTGCCCTGATCAATGCTCATGGTCGGAATAAGAATGTAGCAGGACTGTCTTATATTTATAACACAATGCTGCCCAAATATGAAATCGAGCCTGATTTAAAAATCTATAATACCTTAATCGAATGGTTTTGTTTTAATGGAGATATAGAATTGGCAAGGAGGATGTTTGTTAATATGGGAAAAGCCGATGTTCAGCCAAATGCTGTGACTTTTCAACATCTCTTTCGACATGAAGCAATTAAACGAAAGAGGCCCAAGGCGGCTGAAGACCTAATAAATTTCATGAAGAATGAATACGGTATACGTCCCTTACTATCAATGTATCAAACTTTGATCAAAATTCATAATAAGTCTAACCGTGAAGATGAGGCTAAACGATTACATAAGGAATATATTGAGCTTAAACATAAGCTTTCCTCACCTGCTCATTCTTCAAATAATTAACCTTTATCCTATGTACATTATAAAAAGAAAAAAGGAGAAAAAAAAAGCAATATGCACATATCTTTTTTTTATTGCCTTTTGTTTTTATATACAATATATAATATATTTAAAATATATAGAAATGTATAATTACACCCTTTTCTTTATTTACAAAAAAAAAGGCCTTCTATTTAATAAATAACACAATCATATTTGTATATCCTTGTAGTTTTGGAAGAAAAATCAATAGCTATATTTAATCAGGAATAATAATAGAATAAAAATAGTCAAAAGGTACAAAGAGGAGGAGTTAATAAGAAGCTAGATTGGAAAAAAAAAAGGAAAATCTATTAGCTAATGCAGAAACTATTATTCAAGCTAAGGATTATCATAGTTGTATCCTCAAAGACATTGAAAATCTTGCAATGTATGAAGAATATGGTAGACTACCATTAATATCAAATATGAATATTATTATTATTCTCTAGTTATTGCCTCCTTGTGTACACAAATCTGTAATAATATCACCATAGGCATAAAATATAGGGTTGTGTTGAATTAGAGAGAATGTTGCGATTAAGCAGTATAGTATCAGAAATGTACTGTAATAATATATAGATCATGTGTAATAAATGGATACTAGCATGGGACTTTAGATCGATTGAATGCATTCCTCTTCAATGTATGCATGTCAAAGCTTTATTACACGTGTCATTTTCCATATGTCAAGTATAGTATAAATATCATATTTTAATACATATTTAAAAAAAAACCCCCTATATGACACGTATACTACCATTTAATTCGAATTGTCATGTAATTTTGACAGAATAAAAGTATAATAGTTACCTTATATAGCTCATAATCACTACAGTAAAGTGTTGTATCTGATTTATATCTCTCTTCTTTATATGTATATACATATATAAAATCTCTTGATAGTAATATGTTATAATTGTGTAAATAAATATGATCATATAGCGTTAAACATGGATATAATCAATTCTTTATTTAATTTAAAGAAAATCTTTTTTTTTTCAAAAAAATAAATAAATAAATAAATAAATATGTATAACTACAAATATAAATCAAATGGAAAATACAAAATATACATTTTTTTTTTAAAAAAAAAGAAGAGGGTAAAATAATTGAACAAAAAGCATATTTATGCTTTTTTTTTCTTTTGTCAAAGCAAACAATTTAATATTAAGCGGTTTTCTTTCTCTTCTTCTTACTCTTATTTGAACAGTCAAAGACAGCATGAATAATTGTTTCTGCATCAAATCCAACGATTGAGCTAGCATATCGGTAACCTTCTTTTGCTTCTTCAATAAAAACACTTCGCTTATAGCGCTTCTCAAATACCTCAGATAATCTAGCCTTGTCGACCTCTGAATTGCTACCCAATTCGCAAATTGTTCGACGCCCAACCCAACCATAACGATGCATTTCAGGCACTTTAAGGAATTCTACCAAAATATCACCTGCATAACGGCGACTTGCTACTAGTTTTGGTCCAGCTTCTTCATCAGATAAGTTTAAAAACTATAATAAAATGATGAGTTATTTTTTTTTGTTTTGTTTTCGTGCAGCAAATAGCGTTTTATTCATTATTATTATTATTATTTTACCTTTGCTGGATGTGATGGATATCCATTAACACGAGCCCAAACAATTTCTCCCTTTCTGAAATTAGGTACTGGAATATCATTTCTTCCTTGCCTTTTAAAGCGTTTGCTTCTATGTTCAGTGTCATCATTATCTTCTCTTTGGACACCCACAACATCAATTTCTTCGCTTTCAATGCTATTAGTTGTGGTGCTATTTTCCATTATAGGATTGCTAATATCATTGTTTTTATCATCATTATCATCCTCATCGATATATACCCATCCAATAGGGGCATGAATTTTTTTGTTTTCTTTATATTTTTCAGTAGGTTGGCGTTTAACTAGCAGTTGAGAGACACCATTATAAGATGAATAAAGAGTAGAAGCTTCGTGGGATCTCTTAAGTCGTTGCGTAAGTTCCTTAAGGCTTGCTTGTAAACCTGAACTACGTGTTATTCGAGATGACGTCCTTTCCTCTGCTGGATAATTTGTATATTTGCCTTTTCTACGACGCTTCTTACCAATAGATGATGTTGGTATAGTGTCATTAGATATGAATGATGTTGTTTTGAGAATAGCTGGTTTATTATCATGAATCGTAACTGCATCTGGTGTTTTGATATCGCCTGTAGTTGTAAATGTGCTTGAATGACCATTCATGATATGTTGAGCATCACTATTAAGCAAGGGTAGTTGATTAAAAATTTGGTGATCTTGTGGATGTTGTATTTGTACAGTTTCAGGAAGGACATTGGCTACAATAGAATTAGCTTGCTTCATTTCGCAAGAACCATTTGTGATAAAATGATCTTGTTCATTGCGAAACTTGGATGGTTTGACTAATTTTGATGTAGCCTGTTCATCATGAAGTTCATTAGTCTTCATTCGCTTCCTTCTTGCATTTTCGTTTTCGATATAGACACCTACTCGTGGCCATTTATGTGTCCTACTGGGGATTTCTTTTCGTTTTTTAGTATAAAGTGTTTCTAATTTGGGTTTTATATGTTGACAATGCTTCTTTGATTCTTTCTGGGACGGTCCCTTCTCGTTTATATTTATCTCCATTCCTTCAATCTCTTGGTCAATAACAGGCTTATGATACCTCATCTCATCATTATCTTTAGATATCAAATTATCAATATACGTATCTAAGGTACCATCTTGAAGTAATGAAAGTTGGGATATCTTATTGTCTGCCTCATCAAATAGTTTTTCCAATGTTGCTCTCATCTTTACAGCTATCTTATTCATTGGACTTTGTTCAAGTAATATTCTGATGTCATACTTGAATTGATCTAGAGTTTTATATCGATGTTCTATAAAATCACTCTGAATTTTATAGAAAAAAGGGCAATCAGTAATATCTTTGGTATATAAAAAAGTGTCGGGAGGATCAAATTGTACAAGCGCATCCAAGATAGGTCGAATGATTGATTCCATAGGAAATAGAATATGGTCAATATGTGCCTTTTGTTTTTTGATGCGGTCAAGTTTTTCCTGTTCTTGTTTTCGAAGCTGTTCAGCACATATACGATGGTCTTCAAGGTTTTGTCGAACTTTTATCATAGCCTATACACATGTTTTATAGATTAAATGACTAATAATGAGTTCATATATATTTCTACACATACCAATTTTTTGATTTGAAGGTTTTCTTCAGTAAGATATTCACTTGAAGTAGACCAGGGCTAGATAAATAATAATAGTAAGATGGAGAAGCATCTATTTTTTTTTAATAATATAATATAAATATGTACCTCAATTTGTAATCGTTTAATTAAAGGCGCACCTTTCATATTTTGTCTTTTTAAGGACCAATAACGGGCAATGATATTAACGAACTCTTGTTGATTTTCGATTTTAGAATAACGAACACATGGTAAATCAGTGATTTTTTTCAGAATAGAATCAGGCATTATGGGTATAGATGATGCTAATGAAAAATTATTTTGTTGAAAAGACGGCTGACTATAGTTACTGAAACTATTTCTATTAGCACTGTTACTTGTGGTATCTTGTTCTGTTTGGACATCTTCATCATCTAGAAGTTTATGGCTATCCTCATTAACATTAAATGGTTCTGCAATCCTAAGACTGTTTATATGATCGTCGTTTCCTATTGTGTAATCTTTAGGTGCATGACGCATACAATAGGCATTTAACATAACACCAGCAGTATTAACATCATTTGGGTCACTCGGAGGACAATAAGTCATCTTTAAACATAAATTAGCTTGTCTTGCACATGTAACATGGAAGGCAACGCAACAATGACTATTGACACATTGAATACATGCACCCTTCTTCTTATGACAAATGTAGCATGTCAAATTCCAGCGACTTTTTGGTATTTTATCGATATCTTGAATGGGTTCCATATAGGTAGTGTTACCAATTGAAATCTCTGGGATCCAAATAGCACATAAAAGATGACTCCACTCATGGTCATTAATTTGTTTAAATGCACCACCTTCGTTAGGACAAAAGACGCAGGAAAGAGATGTATTAGGAGACAAAATAGTACATTTTTTGCAAAACCATTGTCCCTCTGGGATAAAAGGTATGCCGTAACACTCTTGATGAACAGCTAGGTTACATCCATCGCAAAAGACGATGGCATTACAATTTTCAGCTTCAGTATCATTACAGATGGCACAGGGGATGTCTTCAGATGTTCTATTAACACTATTTTCTTCCACTTTATTTTTTTCTGTTGGACTTATTGGCGTATTCTTAGCCTAAATCATATTGACTATAGCATTAAATCTATATACATATACATATATACGTGTCTTATAAATACGACTTATTTGTTTGTATTGATCTTTACCAAAATGAACCATTCTTTTTCTAGCTTATCAATAATAGCTTCAAATAAAAAGTCAGATACTTCATTCAAGTTCTGCTGCTTTCTTTCTTTGTTTATGAGCTGAAGCCAGGCATCATCCATCTCATCCATATCGTATTCAATTTTATTGTAAAACTCTTCTTCAGTGGGCTCACTATAGCGTATATAATGATTTTCAGGTCGATTGAATATACCATGATTGATACTATTTTCATCGTATTCACTATAAATTGAAGGAATACTATTATCTCGACCTGATTGATGCAAAGTTGAAGCTCGTTCTTTAATGAAATGTTCCTTCTTCTTTTGATGATTTTTTTGTATTTCAACTATTTTATCTTTGTTATCAGCGCAATGAACATTGCATTTACTAGCATTCTGTAGACAAGTGTACTTGATTTGAGGTAGTTTACTTAAATTAATACCATGAAAATAGGTTACATCATTATTGACAGTACTCTTTGGCGTTACTAACATTGTGCTACCAGAATTGGATGTCGCAGTGATTTCGGAGTTTAAACGATCCTTTCTGTTGAAAGAGTTATTTTGATCACTATTACTACTATCAACGTGTTGTTCACCTATAGTTGCTGCAAAAGGGAAGGCAGAAAGTGGGGACCAGGATAGATCTAAAGATGTCTGATGTTTCTCATGCTCAATACTAACTATTTTCAAAGGTTCTTTTGTATCCAGGCTATATAATGTGGTGTAATCTACAAGTTGGTATTGATCATTCATCGCTTGTGGATTAGCAGCTAATGATTGACCATTACTTTTTGGTCTACCTCTCCTGTGACTAGTATTACTAGTCCTTAAGTTTTCTAAGTTTGTCATTTACTTTTTTTTTTTAAAAAAAAAGAAAAAAAAAGAGTAAAAGGGATAATTAACAAAGATAGTATTTAGCTGCTTTCTTTTCTTATCAGGAAGTTTAATAACTGTTTTAGGTAAATAAAGTTTGCAATTAAACAACAAGAATAAAAAAAAAAGAATAGGGTAAAAAAAAAATAAGAAAAATATAATGAAATAAAGAGATAAAAGAAATAAATAAACTGTACACTACTGTCCTTTTTATCTTTTTTTTTTTTTTTTTTTTTTGTTAGTTAAAGTGCGTAAGGTCTCAAATAGCGGATTTTCAAAATCAAATTTTCTTAAAAAAAAAAATCAATAAGCATGCTTACTGCCCAACAGCGTTTCTTTTTACTTTATATAGTAACTATAAGCAATAATCGTAGTATATTTTTGAGAAAAAAAAAAAGATGATGATAAAGCAATGTACTCTATTATCGAAATAGAGGATGAGCCTTATCTAAAAACATTTGACTAATTTATCAGTATAAAAAGAACTACAGTCTGTTCCAATTGAGTTAAATTTTGAGGAAAGTAGAATGAAGAAGCTAAACAAAGTGTTAGCTGACAGAGTATATGAAAACAATAGCTATACTACTTGTATATGTATATGACTGTAAAATATAGTAAAATGCTATCAGAAAATTATTATTTTTTTTTTCAGTAACGAAATTAGGTTAACATGCTAGGTTTTCTAAATGAATTGTTCAAACATAAGTTAGGAGAATCAAATCAGAATATCTATAATAAAAGCAATATTACTAGAAGTCAATTTCAATCGAAATAAAAGTTGCATATTATCTATTTGTTATATCGAATTGATAGGTTAGTATTGTACTTGACATTAAAAAATAAAAAAGAAAGACCTACACACTCGATAAAAATATTCAAGTATTTACTTTTACAGCCAGTTATCTTGTACAGCAGTATTATACACAAAGATGTCACTATTCGCAGCGATATTAAAGCCAATTTCCCTGGCTTTAGGAGAAGAAGCATTAGAAGAGCAACAGACGTTGGCTATCACGTATTGACTGTGCTTCGAAATGTGCTCAGCTCTGTAAGACACTTGGTATTATTTCTTTAGTTTACGGAACAAAGGACAGTAATATATCTCCATGGTATGATTGTAAGATTCATAACTGCATTTCTATAATAATTCCGTCTATATACATGTAAAGTAGATTTATCCTTTTACGTAAAATAATTAATATACTCTACCTTTTCTTATTGTTCTACTGAAATAATCAAATTATTGTCCTCTTCAATGGTTATATTTTATATTCTGATTAGCAAAAAAAAAAAAAAAAAAAAAAAAAAAAAAAAAAAAAAAGATAATACAAATGTATTTTGTGTAAAGTTCAAGTATTAATATTTGTCCAGAAGTATTTAACGAAAAACTAATAATAAACAAATGTCTGATGTTTTAGTAACATTAGCAATATTACATACTGTTTACCATTGTTCATATTGTTTTCATACACACACATAAATAGATACACAACTAATCATTTGATTTTAGTGTACAAAATCATATAAATCAATAAATCTCTTGAATTATTTGAAGAGGTCATTATTAGAAATATCATTACAATCAATGATCTATTTGAACTAAATCAATTTAATGTATAACTCTATACTTATTAACTATTAACTTTAATTCTTGTGCGTAAATCAAATTGAAATAGCTTTTAACTGCGAATAACTTGCCACTTAACTTTAGAATAACTGTCAACATCTCCTCCCCCCATTTAGCTAAAAAAGAAAAAAAAAGAAAAAAAAAGGTGTCATTTATACCCTTTTCTAGATATTATGCTCACTGAATAAATTAAAACTAAAAATGAACAATGATCGTGTTGCAATTTAGTTATGCTGCATTTCATTAGCTAATTTAAAAAGGAGAAGGTTAAAAAAATATTCTTTGGAGAATCAATACATCAATTTAACATTAGGGTTGATGAGAGAAGACAAAGTGTTTGTAATATAGACAATCAATTTCATGCAAAAATGATATATATTGTTGGTCATCGAACTAATCAAGAAGATGCTAATTATGGAGACTTTAATTTTTTTTTTCAAGGAAGTTTGTTGAGAAAAGACAGAAAGCGAACCAGCGATAGTTAATATCATTTGGATTTGACGGTGTATATAAAGGTATTTAATAAAATTATTACAGGTAAATTTATCATAAAGATGATTAAGGCATAGCCAAGAAACATCATTGAGAAGTCATCCAAGATATCAACAAAGGACGCAATCATGCTCAATATGAGTCATTAATAGCCAAAAGATTCGATCCCTCCCGAAAGAAGAGTGAGACTTTGAGATCATTTTGATGTTGATACAATTATAAAGACAAGCAGGGCTATATTGTAAATAGTGTTGATAAATCTGTCTGAAAGTAAGCACCTTAATAGTGTTTAATATAAGGATACATAATTACCAGAGGGGACTCTTTGTAAGTTTGTACTAATGTAAACAGTTGAAGGAGGTCTGGGTATGTGACAATAGAGGTTGTAATAAAGAATCTTCAAGTAATTCAATTAGGCTAAGGAATAAGTTACTAAGCAAATAAAGCATTGCTCTACTTGAGGATCAAAATGATCTACTAAATAAACGGTAAACACAATCATTCTAACAGATTTTTTTTTTGAGCGGGCTACTATTCGAAATATTAATAACAAATCCACATTACAATTAATTTTGCACTATTTGAATATAGATGCATTATATAAAGAAGACAATCAAAACTTTTAGAGTTAATACCAACAGAGTTGATTTGATTCATGGCTTTTGTTATCTTATTAATGTTTTATTGACTTACTGCTGAAGCATCAAGGAATTTACCCGGTTTTAAAGGAATATCAAGGTATGACAAGTAATCTGTACAAGGTATATTTAATAATCTCTGCTCTCTTAGAAAAGTCAGTATGACATTCCATTCTGGAAGTATTAAAAACACTAACTTTTTTTTTTTTTGTAAATATGTAAAAGATATAAATAGTTCTAGTAGATGTATATATATTTAAAAAAATAATATTAATTTAGCGTTGGGAGTTTTAATTATACTGAAGGATATTGTTACTAATTGTAAATTGTGTCTCGAAAACACTTGATGAATTGGATAAATATGCAGAGAGAAAAATGTTATTATGAACAATGTTCCTTTATATATCTCTGATGAAGTAAAAAAAATAAAATATTGGTAGATATTACGAGTATGTGTATATACATGCTTGTAGGCTTATTTTCCTGATTTAAATCATTTAGGACGATTATAGTCTTTAATTATAAACATAGAATCAAACGTAATCAATTTAATGACAAAGAAAACTTAAAAATTAAAATTATTAGCATCTTTAATACAATTAATGTAAAATTAAATATTCTAAAATATATCTAGCTTTTTGAAAAGGTTGAATAACACATCATAAAAGGGAAAAAAAAAGAATATACTATATATGGAAATTTGTCTTTTATATTATATCATTAAACGCTTTCTCTTCAATTGCATGTGTTTATGCTGACAAAAGGTCAATATGCCTTAACAAGCAAAAGTGGAGGAAAAGTGACTGCCTTCAACTTCTATAGTAACCATTATAGCATATGTACTTTTTTTTTTATCTTATGAGAACCTTTTGTTTCACACTTTATTTTGTTTTTGTTATTTTTATTTTATTTTCTTAACTTTATATTATAATGTCTACTATGTCTTCTCGAGATCATCTTGTTCCTCGTCACTCAACCTATATTAGCAAAACTACTGATGAATACAATAATAATATAAAGGAATGGCAAGTTCTCATTGATCAATTAAAAGAGCGGCTTCAGGAGGCAACAGGAGAAGGCAAACCAAAGCATATTGCTTTACATCGAAAACGGGGACAATTATCAGGTATTTTTATATTAACTTTATCCGGAGATTTAAGTTCCTTTCGCCTTTATTCTTAATCCTATTATTATTCTAAAGCTCGTGAACGTATTGAGGTACTTTTAGATGAAGACTCACCTTTCCTTGAATTATGTGCACTTGCAGGTTATGGACAAGATGATATGACGCTTGGTAAGACTAATAATAGTATATATGCATATATATACATATATGTTAAAATTATTTTGGTATAAAAGGCGGCTCAGTCGTTGCTGGTATTGGACTTGTTAGGTACAAAAAAATTATGAATTATAAACTATCCTTTTTTTTTTTTTTAAAAAAAAAAAAGAAATATTAATAAAACTTTGTCATGCAGTGGAGTCCTTTGTCTAGTTTCTGCACATGTTCCAACTATGGCTGGTGGTGCTATGAACGAAATATCTGCTCTTAAAGGCGGTCGTCTACATCAAATTGCTATACAGAACAAATTGCCAACAATTACTTTTGTTCAATCAGTAGGCTTTTGTTTTGCTTTTTGTTTTTATAGTAGTTTTGTAGTTTTCTTTTTCTTTATTAATCTTTCTCTTTTTTTTTTCTTCTTTAAATTTATAGGCTGGCGCAAATTTACAACAACAGTTTCGTGTATTCCATCGTGGCGGTGCAGGCTTTCGTAACCAAGCTATACAGTAAGTGAACGATTTGCTATATTAATTTATATTAAGAGGTTTATTTTTACATAAAAAATAAAAATAAAAAATACTCGATAGATCAAAAGTTGGTATTCCATCCTGTTGTGTTGTATTTGGTAACTCAACTGCAGGTGGTGCATATACTCCTGGTATGAGTGATTATGTGATCATGGTTAAGAAACAAGCTCAAGTCTTTTTAGGTGGTCCACCTCTAGTTCAAATGGCTACAGGAGAAGTCACAGATGCTGAAAGCCTAGGTGGCGCCGACATGCATTCTCGTGTTTCTGGCGTTAGTGACCAGCTGGCTAATGATGAATATGACGGTATTCGTAAAGCCCGTGAATGGGTTGCTAATTTGAATTGGGAACAAAAAGGAAATTTACCCCCAAGGCACCTGAATGGTCAATATGAAGAGCCTTATTATGCCGCAGGTAATCATAAGTATTCTATATGATACATCCGTATTTAAATAGAGTTAACTTTTATGCACACGCACACACACACACATATATATATAGAGGAATTATTGGGTATTGTTTCTGCTAATATTCGTATCCCTTTTGATGCCACAGAAGTCATTATTCGTATTGTAGATGGGTCACGATTTACTGCTTTCAAACCGAATTATGGAGGAAATCTTATTTGTGGATGGGCTTTTATTCATGGTATCCCTGTTGGTATTCTTGCTAATAATAATGTTATTTTCACTCAAGAAGCCAATAAAGCTACTCAATTTATTCAACTTTGCAATATGAAGTATATATATATATATATATATATAATTTGCTTTATTTTAAGTAATAATATTATTTAACATGTACATTATGTATATACATACATATATATATATATATATATATAGAAATACACCATTAATTTACTTGCAAAACATTACGGGTTTTATGGTTGGTAAAAGATATGAAGAAGAAGGTATTGTCAAGGCTGGTTCTCGTTTCATTAATGCTGTCAGTAATTCTACTGTGCCTGCAATCACTATTATGATGGGTGCTAGCTATGGTGCCGGTAATTATGCAATGTGTGGTCGTTCTTATGAGCCCAGGTAATAATTATATTTTTATGTAATCTATATTTAAACTAATGATGTTCTATATAGATTTTTATTCTCTTGGCCTAATTCTAAATGTTCAGTAATGGGTGCTGAGCAACTAACAGGCGTACTTGACCTCGTTATGCGACAAGGTGCTGCTAGGTAATATATATATAAAGTCTCAAATTTATTCAGAACGAAAACTAATATGTATATATATATATATGGTAGGTTGGGTCAAAAGATTGACGAAGAATTAGCTAGTGAGAGAAAAGCCATGTTCCAGGCTTCGGTTGAAGCAGAATCAGATGTCTATTATACATCATCTCGTCTTCTTGATGATGGTATTATTGATCCTAGAGATACCCGAACTGTCATTGGATTCTGTCTTGCTACTATTTATAATAATAAAGTTGAAGGTGGGAACCTATATGGTGTTAGTCGAATGTAAATATCACATAATATATGCTTATATTTGATAAATATTTTTCAAGTAATAGTAAAATTTATACATTTATGTATGAAAATAAAAATATATGTATATTCGTTTGTATGTATGTATGGATATGTGGATATATAATCCTATAAATCCTTTTCATCAGGTCTTGTAATAATAAAATCAGAAGCACTCTTTCCCACTACATCCAAAAATAAGTTTGTACACGAACCAGGATTAAAATCTATGTCAGACATGTTTATATTAGAATAATATTCACGTATATATGTTCATATGCCTGCTTTTTTTTTCTACATATATTTTACCAAAGGAAGTGCCAGGGTTACAATAACATTTACTATTCACAAACCATTCTTGCTCAGTAGGACAGTGTTCAAAGTTATCATGTTTATAACCAATATCATAGAACCAATGAACATCACTCTTCTTTAACATTAAAGCCACTGCAATCGAGTGAACAGGTGCATCTCCCCATCTACAAATAATTAAAAGTTAATTCATAACTTGTTAGGATGACAATATCAATAATTTACCTTTCATAAAAAAACCCACCAGCTTCATCTAAATATTTAAAGTAGGATTGATATCCTTCTGATCTCATAAACTTTACAGAAGCGATCTAAAATGTGTATATATACATATATACATATTTATATATAATTTTGCTTAACATATGATAGATAAATAATTTTACCTCAAAATTACTCCAAAAATGACAAAGGTTATAGGACCAACCATTATCGTTACTGATTAACTTTAATAAACTATCCGGCCTAGTACGAGGATAAACATATTCTGGATGGCTTCTTGCATAAGTGATTGTGGTTTCCCACAAAGTAGGTATTGTTGCTCTATATTCTTTAAGTGCAATTGTAAATCCATACTTTAAATCTCTTTCTTGCATTAGTCTAAAGGGATCGTACTCTATATCACAAGAAAACTTAACTCCAGGCTCAACACGCCTTTTTTTTTTTTTTTTTTTTTTTTTTTGTATTTATAATTGTCAGTGATATATATTCACCCACTATATTAAAACTTGTCCTTTTTTTTTCTCTTTCCTTCCTTACTTACCAATAATAATCAAGATTATCTAATAACGGATGCAACATAAAGAATCCAGATTGATACCTACACATATGCCGATAACTTTCACTTCCACCATAGACTATGTTTCTACTAGCCATATTTTTACGGCATTCAGCAGCTTTCTCTTGATCAATCCAGTCCGGGTAACTCCAATGTTCTTCAGGGACAAGCCCATATTGAACATCAGCCTTCGTCATCATACGAGTTAAGTTTTGAAATTCCTCTGTAAAAGGTTCTTCGTTGAGAAAAATCCACGGATAATTATATTTATGATTAAAACGAGATTCAAGATAACGCATAGAGGATCGTAAAGAATAAAGTTCACTATTTCTAACTAAGACCACAAAGGCAGCTTTGACACGGGGTAGAGTTGGATCAGTCAACATTTTGTATTCTCGATCTACATCTTTTGCACCATTCAAAAGATATGACAGATTCTCCGTTTCTTGAGTTAAAGTTATGTCAGTCGTAGGTAAATCTAGGCTTTGTTTCCCTTCTAACATAATATTGGATTGTTGGAATTGTCGAGCTTTCTCTATTAAAAGGTTGTAACAATCAACAGATGTGTTACAATATCTGTTTTTGGGGAGAGTCGATCTATTGATCCATAAAACACATAATAAGATAACGCTGATAATAATAACTCGAAATATTATTTTGGTTGATAAGAAATGTCTTGGATGAAAGCCCATCGTTTTGTTCAAGCAAAATGATAATAAAAAGAAATAAAAGAAAAATAAGAAAAAAAAAAGACGTATATGAAAGAATAAATGAATAGCTTTTTCTTCTATCAGCAAAAAAAAAGGAGTGAATATATTTATAGATAGCAACGTTTGTGTGTACAAGAATGCGTATCGTAAAATTTAATTATAACGTCAAAACTTTATTTTATTCCTATAGACATCGTAATATTTTTTTTACGGATAAAATTATACATATCATTCAAAGTATCTGGATCGATTAACTCTAATAATCGTTTAGTACAGCTACCACGATGAAAATCTAAGGAAACAAAAAAAAAAAAAAAAAAAAAAAAAAAAAAAAAAAAAATTAATAAAGCAATCATTAATTTTATTTTAATAATTTACCATAATTAGAGTTAATGTCGCAACTGCATTTTTGTAAAAGTGTTTCATTGTAAGGGCAATGCGAGGCCACTGAATGTGAATACCCAATATTGTTAAAAAAGTGTATTTGTTCTTTTTTCAAAAACAATGCTGCTGCAATTGTTTGTACAGGTGCATCACTCCATCTATAGCCCATATCCACCCACCAAATAAATAAATTAAAAAGAAAATCAAACGTATATATGTATATGAAATACACATACCTTTCATAAAAGAAATTTCCTGTGCTATCAAGGTATTGAAAGTATTTTTGATATGCTTCAGACCGAAAGAAGGATAAATTGGCAATTTGAAAGTTGGACCAGAAATGGCAACGATTATAAAAATTCTTTTGCTTATCGTAAATCCAAGGATAAATGGTTGCTGTTGAAGGCAGAATATATTCGGGGTAGAGCTCCTTAAATTCATTCACACGTTCCCACAATGTAGGTATTGTTGCCCTGGATTCTTTCATAGTAAGTGCAAAACCTAGAGATTTGTTATTTTCTTTCATATACATGAACATATCATCATCCATATGACAGCTATAATCTGCTCCAGGTTCTACACGCCAAGTATATTCAACATCTCTCAATAAAGGATGATGAAAGAAGAACCCGGTCTGATATCGCAACAATTGATGATAACTAAGACTAATGCCCTTATGAATCGAATGCGACAATCCTTGTTCGAGCATTAGATACTCTGCTTTAGGTACATCAATCCAATAAGGATACTCCCACGTCCTCAAATCAATACGACCGAAAAAAATGGGTGCATTTGTCACTTTTCTAATATATTTCTTAAACTGAGATGTAAATGGTTGGTTATTGAGAAGTACCCAGGGATAACGTGTACCATTTTTCATATGATCTTCCATACTTTTGATGACTGACCTTGAGTCCAAGAGATCTTCATTACGAACAATCATATAATAAGCAGCTTTAACGGGTAAATTATTCCAGACTTCATCAGGAATAATTGTATCTACCTCATCAAAGAAGTTATATCCCTCTACTTTTTGATGCTCTAATAATAGTAATTGTGATTCTGGTTGATTTGAGCATAGATAGTTCATAAAATTAGCGTCTTTTGAATAGTTAAAATCAGAAATGGATTTCCATTCAACATTCGGTCCAAAGAAATAAAAAATGCAAAGAACAATAAGAGAACTTAAAATAATAATACGGATTGTAGCTTTCCAAAAGCGATGTTTCTTGTAAAATCGTTTTATATGACCCGGTGATGATACGATGGGATCAGCACTAAGTGGATTGTCATTTAAATAAATCATATCTAAAACTGAGAGAGTGAGAGAGAAAGAGAGAGAGAGAGAGAGAGATAGAGAAAGCGCAAGATACTAGCACTACATATATTAAAAAAAAATTATATGCATAACATTCATTCTATCAAAAATTAATATAAACTAATTTGTATAATTTTGTATATAGTAATAAATTTATGAAAAGAAAAGAAAAACTTTTTTTTCACATCTTTTTCCCCTATTTTTTTTTTTTTTTTTTTTTTTTTTTTTTTTTTTTTTTTTTTTTTTTTACAGAAGATGGGGGTTGCACGTAAATATTTATGTTTTTTACTTCAAATAAGTCTTTTATTGTATCTTGTGGGTATGCTTTTATATTTTTTTGGTAAACGTTCCAATCAACGAGAAGTAGATTATGTTTATCACAAACCAACATATGACCCTCACTTTGCCGATCAACCTGACTCCTATACAATCCAGCCTCATCATCTTCCCTATCAACTAAAAGTTGACTTACCTACTGCTACTAACATAACAGAACGTCAAGCTGCTGCCTTTATTGTCTTGGTACGAAACTCAGAACTTTCTGGCATATTACAATCCATGCATGATGTAGGTAATATATATATATATATATACATATATAGATAAATAGATAGATATAGATATATATATCAATTAAAAAAAACATATATTTGTATTTACTTATTTATTTTTTAAAATAAATATATAAATATGTATACATATGTATAGAAAATAGATTTAATCACAAGTTTAACTATCCTTGGATATTTCTAAATGATGAGCCTTTTACTGACGAATTCCAAAAATTAACAACGTTAGCAGCATCTAGCAGAACTCATTATGGGTTAGTCAATGAAAGCATGTGGGGATATCCTGATTGGATTGATCAACACAAGGCAGCAGAACGAAGAGAAAGAATGAAAGGCTTACCTTATGGTTTAAGTGAAAGTTATCGACATATGTGTCGTTTCCAAAGGTAATTATAATAAAGATTTATAAATAAAAAATATATAAGAGGATTTATCAAATTGTTACTGTGTAATTTAACTCCTTTGATTATTATTTTAGTGGATTCTTTTGGAGACATCCTCTTGTTTTAAGTCTTAAACTAGAATATTATTGGAGAGTAGAACCTGATGTAAGATATTATTGTGACTTGGATTATGATCCTTTTCTTTACATGAAGCAAAATAAGAAAAAATATGGTAACAAAAGTCATATCCCCAATTCTTCTACTATTTTTTTTTTTTAATTTTCATACTTGTTTATATACAGCATTCAATATTTCCTTTAAAGAACATTCAGGTACAATTCCTACACTTTGGAATACAGTTAAAAGGTTTACATCCGATATGGCCAAGGAAGGACAAATCATTTTTGATCTTCCTCTTACAGATACCATCTTTAACTTTATCTCTAAAGATGAAGGAAGGACTTATAATGGATGCCACTTTTGGACTAATTTTGAGATTGCAAGATTAGATTTATGGCATACAGAGGCCTATCAACGATTCTTTGAATATCTTGATCAAACAGGTGGATTCTTTTATGAAAGGTGAGTATAAAAAATGAAAAAAAAAACTTGAGAATCAAGGTAATTTAAATCATTTAATAAATGTATAATAGATGGGGTGATGCGCCTGTTCATTCTATCTTTGCTGCTTTATATCTTAGAAGAGATGAAATTCATTTCTTTAATGATGTTGGATATAAACATAGCATTTATCAGCATTGTCCTGCAGAGGATCAACTCATTCGTCGTTGCAGTTGTAATCCAGAAGATAGCTTAGGTATAAATTATTACAATTCATCAACAATTTATTTATTATAACTTTTTTTTTCTTTTTTCCTCTATAGATTTTAAGGATCATATGAGTTGTCTTTCTGAATACATGGAAGCAATCAATTATAATTCAAGGGAAGATAAACGTACCGTACATGACCTATTACTTTTACAATAAAGATTCATTTTTAATCAATATCCATTGAATTATAAGATAGTATTTTAGGATGATTTAAGATTTCAATATGTTGTTTACTTTTGTTAGGCTGTAATATATTTGTAATTGCTATTTTATCTCTTGGATCCATCAGCCTAATATTTATATATAAATACATATAAGTTTATATAAAAATAGGTTTCAAATGATATCATCTATATGTTACTCTATTAGATTGGAGGAGTTTGCAAGTACAAAGTCTGGAATCCTAGGTTTTTTATCACCAGGTTTTAACTCTAATAAAAGGCCATTATCAATAAGTCTCTTTTGTTCAGTAGTTATCTCCTCCATATTATCGATAAAGCTGTTGTCTTCATCATCACATAAGAACTGATCAATATCATCAATTCTTATTTTATTCTTAGTAAGTTCAGTTTTATCAATATTGTTATCAAACTGATAACAAGTGGGTTGATATGGTTGTATTAACTGTTGAGGTAAATCTAATATTTAAAAGTTATTGAGTGTGTAACGAATGGGCTATTTTTTTTTTTTTTTTTTTTTTTTTACATTCATTTGAAGAATCAAGTGACATGGCAGCCATGTCCTTTGCAAAACTTTCCTCGGAAATAAACCTCTTTTTTGGTATAATACCAGAGGGAGCTATGTCGATGTCATCATAGGAAGGAGCATGGCTTCTTTTTTTATGATAAACAGTGTTATTACTATAATTCATAAATAATATTAATAATGCAGAAATGATGAAAAGAAAAAGAAAAAGAAAAAGAAAAAAGAAAGTCCGAATAATAAGGCTTTATTATTTTAATTCCAAGGAACAAAAAAAAAAAAGCTTCATTACAATGATAATACTGTATTATTCTGTGTGATGAACATCTTTAAAATCCATAGTCTATCAAGTCGAAATAAAATGTTCATGATGAATGCTTATTTGAATTATAAACAATGGTTAATAGCATAGCTAATTATAATATTTGACCTTTCATTTTAATTTGATTGGATATCTTGTGGTTGGAATTTACAAGTCACAAAGTATTATCGAGGCTTTTTTTTTTTTTTTTTTTTTTTTTTTTGTCAATAAATAATCTTTCTTTTTATAATTAAAATTTTATAATGGGTACCGTACTTCAAAAAAGAGCTGCAAGAAATACACAAAAGAATACTAGACGAGTAGCTGATAGGCATAGAAAGAGATGTACCATCTATGTAAGTTTTTTTTTCTCTTCCTTTTAAAGAAAATAAAGATCTAAATTCATGATCTGATCTAACATCGAATCTTTTCAATGTAAATAAAAGGGTAGTTCAATTATTAAAGCTAATTGGGACAAAAGATTAACAGTGAAGCAAAAGTAATTTTACAAATTTATAATCGCAAACAAACAAAAAAAAAAGATAAATAAACTAATATTCCTTTTTTAATTTTATTTCAATAGCTATGAAAAACTTGGTTTAGCTACCAATATAAATGGTGAAAGTGGTGGTGCAGAAAAGAAATATCCTAAGAAACAACAAACAGAAGAACCTGATAACAATGAACCAGTAAAAGAACTTAGCGAATTAACAGAGGAAGAAGTTGCAGAACTTAAAAAGAAATTAGGGCCAGGAGAGGGTTTAATTCAACGTGATGATGAAGGTAATGTTGTACGTATTATTGTTGGTGAGGCCATGACACACGATGAAATCTTGGATCAAGAATTTGCACCTGTTGAGGCTAAAACAGATGTCGTTCGACAATTGGAAGAACAAGCTTCTAAAGTATATCATCGTGAAAGAAACTTATCAGAATTTGAAGCAGATAGAATTAAGAAACTTATTGATAAGCATGGCGATGATTATAAAGCTATGTTTTGGGATAAAGAACTTAATGAATATCAACACACTGTAAATCAATTAAAAAAGAAATGCCAGCAATATCTTAAAGAGTATAGTCAATAAATAGTATATAAATAAATACGCATATTTTCTTTATTTATTAGATGTTATCCACAGCTCGTCTGTGTTCAATTTCATGTTCTGCACTATAATCTAAGTGGACAAAGGCTCTTTCTACATTATCCATTAACTCTAATGCATCTTGAAGAGCCTCTCCAACATCATGAGCTTCTCTAAGTGGGCAATCAGGCGGTAAAATGATATCGATTTCTACTAATAAACGATCTCCTACATAATAAGCACGCACTGTATCCACCGCCATAATCTTTTTTGAGAAACGATATGCCATGTATGTTAATTGCTTAATGTCATCTGCACTTGCAGCCTGTCCCGTTAACCTCTTAATATTTTCCAATAGCACTTCCATCCATTCATAAATAATATAAATAGATAATAAAATGGCACCCATAGGATCTAACCAGGACCATTTCATCCAGTTACCTATCAAAGGAAATAATGTACTTGCAATAGTGAAAACAACATCATTTTCATGATCATATGCCAAGGCCTCTACACTTGAACTACCCTTAATAGAAACACACCAAATCCAAAGTATACCTTTCACAATTATATTAAGGGCTAAAATAGTTATCGCAGCTGCACTAAGATCAATTACTTCACCTTCTTCACCTGTTGTAAGTTTTTCAATAGAAGATATTAGTACTTGAGAAAAGGAAGTAGTGATGATGACAGCAAAGACAATGATCCCTAGTGGTTCCATACGTGACTTTCCTACAGGATAAGCATAATAGTTTCTTTGTCGAATAAGACGAGCAGTAACAAAAATGATAGCATTACTAACAATATCTAGAAAACTTTCGTAGGCAGACGCTAAAAGAGCCATTGAACCTGAATACCATGCTACAATCAATTTTGTCAAGAAGAGTGCAACATTGGCTAAAAACGATAGATTGATGGCAAGATGAATGATCCAAAGCGGAGATTTAGCATTCATAATATCATCAGGTGAACTGGAACGAGTCGTATTGTTATCCAATAATAAACGTGTAGATTCATTCGATGCCGGTATTAAAGATGAGTCTACAGGATATAACATGCTTTCTTCATCGTTTAGTGCTCCGTAATTATTGGAAGCAGTTTTCTGTAAGGATTCAACAACTCGATCCACTTGAACAAATTTGTCAATCATTTTATTTTGATCCTAGTATAGATCGATGTTTTTTTTTTAAGAGTAATTCATTATAATATGATATTATATATAATTACTTTATAAAATTCTTTCACTTTGTTGTTTGTACATGATTTTAACTGTTCCTCTGAGATTCGAAAAGATTCGAAATGAACAGGTGGTGGTAACGTGTCGTTTGTAGCAACAATCAAAGACCTTCTATGCAAGAATGGTGTTCTTGTTGAACAATCATTAAGATTGCATGACATTTTATTTGTATTAGTAATAAGAAGAAGAAAAGTAAAAACATTGAGCTATTATGATTTTTTTTTTTTTTGACACTGAAACAATAAAAATTTACAAATAAAAAAGGGGCATTCCAGTATCGAGTAAATTTTATTAGACAATTAAATACAGAATGGGATTGCTTCATCTTTTTCTGTAATATAATGTTTGATCTTCTCTCTCTCTCTCTCTCTTTTTTTTTTTTTTTTTTTTTTTTTTTTTTTTTTTTTTTTTTTTTTTTTTTTTTTGTTCAGTTAGAGCCGCAAGAATGATGAATCCAACTGATATTACAGTCGAAGAAACTAGGTTGGGCCAATGAGAAAAAATTTGGTTGTTTCAAAATTGAATTGGGACACCAATATGAAAGTGGAACAGAGATACGAAAGGAGGACAGCGATACGGAAATGGGACATATAAAGATACTTTTAATTTTTGGGCGAATGAAAACTTTTTTTCAATAGGTCAACTTACCTGTAAATATGGGGTGTCTTGCTGTTATACAAGACATAATGTTATTCAATTGTTAAGGCTATTTTTCCACAAATAATAATAGTGTTGTTAGTATATGAAGTAATGAAATCTATATTAATATCAAGATAGCTTACCTCCGCCAAAACTCTTCAGGTCGATTGTTGTTGTTGGTAGCCATATACAAAAAGATAGAGCATATGTTGAGACTCGCCATGTGATCTCTGTTCTATCGAGTATTACAAGTTTGACAGTTGAGAACTGGATGGATCATCATATTGGAGTTATCACGTTGGTTGGAAGTACTTCTTGTATGACATCTGGGACATATTTGACTTGTGAAATACTCATCAATCATAACAACGTACTTTTTTGAATTTGGCTGGTTGTGTCTGGTTGATTTGACATAATTTAGTAAGGCTTTTCTGAATACCTTTGTTGAAGAAGGTACATTCCCACGAAGCCCACTGAACTGAGCAGAACGAAACGCCATTACAGTAGGCCTTTCAGTTTCACCGGCATTGTCTCTAGGGACTAACGGTTTCCACTTTTGCTGATTTGCTTGCTGTATATCAGGATTGCCTTCTTGGTATTTTCTGCTACCTGTAAACAACCGTTTACACATTTCGGTCAATGCTTTTTGCTTGTTTCTATAGCTGTGATATTTGAGCTTTTTTAACCCGGTTGTGTAATAGCCTTTAATTGCCTCAAAGTTCCGAAATATATATCGCAAAGCTTCCTAGTTACACGTCCTTGTTGATGATGTATTAGAAATCAGACGGCGTGCGTCAACATTGGCTCACGAATGATGACTTGCTGCTCCATTCTTTCTAAAACATGGTATAACCACGGCAAATACAAGTGAGATCTAGCATAGTAATTTGCTTCAGTCAGGTTCAAGCCATGTAATCTTTGACGGCATTCATCAATAAGATTGTTGTTGATTGAGGTTTTGCGAGTGTCGGCAACTTCCAGATTAGCAGGGTAAATTACTTCTTGATTAGTACAAATAGCATTATATACCTGCTCAGCTAGGTCGCGTTTGACACCAGTTCGGAAAGGGAGGTCTGGAAATTCAGTTGTGTCAGAAAGCCTCGTAAAGAGATAGCGCAACGTTTTTGGCTTGAAGTTGGCTCCAACATGATTCTCTATAAGCGCCTCAAAGCTACGCATGACTATTGAGATTAGTGTGCTATACTGAATGTTGGGGAACTGTTGTTGCCTATTAAAATCTTCTCACATTTTATTACTAAATTGTAAGAAAGCTTTAGGGATCTCGGCATCGGCATTCTTTCCTTGACCAACAAATAAAGCAGCAAAGTTGTATAGTTTTTTGTGAGTCAGTTTTGGTACAGCCTCGACCAATAATTGATGGGTATCAGCATAAATGACTAAAATAGGAGAAAGGGGATGTCATTTAAGTTTTCATTCTATAGAATCGGTAGATAAAAAAGATATATATATAAAACAAAAACAAAAACAGTGGGTTGATCTAGATGCTTGTGTGAGTGTTTATTCAATGTAAACTGACCGAAGAACTTTATTGATCCAAGATGATATCCTTTACATACATTTATCGTTATTTGTTACTTGTATGAATATAATCATATGAAACTGTCAGTTTTCTGATCCACTATTATCATAACATTGGTACCTGCACTACATACGGAGCCCAATATTACAGAGTATAAATAATGATTGTAACCAAGACTTGGTGGCTCTAGGTCTTTCTTTCTTACGAACAATGAAAACCCTACATTCTACGTATCCTAATCACTTTACTTGGCTTTATTATTTCAAAAACGATAGTTCAATCACTCCATCAAACTCACAGAAATGTTCCTTATTGTCCTAAGTAATTTAAATATGGAATATTCTCCATGAGGATTGTTCGTTCCGGGATCATTTAAGTTAGGTGAATCATACCCTAATCTGGATGTTCATCATAGTAGTCTGATAGTCTATTAGTGGCCTTTCTTATTAAATAGAATAAGATTATAGCTTCTTGTTTATACATTCGCCCAAAAACTAAGCGTGTCTCAATATATCCCACTTTCATATTGGTGTCCCATTTTTGCATTGGTGTCCCAATCCAATTTTGAAACGATCAAACTTTTTTCTCATTGGCCCAGCCTAGTTTCTTTGACTGTAATAAATCATAATATTTTAAGAAACAGTTGCAATGTGGAAACCATTTTGTGACTTTAGAACAGATTGGTCGCACAACAACAGAAAACAAGTGGACTAATCACGTTTCACTTCTTCGGTAACGTTAAATGAAGACTGCTGTAAACCTATTGAGGAGTACTTCTCCCAAGTATTGATAGTAGTTAATAATGTTAGCTTCCTATTGTGACTTGTGCATATGATATAAACAATAATATAGGCAAGGATATGTCCCTCAAACAGTTATCTGGAGTAGTTTGTTCTCTAGATAATCTTGGATTAAAGTTTAGTTAGGAAGTGAATAACACTCATATTCAACAAAAGGCACAAATGCTAGCTGGCTACTGCTCTTTACTAAAATATAATAAGCTCTTATTTTTCTTGGGAAGATAGTAATGCGTCAATATGAATTTATAGTAACTATAACAACAATATTCCAATATTCATATACTACTACTACTATTATTATTATTATTATATTACGTAATAATAGTCAACATTATTGACGTCGTAATATATGTCAATACATGTTTTTAATAGAATTATCATTTTATTAGGTTAGCAAAAGAAAGCATATATGTATACCTTATTAATTATAATTCTCTAATTTATATCTTAGGAATAGGCATAAAGCTATTTTAATTTACAATGGGAATACACAACTAACCTTCTTCTTTTTTTTTTATACCTATCTATCTATTCTCCTTTATGTAAAACATTTTAAATACTACAACTCTCCCTTCTTTTTATTCTTCCTTTTATTTACATATAAAAATCATGAATCAAAATCAAAATAAAAGTTATGTGAATAATAAAAATAGATTAGATAAATCTCGAGTAAATATAAATATTTATGTATTAACAAAATCGGATAAGATTGAATAAATAATGTATATAAACCAATTAAGAAATAAACTTTTTTTTTGTAATAGAATAATGGATCAGATAGGTAAAAGTCAGATAAACTATTAAAAAAAAAGAATATATAACCTATATGTTAAAATGTGAATCTAGTACGGATGTATTTGGTCCAAGAAGAGTACCTGAGCGGATCAAACAACAAAAGGCTTCTTCTTATGGAATGCAAAGCATAAAAAAAAGCAAGTATCCCCAATACATATTTGAATCTGTAGCACAATCAGACATTTCAACTATGGAAGGATTTTTAGCAGAGGTATATCATTAAGAGACAAAAGAAGGAAAGACCTCATTCTTTTTTTTTTTTTTTTTTTAAAAAAAATAAATAAATAAAAAAATAAATAATATAGGTGAATGCTATTTCAACAGCTATCAAAGCTATACATCAAAATATTGATTTAATCAGTCAAGTCCACACTCGTTCGTTATCTAGTATTAATAATATAAACCAATGGAAAGGGAATTCTAAACAATGGGTTCAATATGTGGATACTGCTTCAAGTATAAACCAACATGTTAAGAAAAGGATTAAAGCACTTGAGTTTGATAATAATGCAAAACAAGCTAATCTGAATTTTGATCTGAATATAAGAAGAGCTCAAGTATGTTGCATAGTATAATGTCATATATTATATGTAACTTATTTACTTTTTTTTTTTTTGTTTTTTTTATTAAACAAGGTTGCAAGAATTAAAAAGGATTTTATTACTTGTATTCAACGATATAAAGATGTAGAAGCAACTTTTAATCAAAAATATCGACAAAGAGTTGAAAGACAAATAAGAATTGGTAATAAATAAACAAATAAAAAAAAACGCACACACACACACATCCTATACAGTATGTAACATATAATTTTACACATAGTTAAACAAGATATCACCGAAGAAGAAGTAGAAGCTATTCTCGATTCAGGTCAATCCAATCAAATCTTTGCTCAGAGTGTAATATAACAAAAAAGAAAAAAAAAAAAGATAAATATTATAGCAAATAACTACCAATATTTAGTTGATAAAATCAAGCCAAGCAAAATCAGTTTTATCTGAAGTTCAGACACGACATGATGATATCAAAAGAATACAGAACACAATTCTAGTACATAGGATAAACCAAGTATAATAAATACGTGTTTAATTATTATATAAATATTTAGGAATTAGCTCAATTATTTGAGGATATGCAAATAACAGTTGAGAAGCAAGATCAGGTCATAGAGCAAATCAAGAATAATGTAGAGGATACTCAGGTCGATTTAGAACATGGTATTAAACATCTTGATAAAGCCATTGTACTTGCAAAATCATCTAGAATAGTAAGTTAGTATATTAAAGAAAGAAAGAAAAAAGTAAAAATTCGTATTATATATACACATGTTATAACATATAGAAACGATGGTGCTGTTTTAGTATTACAATTATCCTATCTATAATTCTTGCTCTTCTCGTTTGGTGGTTTGCATTTGATCACCCAGTAAAATAGTTAATATTTTTCTTTTTATATATAACGCTTCATAATTAGCATATAGGGAGTCTTGGTGGCAGTAGTAAAAGATATTAGAAAAAGAACTTTATTAAATATTTTAATAACATTCAATTTATTAAATAATAAACAATATAATACAAGGAAGGAGGGGGAAAAAAGGAATATATTTATATACTGTTAAATAGTAGGAAAAAAAAAACAAATAAACTAATTGGTATCTATAAGCATTTTAGTAGAAATTGGATTGTAATCCTCTTCATCTTCTACATCAAAATCATGAACTTCCATCACTGTTCTTCCTTCTTCTGAATTAGGTGATACTTTACGTTGCATAACAACTACAGCCTTTGTTTCTGTAAATTGTATCTTCCAAACTGTCTTTGCAGGTTGAGTAAAAGTACGAATTAAACGACCTTGTTTTATATCCCATAACTTGATACGACCATCATTACCTGCACTCATCATACGTCGGTCATCAAATTGAAGGCAAGTTACTGAATTATCATGGGCTGATATTTGATGAATACATTCATAATGTTGAAGGTCCCAGACACGTAAACAACCATCCGAGCCACCACTAACTAATGTAGAACCCGATAACTGTAATTGTCCTACTAATGAAGTATGACCATGTAAAGTGGCTAAACATTGACCTGTCTCCGCTGACCAAACTCGGATATTAGAATCAAGAGAGCCGGTAACAACCTTGTGGCCATCAAAGGCAATTGAATAAATTTGTGTATAATGACCTGCAAGAACATGAAGACATCGACCTGTACGTAAATCCCATACACGTGCTGTAGAGTCATAAGAACCCGAGACAACAATATGGCCTGAAATTTCCATGCATCGTACAGAAGCTTGATGTCCTAATAGGACATGTATCAAAGCACCTCGTTGAATATCCCATACTCGAATTGTTGTATCTCTTGAACCTGTTACTGCAATTCTTTTATCTTTCATTTTTAAGCATCTTACAGTTGAGTTATGGCCACGTAACACATGTAATAGCTCTCCAGTATCCAAGTTCCATACACGCACATCTCTAAAATATATTATGTTATTATATTATTATTACATGTATCATGATGTCACCTTTTCCCCGTCTTCTCTCTCTTTTTTTTTTTATGTTTTTTTGTTTTTTTTTTATACCTATCGCAGCCGCCTGTAACTAAGATACGACCTGGGTCATACTTCTCACCGCCTTTGAAATGGAGTGCCCATACGCCGCCTTCATGCCCTTCTAAAGTCCGTATTTTCTCGGCTGTATTTGCATCAAAGACCTCAATACGATGATTATCACAACCGACAACAATAAATTTACTATCGTATTGTAAAGAAGTGACCAAACCTTCTCCAAACCCTTCTTCTACCACCTTTACTTTACCACCTCCATGTGCCCAAGCAGAGGCAATATTATATTTTCTCTTAAAATATTCACGATAAGAAAAGTTTCGACGTTGACTAGGGGGCTCTAAGAGCTCACCACCACAAATACTAGAATTACGTCTACGATATTGATGCTTCATGCATAATGTTTTCCAAGTTGCCTCATCCTTTAATAATGAATTCCAAAGAGTTGATACACAGGCAGCTCTTGCTAATGTTTTAGGATCATCAATAAATGTCAAGATGTGTAAAGAGATTTCAATCGGTAATTCTTTTAGGAAATCAATTTTAAGTCTTGGGGCAATAAGGTCATTAAGATAAGTTAGTTGAGAATTATCACAACTGTTGATTATCTCATGTAAAAAGTATTGCTTTTGTTTCGGTGTGAGTTGTTGAAAGGACTGTTTCAGTTGTCGAAGATGAAGAAGTTGGTCTTCATCAAATTGAAATTCAGAATTAAGGTCCATCATTGATGTTCTTCGTTGTCTTTGAGTGGATCGAGTAGAAGCTGTAGCTAGGTTTCGTTGAATAGCATTATAAGTAAACGTTGGTGGTGTGGCAGGTGGTGAAATGTCATCTATTGGATAGATATCCATTTTGATAATAAATTAAATATATGGGAGGAGGAGAGAGAGAGAGATAGAGAAAAAAAGAAAAGAAAAAGAATGAATAACAATACAATGATGTGATTAATAAGCCACAGCTATTTATATTGGTTTATTCAAAGCGAAAGAAGGAGTTTTATTATTGGTTTTTACCAATAATGTTGCATTTTTTTTTTTTTTGGGTTTCATGTATTTGATCAGACAATATATATAAAAAAAAAAAAAGTCGCATAACTTTAACAAGTTATTTTCAATTCCTCGCTAAAAGAAAATAAAACCAAAGCTGCAAATTCTATAAAGATTTAGAATAAACAATTAAATACTAAGCGAATTATTTTTATTTTATTTTGTTTTACTGCTGATCAGTCGCAAAGTTACATTTTTACGCTTACTTTCATTTCAACTCAACAGTGCGATGTGTCGGTGTCTAATTAACTTTTTTTTTTTTCTTTTAAATAGGCAAGTCTTGTTGCTACTGAGATATTTATGGAAATGACTCGTTTTCAAGCTGGTGAAATACTAGTCTTCTTCTGTACATTTCAAACAGGTAATCTTTTAGAGTATTGTATTTAATATGCAACCACTTTTTTTTTTGGATATTAGAAATGAAACACAATAAGTTTCAAATTAATAATTTGTTCAAGGGATTGATAAAGATCTATATAAAGCAAGCATTAGCCAATATTTATATATTACATTAAGAATTGCTTCATAGTTAACAAATAAATACAATAACCCAAGCACACAAAGACTTGGAAATATATTATATATTTTACGAAAAAATAATATAAAATCACGCTAAACTTTCTAGTTATAAGACTTAAAACACAGCACTATTCTTTTAATAGTCAAATGTGTCCTGTAATACCCAAAGTTAGATCTATATTATTTAAATAGACCGAGGAATAGCGTAGTATTGATTAGCAAATGACAGTTAAAAGAAGCCCAACGAAAAAATCAATCTCATTGAGTATTATGCATAATATTGAATATATACAAATATATATTCTTTTTTTTTTTTACATACAAGCAATACGTTATTTGACCTAAAAACCAGATACTGTCCTTGGTCTATCCGAATAAACAAAAAGCACTTTTTTTTTATGATTAGCTCTTTCGTAGTTACAGTCTTTATTCAAAATAGCATGACTCAAACAGGGATTATTATCCTAGCGTATGTACGTCATATTATATATTCTACCTTGAATATTAAAATAACCTCAGCTTGGATATCAAATAATATGTAAATTGAAGTCTCAATAGCCAAAGAATATCAACAAATATATTCAATGTGTGCATTAATAACAGTCACGTTGCAAATCTTTGGAAGAAAAAAAAAAACCTTAGGCATCTGATGTTATCTGATTAAAGATAACCAGCATAAGCTGCACTACAACAATAGTTTTAGATAGGATAGTATTTAACACTCTCCTCCTCTTGATATCAGAAGACAGTAGCCGCCCTTTAATGTACATTCAAATAGATACATACATACAAAAAAAAAAAAAAAAAAAAAAAAAAAAAAAAAAACTCAGAATAAAGAATGACTCAGAATAACTCAAATTAAAACAGACACATTAATAAATTATTTTCGATTTATTACTCGTCTTCTTTTTCACTTTTTTTTTCCCTTGAATAAAATGTCAATTGATTCTTATAGTTTAGATAAACTTCGCAGTACATTAATTCGTTTAGAAGACACGATTATCTTTGGTGATTCTACAAATTTGATTTATTACAAACAAGCAAAAATAAAATGAAATAAAATAGGCTCATAATTATTATTACTTAGCACTTATTGAAAGAGCTCAATTTGCTTTAAATCCTTGTGTTTATGTTAACGGTGCTTTGGAGTTTAAAGGTGCAACTGGAGATAAAAACTTTTTGGAGTATTTTCTCTGGGAAACAGAAAAAGTTCATGGTTTGTTCAAATAGTCAAGTTTATATATCATTTCTTATTGATTTTTTTTTTCTTGTAGCAAAAGTTCGTAGATATACAAGGTGAAAAAAAAAATAGAATAAAGATCCTTTACACACACATGTTTGTAAGTATACTGAGTGAATATTTTAATCTTTAGTCCAGATGAATATGCATTTACATCACCGTTACCTGAACCTATTCTTCCTCCTTTGGAATATACAAAATTTCTTGAACCTAACACTATTAATGTAAACGACAAAATTATGTCCATGTACGTAAACTGTATTACTCCTGCAATTTGTGAAAACTCTGATGATAAGAACTATGGAAGCGCAGTTACAAAAGATATTGAAGCACTTCAAGCATTAAGTAAACGTATTCACTTTGGTAAAATAATCTCTCCTATTGTATGATCTGTTCACAATATCACTTACACAACATACACATACATACATACATACATACATACACATATACACATATACACATATACATACACACATATACAATTAGGTAAATTTATTGCAGAATCAAAATTTAGATCTAATCCTGATGAATATATTCAACTGGCTTTGATTGAAGATCGAGTAAAGATTAATGAATTATTAACAAATAAGACAGTGGAAAAACAAGTGCTACAGAGATTGCGTCGAAAAGCGTTAGTCTATGGTCAAACACTAGATGAGGCACAAGAGGGTACAAGTAAACATTTACGCATTCCTGTTGATGTAGTTGTTGATCTATATGAACAATGGGTAATCCCTTTAACAAAAGAAGTTGAAGTAGATTACTTGATAACTAGAGGAAAGAATGCAGCCACTAAAACGAATTAGACTTGAATAAATAGAGGAATATACGCTCAATTATTGCAAAATAAATAAAATTATAGCAAGCCTGTATACATGGATGTTATATAAAAAAGAAGAATTGTAATCCTTTTTAGTCCTAAGAAACAAATTAGTTTGTAGTAAAGATAACTATCTATTTCTTATGAACAGATAAATTAACATTTTGTTATTTGTAAATATAAGCTTCAAATTCGATGTGCTTATGTCTTTGATATTCATTTGCTCTAAAATAGCCTTGTAATATTTAACAAGTCAGTCAAACATATCCCATAAAAAAAAAAAAAATTGGCACTATACATCTATGACTATGTAAAATGAATAACTTACTTATATATATCTATATTCGTTTTTTTTTTCTTTTTCTTTTTTCAGATCTCTTATCTTCTGTTATGCCTTCTTTAAGCCCGGAACGAATTCGTGAAATGATGCTGAATGAGAGTCAAGCTCATATTGAAGATAGAGCTGAATCAAATCCTCAGCTACAACAACAACAACAACAGCAACAGCATGCCATTTATTACCACTATTCACCACATCTAAGATATTATCGTTTCCCGTCTAGAATACCTCGATACGTTCCATTACAAAATAATCAAAGTCAACACGGATCAACTATGATCTCTGTTGGTGATGTAGTGTTAGTTACCGAAGAAATGTATCTGAATTCTGATTAGCACAACAGCCCTTGATATGTTTATAACAATGCATATTGACATATATATTTGTATATATTAAAGTACCAAAAGAAAGTATCTCTTAATCCTATTATAGTGTTATTCTCATATGTAGCTATATATGTTATAAAGAAATAAATATGTATAATAATTAATTTTAACATGGAAGCTTCATTATATTAACTTATAAAGAGCTTCATATATACGTATTGAAGAGCTATATCATCTCGAAAAAAAAAAAGCTCTTTGCTAGTATGTTCAGTTTTCTTTATTTCCGAGATAAAGAGAAATTAAACTTCCAAGACGTATATCATAGTTGATGTTTGAAATGTATATCTTTTATGACTTGATAGAATAACGAACCAAACTTTTTTATTATGTAATTAAATTGAAATATGTACATTATTTTCCACCTTTCTTTTTTTGGTATAATGATTTTCGTTGTTTACTTTGTCTTTTTAACTTCCTGAGGAACTCTTTTCCTTTTTTTATTTGAAACTCGTCCCCACTATTAATAAGTGCATTCACTAATCCTTTAGCAATATTGTCACTACAAAGAAATAGAACGATTAAATGGATTGGATAATAATAATAATAATAAGCTTACTGTAAAAGAGTATCTTCGACTGACTCTTCTTGTTCTCTCAAATTAACCCGTTCAAATCCAGGTACTTGAGGTGCAAGATTGAAATGGCGTAATTCAAAACCGCCCAAAAATGAATTATCAGTAGGATCTCTAAAGGCTAACGTTCCAAATTCATCCATTTCCTCCATCTCATCTTCATATTCATCCTCATCTTCATCAGGTAAATCAGGACCTAATAAATCACTAAGATAATTGGCATAACGTGGTGCGCCTGTCAAAGTTTCCAACTCGTTTTCTTCATCACCTTCTGAAGAATCTTCCATTTCATATTTTTCTATTGTTCCAATCAAGTTAACAGAACTTAAAAAAGAGAGTGAGATTAGATTAAATGAATGAAAGCTAAACACAAAATTCCTTATATCAAGATTAAAATGATTATTGCTTACTTTGCACCAGTAACTATCAAAGTGGCCTCATCTTCTGTAATAAAGCATTGTGATAACATTTGATGTTCAACCTAAAAAGATCATATTAAAGCCTTTTCTTTTCTTTTCTTTTTTTTTTTTTTTTTTTGCATACCTCATCTTTAATCAGTGTACATAATACAAAAGTATGTCCTTTAGCTTTTACCTTGAGTACTGTTTTACCTTCCTTTGGGTTTTCACCTAAGGATACCTATTTAATCTTTGAATACCAACATGAAGATGCATATAGAAAAAAAAAAAAAAAAAAAAAAAAAGCAAATTATTCAATTTACCTGGCTTAATCGATGAATACCTGAATGTGTGATTGGAAAGGTATCACCAGGATTCATACGATGACCTTTGTATTATGATAAAAAAAATAAAAAAACAAAATTAACACAAAGATTAACTTTTGAATTGGAGATCTTTTTTTTTTTTTTCTATAATATTTATTTACCCCAGAAACTATTGGACATGATAGATAATTAAAATAAAGAGGATAGTAAAAATTTTGTATGTGAAATGACTTCAAATTTTAGCTTTTTTTTTTTTTTATTGTGCAAACTGCTGCCTTTGAAACTAATAATTTTAAAATTCCGTACTGTCTTCTTCTACCAATGACCAATTTTTGTTTTAGTTTGTAGAAGTACTACTATTTTATTAACTTGGCTGATATATTTATCAATAGTAGCAAACCACCAAAAAAAAAAATACTAATATTGAATAAGACAAAAACCGAAAATATGTTATATTCTCTCTGAACTACGCTTGTATTTTCTATAAAATAATAATAACAATAAAACTCTTCCTTTTTTTCTTGACATCTTTCTAAAGGGAGAGAGTCTTTTTTTTTTTTTGAAACTGTATCATATAAAGAAGATAAAGGGGGAAAAAAAGAATTACAACTCCATTGTATCTGTGTATTTTAAAGGAAAACAATTATTTCCTTCTTTAAATTGTGCTTGAGTTTCCGTAATACATTCTTGAAAAGTAAAAAAGAAAAAAAAACGTTTTTGTAAATATGCTTCAATTTTCATACTAGAAAGCAATAATCAATGATTGTCAATAGCAGGATATTTGAAAGAAGTATTGGCTCTGTTGCGTAAGTTGACTATCTCAAGAAACTGTTTTAATTTTGGGTGATATATATATTTATATGTATGTACAAAGGAATTGATTCCTCCTTCATGAGCAAACACAGATTAAACTTGAATATGTATAAAGGCCTTTAGGCGTTGATATTGAAGAATATTCTAGTGATATCTTTGTTTCTAGCCGTTTTTACACAATTGGCTGATATCAAATTATTTACGTCAATAGTCAATACACATTTAGTAATTGAGGAGTCCATTTTATTTGGAATGTATACGAAACATATCAAGACATGGAGTTGATGAAATAAAAGAAGAAGAAGAAGAGGAAAAAGAGTAGAGCTTGCTTTTGTTAGTCAGAGTTACAGCTGCTATTATTATCCACATTATCCTACCAAGTTTAACTAGGTTAAGCAATTTGGATCTGATATCAAGTACAGACTTCAAAAAAAAAAAAAAGAAAGAGAATGGTACAATGTGTGCTAATTAATTTAAAATAAAATTTTGTACTAAATATAATAATTTGAAATAGAAACAAATGCCTTTGGGCGGAGAGGATTCTGGAAAACAAAAAGGTGTACGTCGCATCTATTGATCTCCGGTAATTTTGGAGAACCTAAAAATAAAAGTGATAAAAGAAGACACGTACTACATCAACGAAGATTGCAATCCAGTTTCAGCTTTATAAGCCATTCGATCGTCAGAAGCTCGATTTATAATTCTTTATCTAAAGATTCTTTTCTGCCATAGTAAAATAAAGTATCTCTTTACCAGTCCTAAATATTTGACTGCAATAGCTCTAATAATCATATCAAGAAAATAAAGTTTATATAAAGACAGGAAAACAACTGCAATACTATTATTGCGTTACTGTAAATGATTGCAAAATATATTTCTTTGATATTGCATCTATTTAAAATATTCCATAGCATGAATTTCAAGTCAAAGGTGTCAATCTTTTCTTTTATAAAAAGATACTTAACAGATTTGCTATGTAAATCTTTTATATATAAACATATATATAAAGTACTAAGTTATTCCTATGATGGTATTGCATAAGTACCTATCTTAGTTTATAACAAAGTTCTTGTATTCATGCACAAAGTAAATGGTCAGTGACTAATAATGGATTTGAGTTATATGAACTTCCTTATTTTATTTATACTATTTAAAGGCTCAAAAGTTTTCTTAAATCAGGCTTTCTTCTACTAAAGGTTAATTAGTATAAAGTTGCCAACGGTGTTACTCTGACTCAACTATGCTACACGAGGTTAGCTGTGATCCCACAATTTTTATCCATAAAAAAAAAAAAGAACATACATTTAAAAAGCAGAGCAGTACAAGACAAAGATATATTCATATATATATATATCCTTGAAAGTATTAAAGAAATGTGCAGACAAGGATAAGCTAATACGGAGATAGAGAGGGAATAAGAAGCTAAAAATAAAAAAAAAATAAAAAAAGTAGATTGCACACACATTCATCATATTCGTCACACAAGAAATGGATTGTTAAAAGAAGATTATTTTTTAATTCATAGAACAAAATAAAAAGACTATTTGAAATGAGAATGACAGGTATGTTTATTTATTAACTTACTGTCTTCTTCATATTAGAATCGTAAAATCTATTCTAACAAAGTGAAAAGTATATTTGCATGACATCATAGCTAAAAGCGGGGTCATCATCATAATTATTCATTACTCGTTAGTTTTAAATTTATTGTTACCCTCCTAATGGACTACACCTATTTATTTATTTTTTTTTCTTTCCCGCCTTTTTCTTATTTGATGATTTTTCTATTTTAGACATCATCTCTCTTTTTATTTCCGATCAATCTTTAATAAATGACATTCCAGTACAATGCGACGCAGGGTCTATTTCTTTCCCATTTTTTCATTTCTCATCTCTTTTCTTTTTCTTCTTTTTTTAATTTACCTCCTTAGACTTTCAATTTTTTGGTGAGCTATCCAAATTTTTTTTTGTTTCTTCTTCTCAAATTAGAATTATGGGGGATTCAAATAATCGTCCTTCTTTAACAGTCTCAACTACTACTACTACTACTACTAGTAATAATAATAACAATGAACCTGAATTACTTATCTCAAGTCCTCGATCTGCTTCACAACAATTAAGAAACTCATGGCCATTATTACCGAAAATTCAACTTGTCACTTCAAATGGAAGTCAAGAGATCAAAAGCCCGACTATAGATCAAATCGAAACGAAAATCAGTATACCCAATAGTCAACCTTCTAGTATGATTAGTGTTATTTCTGAAAATGATGTAGAGGAAGAAGAAGAAGTATCAGATGCTTCTTCTGCCAACATTGGACCAAAGTTAGATCATCAACAACATAACACGAAACGATCCGATTCAGCTGGTACCCTTGTCGAGGCTGCACTAGATCAAGCTGAAGCTCAAGATCGTCATTGTCAATTTCCCAAACATATTCAAGAGGCAGGATACCTTGTTGAAAACTTACTTAATGCAGCATCGCCTACTACAAGGGACTATCAACGACATCCCTCACTACCAGAGAATAATAACACGGATATTGAACTGCAAGATACCACCACACACCATTATCCTATTGGAGGAGGAGTAGGAGTAGGAGTTGGTGGTGGTAGTGTTCTATCTAGTCTCATGAAATTAGACGCACAACAACGTCGTCAGTCGATGAAACGAAAACAAAAACCGGTTAAACCGAAAGGAAAGAAAACCAAGAACAAAGAAAAGAAGAAGAAGAATGTACACAAAAAGCCGGCATCAATGTACAATTTCAAAGTACAATCAATGAGCACAGAGAGTTTAATCGTACCACACATGCGACCCAAGTTACAACATCGTCCCTCCAGTTGGCTTAGTGCCATCACGACCGCGAATCATCTTGTTCCTGATTTACCTCAACAACGCCAAGTGAATTCTGTTAAAAACCTTTCTCGTCGCTCTTCATTCGATAGTCTGGCTACAAATGCTTCTCAATTTGAGCCCATCACGCTTCAGGACCGTATCAAGATCACTTTTGAAATTGCCAATATCCTTCAGAGACATGAGTTCCTCTTGAAACTTGTCAAGTGCTTGATGCTCTATGGTGCACCCGCACATCGTCTTGAGTATATCTTGAGAGAGGTCTCAAAGACGTTAGGCGTTCAAGCCGAATATGTTTATATACCCAATGTCATGTTCTTGACCTTCTTTGATCCCGCTACACATACGACAGAGACGCATTTCGTGAGGAGCTCGCAATCATTTGATATGCATAAATTAGGAGAGATTTTTAGATTAGAAAGATTAGTGTCGCATGGTGAAGTGACGGTGGATGAAGCATTAGAATTTATTGATAAGGTAACAAATGAACCTCCATTTTTTCCAATCTGGTTAAATCCTTTCATTTACGCCTTGGCAAGCTTTTGTGCATGTGTGATGTTTTATGGAGGACAATTCAAAGAAGGTGGTTTATCAGCAGCTCTAGCAAGTAAAGTATTTTTTTAAAAAAAAAAAAAGTGTATAATATCGTTTGATTATTATTATTTTAACCTCTTTTATGTATTTTTAATCATATATTAGTTATCTTTGCCACTTATGAATTGTTTACTGGACGCTATATTAGTTTTCAACCTATTTGGGAAATTACTGTATGTGTATTTGTTGGATTTGTTTCAAGAGGTAAAAAAAAAAGGGGATCAAATTTATTTTGCATGACTGATTTTTTTTTTTAAAAAAAAAATAGCTGTGTGGAGATATGGATTTTGTTTTACACCAGTTGCGTTTGCATCATTTGTTATTATCTTACCTGGTTATTCTATGGCGGTTGCACTAGTTGAGCTTGTCTCCCGTCAGCTTGTTTGCGGAGCAGTTCGTATTGTCTATACCATTATATATTCCTTCTTATTAGGTTATGGGATTGAAATGGGCTCAGAGATATTTGCGACTATTAATCCCGAATCGATTTCAGCACAGGGGGAGGCACAGGCTTGTGTAGATGCAATTAAGGCAACAACGTGTGTTACAATTATACCACAGGCCTATTATTTCCTGACTGTCCCACTATTTGCTGTTGCCTATTGTATCTATTTAAGAGCAAGATTGCCGAGATGGCCAATCATGATCATTGTAGCTTCAAGCGGATTTGTGGCGAATTGGGCTTTAGCATGTCATGCTAATGCTCCAAGTCAAGTCTTACAGGTTGTGCCAGCATTTGTGGTAGGACTATTAGGAAATTTGTTGACCAAGATTACGGGCAAGATGTCTTTAGATGCTGTTATTGTTGGTGTAAGTAGAATTCAATATATAAAAGTATAATTTCTTACAAAGTATATATTTATATATACATGTAGGTCTTTTATTTAGTTCCTGGTAGCTTAGGTAAAGTATTTTTATAAATAAATATTTCAAATAGAACATAGATTATATTCATATGTTTTCTTTAGGCTTGAAAGCAGCATTAGGTTTTTTTGATAATTCTGGAGCAAGTGAATATGCAAATCAAGGTGCAGGTTTCGCTTTGAGTATGATTGAAACTTCTATTGGTATATCAGTTGGCTTATTTATATCTACATTGATTGTATATCCTAAGGGTACTCAACATACACCATTAATGAGTTTCTAGATTATAATAATTTTACCCTATAAATATATGATTCCCCCCCCCTTTTAATATATTAATTTGATAATTTATTTCTGTATACACTGTTTTGTTTTGTTTTTCTCTTTATTGACCATAACTGGTTTTATGGGCTCCTTCTTTTAAAATATAATTATCATTAATAACTGGTGAAAAAGCATAAAATCAAAATATGAATATTACTGTACCTTTTTATTATGCATTAGGATATAAGAAAGCTTATATACTGTGGTAATTCTTCAGTAAACGTAGTAAATTAAAAAAAAAAAAGGGGGTGGGGGCGGTACTAAATCGATCAATCTAATGACTCAAACATACTTTAGAAGTTTATATATTTAAAAAAAATAGAGTAGAATAGAATAGAACAGAATAGAAAAGAAGAGGGTATATTTAAAGAATAGCAGTAATAGTTGAATAGGATCCTACAACTACAACCAAAACATGAATTAAAGACCATAAAAATGGAATCCAAGTAGACATAACAAAGAATCCAGCATTATAGACAAAGGCCAATGCAACGCCTAAACGTATCGAATTACAGAATAAATAAACTATAGTCAATACAGTTGGCTTATCATTGACTTACCCATAACACTACCAATAGCAAATGATGCTATAGATCCACCCAATACAAATACAAAAGGTATTATAATCGATACATACCATTTTAGCGTGTGAGATTTTGTTAGCATAATAAAAGCCCAAATTCCTAAAAAAAAAAAAAAAAAAAAAAAAAAAAAAAAAAGAAAAAAATAAATAAAACTTATTAGTTGTCTCCTATACATAGGATAACTTGTGGAGGAGTTTATTACTATTATTTGTTACCTGCTGGTAGATAGACTCCCAAAGATAATATTAATGACCAAATCATAGTAAATCGCCAAATATCTACAGTTTTTTTATTCTTTTTGTTAGATGCATTTTCATAATTGTTAATCATTAGATTCTAACCTTGTAGATAATAAAGTGAATGTGGAATGTCAGCAACTAGAGCAAATGGATCAAATGCTCCATTAAATGGCCAATAAAGAGCTGGCCATGAAGGAGCATTCATATAACCATAAGGTAATTTAAAAGACGTAGACATTACAATAAAAGAAGAAGAAAAAACAAGTAGCAAAAATGATTCCGGTACCGAAGTTTTATGATTTTCCTTATTTGTCGATTTTATCAGCATGATCAATCTTTTTTTTTTTTTTTTTATGATAGTCAGAACAACATGATACCACATGGTGGTAGCAAAAAAAAAAAAAAAAAAAAAAAAAAAAGGTCATTGCCAATAGTCGGGATTGTCATCATTAACTTCAAGTCAATGTTTATCAGTATTAAGATGTGCAAATTATTTGAGTAAACATGACAGTCATCTAGATCAGCAAAAAGCGAATTTAAAAGTCATAAAATTTGTATTCAAAGATTACAAACACTAATTCAAAAGGCACGAAGCACCTACAAACTCAAGCAAAGGTTATTCCATAATAGCTAACAACTGTCTATTAATTAATATCGTCACTTAACACCATTAAGGTAGTAAAGTATATACGCTAATCATTTTTATTTTATTTTATTTTTTTTCTATGTTAATAACAGCAATATGATTTAAATAGGTAATGGAGGAATAATTCAAGAAGATTCTTTGTTACCTAATAGTTAAAAATGACAAATAGATAAAGTTGTAAAAAAGTATGATGCAAAATCTGAATACAGCATAGATTTGATGTATCTTTAGCAATAAAGACTACAAACGATCAATCAGATAGTGAGTAAAGATCTCTATACTTTATTATTTGAAGCCTGCTTTTCCATGTTGCACTATAGAGGTCATGTAACTAATGAGTACGAATCAAAGCTTAGTTCCTTATATGAAACAATGTCTATCTTAATAGGGCGATAGATGCTTGTATAAGTTACTTTTTTCACCCTTGTTAATTAAAGATGTTCAAAAAAAAATAGCTTGATTTAATCAAATGTACTGTTCTAACAGTTATTGTTCTTATCTATTTTGTACCTCGAGTATACTTGTATACACAACTACTAGCGATGATATCTTTTTTAACTAAAGCTGTATATACTGATTAACACTTATTATCTGGTAACATATAGGTATGACTTTACTCTGTTTATACTCATCTTCTTCTCCTCAGAGAGGTTCCCTTCCGCTCATTGTTACAAAAAAGGAGATATACTGTAACAAAAGTCTTTGTTGTACAATAGAAAAGTTTTTTATTATTATTCTTTACGCAGAAAAATATTTTGGTTCTTCTTCTTCTTGTATAATTAAAACAATGACTAGCATAAAGCTTAAACTTGCAAATACTTTTGCTACTTTATTATTGATTACCACTCAGGGATTTGTATGTTTTAACTGGTAATATAATAGTAAATACACATCTATTATTTTACGTTTAATTTGATTGAAAAAAAGGTTCCTGAAACATTCTTATGAAATTGGTCCTAAAGACTTTAATATTGTCTTGATAAGCATTTTGCAATTATTATTAATTGGATTTACGATTTATCAATATTTACCAAGCTCACCTAAGGGTAGTTTTATACATATATAAATTTATATGATTAAAATAGCTAATATTTGAATATAGATGTATATGAGGCTATTGGATATTGGTATCTTTTAGTTGCTATCATGAATAGCTCTATTGCATATTTATGGGTTTGTATATACAACTAACATGCATCTCTATAGCTCTACTTACACTCTATATAATGTATACCTAGTTTTTTAATATGAATCTATTCGCCTTTATTGGGCTACTTTGGCAATTAGCTGCACTCTTGGTTATATACCATCGACTTGATAAATATCCCCTAGAAATAATAGTGTAGACCATGCTTTTATCAATGCACCTTTCTCAATTTTTACTTCTTATTCAACATTTATTACGCTTTGGCAAATAATTCAGTTATTCAAAAGTTATTTTAATATTCTAGTATGTACCATCTTTTTTTTTCCTTTAAAAAAAAGTAGTATATCAACTCTTTATATAATAGATTCATATTCTTATAATTGTTATTATTGGCTTTATCTCTCTTCATTTGATCGATTACTCGCATAGAAAAGATTGGATACACGCTTTAGCAACTGCATGGTAAAACTAACAAGACCAAAAAAAAAAAAAAAATTCAAATTTTGTTTCAGTTTCGTCATTCTTAACTTTTTTTTTTTTTTTTTTTTTTTTTAAAAAAAAGGCTTCTTCTAGGTGCATCTATTTTTTCGACAGATAATGATACTATACATACTATTTTGTTAATTACTGTTGGTATTCTTTCAAGTTCAGTAGCTCGTACCTTGATTCCAAATTGGTTAGAAAAACTAAATAGACGATTTAGTTCTTGGACACGTCGCTTGAGTGAAAGAACACCCTTATTAGGATAGTTTTTTTTTTTTTGAAACTCCTATTAAGAGAAATTCCTAGACTGCTGCTGAAATAATTATACTACATCATGACCTTTTTTTTGTTATTATTTATTTTTCTTTTCTGTTTTTTATTTTTATTTTTTATTTTTTATTTTTATTTTTATTTTTATTTTTTTTTCTTTTTTATTTTATTTATTTATTTTATTTTTTTATTTTTTAAAAAATGTCAATAAACAAACTTTCACAAAATATCATAGAATGCATTGCACTTTATTTAAATCCAAGGGATATAATTGAATTAAGTTCAAGTTCAAGAAGATACTATAAACTACTATTAGATAATGAAAGCTTTTGGGAAAGGTAAATGGTTCAATATCATCCACAAGTATATAACAAGTTCATTTTATAAATAATTTTATATAGGAAGACTGTACATGATTTTGGTGATATTTTTAAACTATATCAACTGTTTACAAATTCGACAGGCTTAGATCTGGCAGGGGATTTAACAAAGAGATTCAAACAAAGACCAGAGAATTGGCTGTCATATTATATAACAAAGCATAGCTCTATTCATGAAGCCGATGATGAAGTCCTACTGGATCAAGCAAATAAAGAATATGAGGATTCTCGGAAATATTTAACTACAATTCAAGATGATATGAATTATTCGATATTATCACAAGTTGCATCTAAAATGTTTTGGATATTAGGTAGAGTATAAAAAAGAGCCTTCTTATCACGCATAGTAATTGATAATAGCCCAAAAAGAAGGAAGGAAAGAGAGAGAGAGAGAGTGACAATGAGAGTGATAATGAGAGTGACAATGAGAGTGACAATGAGAGTGACAGTGAGAGTGAGAGTGACAGTGAGTGAGTGAATTGTTTATTTATGAGATGGTTTGATAGATATGTTTCCAAGTCATGCAGGCTGTTACTATATTCTAGGTTTTATTTTATTTATTATGAATCAATTAGAGGATGCATTGGATATATTAGATATTGGCAGAATGGTAGATTCAGAATTCGAGCCTTTTGATGGTAAATAAATAAATAAATAAATAAATAAATATATAACAGATGTTTTAATATGACTTTATGTATTAGAATTGGAAACAGAAATATTATCTATCATGCAAGGATATAACGGAGATCATAAAGCTTTACCTTTATTAGTGAACGATAACCTTTCACCAGAATTATTAAATGTTTTATTCGAAATATTTACTAAATTTGATAAAGACGGTGATGATTGTTTAAGTCCTGAAGAACTTGATTTCTTTGTATTTTCAACAAATGGACAGCATCCACCTTCTTCGTTTATAGAACAAATGGGGAAACGATTTGGTGCTAACGAGAAAGGATGGTTAACAAAGAAGGGCTTTTTAGCCTTCTATTTAGAGCAAACATTGGGCGATCCATCAGAGACAAAAAAAGACATTCGTGCACATGGATATGATTGCAATCTATTAAAAAGAAGGCTTTCATACAACAGTAAATTACGATTCATTATTTATATTCATATAGATAGATAGATAGATAGATAGATAGATGTATACTACTTATATCGTATATTATGTAATATATTACTTTTTTTTCTTTTTTTGTATTTCTATAATACTCTTGTTTCTTTCCCTTTAATATGTGTTCTTTGAAATTAAGTTACTTGTATCTTTAAACATTAGAATCTGCTGTCATTATTGATGAATATTTATTCATAAAGTTGGAAATTTTTCCAAGTTCAGAAACAGGAAAAAAAAAAAAAAAACTCCCTCAACTATAACAATCTATATAAAGGTTGGATATATATTTTATGGCCTTTAATTCGAGCTTTTATTACAAGGCGATTTTTTTTTCAATTGAATTGTTGAATTTTAGTATAATAAAGTTAAATAGCTATGATTCTAAATAATATAAATGACTATGAATCTAATGACAGTAAATTCATTAGAGTACCTTAAATCAATAGTAGTATTACATATTTATTTTTAAAAGGAGAAATAAACTATATATGGTAAAAGGAGAAGGGTATATTACATAATTTAAATTGACTCCTTTAAAAAAGGGGGGTATGAAAGGGCATTCTTCCTATTGACCTGAATAGGGTAGATGCAGCAATAATTCTTATCTAATGACTTACGTTACAGGTAAACCGTCTATTATTGAAGAAGACATATTGGCTGATAACCTCCGAAAGACTGGATTATTTTTATTTTTCATCATATTCGACTGTTGTTGAGAAATAACATTGCTTAAACTTGAATTAGTTTGTGGTAAGCCAAGAAATTGTGATCTCACACTTTTGAGTGCGTTAGTTATATTCGTATCATATCCTATCAAAAGTATAAAAAATACATTTGTAACTGGCCAAATAATCAATGGCAATATCGGATCCCTATAGGTCTAGAACACCGAATACACATATATAGAAATATTTGTATATGTTAAAGTTTGCTTTTTTTTTTTTTTCTTTAAAAAAATAATAATAAAATAAACTTACCGAAAGATAGTATACAGCACAAGCAATACTAACTATTGTTAAAACGACTGTACGTATAACGTTTGATAGAACTACTGAAATATAAAGATTCACATTGCCTTGTACTCTTTCTACATTTAGTTCTCGAATATGACGGCAAAGTATAAATGTAATCATAAAACTGACATAACCGTCTAATAAGGCATCGAATAAAGCATAAAAGACGCCCAACTAATATATACAAAAAAAAAAAAAGTTAAACAGAATAATAGAAATAGTTAAACTATATAACATACTTCACGTGCAACTGATAACTCACAGCAATCACAGGTCTTCCCTACCCAAACTCTCAAATAAATAAGATCCAAGATACTTGCAATAATTCGAATTAGAATCAAAATTACATGAAATATCCGAAACATGGATCGGTGCTGAATTGATATAATTGCTTCTAGTCGTAATAATAAAATAATGAAGCCAGCTATGCAGCCTACGTGATAAAATGCTTCTCCTACTCTTTCAACTATTCCACAGTATTTTCTATTGATTGAATCATATTAATCTCTATTTGTACATGTATGTATGTGTGTATGTGTATGTGTATGTGTATGCATATATATTTATGAATGATATTTTATTTTACATGTTTATATTTGATGAAAATATTGTACTTTTGATCGCCATAAAGGCTGACATGATCATCTTTAAACAACGTACAAGACACCGTTGTTTGTTTGAAAATAAAGCACGAAAGAAGAGTTCAACTGATAGACCAATAACAGCACCTTCTAAAAGAAGATGCGCTGTTAAGATTGGGTGACTTTCCATAAAAATAAAAAGATATAGATATATAATAGTAATAATAATAAAAAGAAGAAGAAGAAGAATAATGATTTTTAATATTAATTTTTTTTTAGCTTATCAAAAAAAAAAAAAAGAAAAAAGAAAAAAAAATCTGGACTGAAATTGAAAACACAAGTTGTCAAATGTGTTGTTTCAAATATCATTATGTACTACTATTGCTTAAATTTACTTTTTCTTGGGCTGATTTCTCTATCTTGAAAAAAAAAATACTTTTTACAGTAGCATACTTTAATCTATTTTAACTAATTCTATTAGCAGTAATTGTCTTATAATCTACAATTATATCAAATAAGGAAAGAATACAATATTTCTCTGGTTATTTTTTTTTTTTTTTAAGTTTCTTCAAAAGGTAAAATGGATGAGAGCACAGATATTGGCTTACATAAGCATGATAATATCTTTTATTATTACAAATAATGAATGGTTATTTATAGCAATAAAGAAACTTTTATCATGACAATTCTTCTAAAGATCTCATTCCATAATAATACACAATAATGTTCTTTAATAATTAGCTTAAAACCTACTTTGAAATTATTTTATTTTAGTAACAATTCTAGAGAAAGATAATTGTTCTTCGGACTTTTTTCTAGCCTTTTTTTTTTTTTTTTTTTTTTTTACAATATACTTTGCATGGTAAACAACTTTTCCTTCTGTAATAGGATCATAGATTAGATAAAGCAATTTTTTTTAAAAAAAAAAATAAAATAAAATAAAAAGCTTATCAGGAAAAGTTTTGTATAGCATGACTCCTTGCAAGCCTAAGGACAATAGTGTCTATATATTTTTCATTTTAAAGATTTCTGTAATTGAGAAACAATTTGTTTCTTTTTTTATTATTATTATTACGTAGTAAGCTACTAGAAGAGTCTCGAAAAAAAAAAAAAAGGAGATAAAGCAGCAACTTACCTCTGAGAATAAAAGAAGGACTAGTGGTAAATTAAGCAAAAGTAGATTACTGTTATATGGTTTTCTAAACAGTATCTTTACCTTCTCTTTATTTATTTTTATTTGATTCTATTCTATCGTCAATATTGTCTTTCCTACTTTTATTGTCAATTTTGGCTTTTATTTTATTTTATTTTTAAATTTTAAAACAGCAATTATATCATTTGTTATGCTTTCAAACAAATGACGTACTATCATCTTTTTAAACTATTATTAACTAAATTATAGTAGATTATAATTACTTTTTTTTTCCTTTTCCAAACAGTGCTTATTTATTATATATCTTTTGGATATAACGAAATATACTTTTTCTATTGAATATAACAGATTATTATCTGTTGATTTAATTCTGACTGATATGAACTGAAACAATTATTTTATTTTATTTTATGACGAAAATAATAATAATACTAATAACACCAATTAACTATAAAATATTTGATTTGATCTATTACTAACCCTTTTTTTTAAGTTCAAAGAAATCATCATATTTGTTTACTACATTTTTGGAAATGGAAGGAAATTATTTAAAATAAATAGCAGAGTTTCATCTGAGATAACAAAATAGGTTAAACATGTGTTTTTTTAATTTAGATACATATGAATAAAAATCACCTCCCCTTTCAAGGACATAACAGACCTCCCCCAAATGCTTTATCCAATAAGTCCCAGTTCTGTGATGGAGACATATGCAGGTCCCTTATTCTAGTTTGAAAATGAAAGAGTATAGTGTCTGTCACCACAAAATGGGAATTGACGAACAAAGTATGTATTTAATCCGTGTTTACTTTATGGTTTGGAATTGGTTGTGCCCCTCCATACTTTTTGTGTAGATAATCATAGTTTACATAAGCTATTTGTTTGAGCTATTTTCAAACAACGATACCAGCTCCATTCTACCAACCTCTTTGGTAGATACTTTGCCTCTGTTGTGGTATCCAATGAATCAATCATGTGTTGAAAGGTCTTGAGAGAGATGAGTCCGAGTCTTCCATTTAATAAATGCATCTATATAAATATATGTTGCTGATACATTCTATTTCAATCTATGTTTAATCTTATTTCTCTGGCTTTTTTTGATACACCAGAAATGGTCTTCATTCTTTGCTATCTCAGCTTTACAGACGATTCTTTTCATCGTCGTCATTGCTTCAATAAAATCATATTGAAAGATTCAATTCATGGTTGTTTATGACTTTTATGGATGTTCTTGTTGGTAATAAAAAGATATATGCGCGTTGAATAGTTGGCGTTTATAGCTATGTCCCGATGACTGTCTCGACAAGAAATGATGAAGGCCGTAAATAAGTAGTTATAAGTCAACTCTGGAGATAAAAAAAAATAACAGGGCTTTGTCAATAAACCGGTAACAAACGAGAGAATAGGACTAGCCTTTTATCATTATATAATAGTTTAAGATCCAAGTATTTATTATACTGTCTTCTCTATATCATCCACAACGAATAAAGAATCGGGCAATAGTCTTGTTGACTGAGATTGATTTTTCAAAAGAGGGCAGAAACAACCTCTTCTTCTTCTTCTTCTTCTTCTCGTCCTATATGTGTCGCAAAGTTGGCTTGTTTTTCTTTTTCCGAAAAGATATAAATAGGGATCTATTCTGTACTCATTTTTTGAAACCCTTTCTTTTCTTTTTAAATTGTATTTTCTTTATCTGATCGATAAGATGAAGACTTTTCCGGTGCAAAACACCGACACCATCGTGCTACTTACGGGTTTGTAAGATTTGCAATACATTTTTGACAGACAGTCATAGTTGCATGAATCAATGGCTGTTCGTTTACAATCTTCTGAACTTCAATTAAAAGTAATAGAGATCTACTTTGTATATCAAAATAAGGAACATATAGCACGTCATTATGCTTATCTTTTACATTCTGTGTTGGCTAATTTATATGTCTCTTTTATTACTATTTCTTGCAGTCAATTCGTTGTTCACCCTATCAATAATTATTATATTTATAAATATAAATATATATATATATTTTTTATGCTGAAGATGTTTTATTGATCCGATTCGGGCAAATTTGACATTTCGTGCTTACTGTGTCTTTAAATTTTATGTTACCTATTTGTCGGACTTTAAAGAAGGGGTGGTGTGTACACAAAAAAAATAAAATAAAAATAAAAATAATAAAAATAAATAAATAACACTGAATACACCCCACTACCCATAAGCATAGGAAGATAACCTGATTTTTTAATATACGCAAGTCAATAAACCAATATTTAATTTTTTTTTTCTATTTCTTTATTACATCTACATTGCTATTATGGATACAATTACTATGAATGATGAAGTCAACATTTCATTCCAAGATAAAGTAAAAATTTCTTCTGGTTTTGTGCTTTGCAGTCCACCAGGAGAGGTCAATGATGTTTTTAATGGTAAAAAGACGATTGTTTATTTTATTTTATTTTTTTTTTATTAAATTTTCTTTAAAGATGTTCGTACATTGCTTAATGATGATGAAGCCCTTCAAGATGGTGTTTTACAAGCTATTGAACAATACAATATTGAACAATACATTACAGTTACTCCCCCTGACTCGGATTACAAAGTATGGAAAAATAATATTACTAACTACTTTTGTTCAATATATACGTGTTAACTAATTTCAAAAAAACAACAATAACGACAACAACAGGTTATTATATCTCAGTATGGTAAATTGGAAGAAGATAGATTCCTTGATCCTCGTTCAAAACAATCCTTCAAGTTTGATCATATGCGTTTGGTAAGACAGTTATGAGCTGTAACATGAATAACTTTATTTTTTTTTAACTGTTTCAATTAATTATTAGGTTGCATATGATGTGGAAGAATATACAGGTCAAACAGAATTAGAATCTCTTCGAGCTGCTGTTGAAAAAGAATGTTTAGCTTATGTAGGAGATCATTATCCAAATGGTGTATGCACTATTTATGCTAATAACAATAAAGATATCATTATCGCCGTTGTTGATAATAAATACAATCCAAATAACTTTTGGAACGGTCGATGGCTTGCTACTTGGATCTATGATACCCAATCAAACAACTTAAAAGGTTGTACCAAGATCAATGTACATTATTATGAAGATGGTAATGTGCAACTGAATACAGAAAAGAACGTAGATAGTCAAATACCTTCAAATGAAGTAAGATTTCTCAATTATAGAATTTTTGCGTGTGTTTCCTTAATATATTAATTTTTTTTAATAGAATGAAGAGCAATTGGCAAAGACAATTGTTAAAGAGATTTCCAACTTTGATAAAAAATATCATATTGCCATGAATAATAGCTACAATGATCTTGCAGAGGACACATTTAAGGGCTTAAGAAGAGCTTTGCCTATGACTCGTAATAAGATGGATTGGGATAAGATATTGAGTTATAAAATTGGTAGTGAATTAGCACAAAAATAAATTTTATGAATAAATAAATAAAAAAAGACGAATAAGCACGTAGTTTAATATCAAAAAGATAAAAGTAAGAGATCATAAAATAAAAGAATGTGTTATGAAAGAGGCTTAGAGAACCGGTATAGCAGGAGTGATTCAGGATTAGGGGATAGTAGTGTAAACTAGATATAATGTGTACTTGATCTGAAGTGGGACTTGTTTCTTTTACTACTTACCATTACAGCTTTTATGAATGTATTCTATTACGTAGTTTACTTTGTTTACCTTGAGTGAGGGTAATATTTTGTGCGAATATTAAAATGATATATTTTACTAATAACAGTTAACACGACACTTGTATGTATATGTATATGTATTTTCAAGTGTCTTGTTATAAACAAGCTTTTATCTAACACTGAATTCTAATAGAGCACAAACACGGCTTTCTTCTTCTTATTATTATTAGCATTTACCTTGGGTCACTTAAATAATGACAGCCAATTTTTTGATAGTATCTTGGATCAGATTCTATTATATTATTTCCTAATTTTACTTTATAACTTCTTATACATTATGAGATTTTAGAACTTGTCATGATCTCTTTTGTATCTCTAAAATCCCTCTGATTATATTTAATACACAGGATATAGATAAGCCTCCAAATTCCTTGTTTTCTAGTCTCATGTTGAACATTCCTTGCTATGTAGACCAGCGTTGAAATATATATAAATATATATGTATATCTATTCATTTTCTATTTTAAAGCAAAGCAAAATCTATGCTCTCCTTTTACTAATAGTAGTACAAATGCGTTTAAAAAAGGGAATAAAAAATGAAAATAGATTCTATATTTATTACTCCTTTACTTACATATAAATTACATCAGTTTATATCTATTTGATATATAAATTAATATAGTTTATTGTTTTTACTTTTTTTTTTTTCTCTTTTTATCCTTTTTTTTTAAAAAAAAATAAATAAATAATTACATAAATAAATAAATTTTATATGATACAGTCTAATAAAAAGGAACAGATACTTATTCAATTACAAGATGAGAGCAATACAACTTACTATTATCCTGGCGATCTTTTGAAAGGTAAAAAAAAAGAAAAAAAAAAAAGAAAAAGAAATTTTAAACTGTGTATTTGATGATGATGATGATGATGATAATAAAAAAGGCATATTTCTATATGAATATAAAAAGGTCAGGTATTATTGGACTTGAAGAAATCAATTGATGTTCAGCATATTTCACTTCATTTCTCGGGTTATATTGAGGGGTGTGGAGACAAAGTTATTTTAATAAATGAAACAATCTTATTAGCGAAACCGAAAGATGGGAAGAAATATACAACATTTAAATCAGGTCAACAACGTGAATTTGATTTTGAGTTCAAGATACCTTTAAATAAAAAGCTACCAAGTTATTTCCCAAGTGTAAGTAATAAATAAAAAAAAAATAATCTATTATCATATATATCATTCACCTATTTTTTTTTTTTTTTAAAAATAGATTCCGAAAATTGGTACAATATCTTACTCTCTAACAGCTACACATAAAAAACCGACGTTTAAATTGTCCCATACACTTTCATCAGTTACAAAGAACTTGCAGATATTGGATAAAATTAATATTCTAGAAAAAGGATATTGTACACGAATCACAAAGACGAATGAAATTGGATTTATTAACGATAATAAATTGGCACAATGGTCTTTAATGATTTCTAAATCTGCTTTTATTCGAGGTAAACAAACAAATAAAGATATGCAACATTATTAATGTATGTATGTATGTATGTATTTATACAGGTGAAAGAATAAAGGTAGATTGCACATTTCACAACTTTCCTGTCATGAAAAAGCAAAAGGCTGTTACAGTATCCCTTATTCGACAAACTCATAAAACAAGTTCTGCAAAGTAAGAAAGAAAGAAAGAAAGAAAGAAAGGATAGATATTACATGACTGAATATGAATGTTAATGTTAATATAAATACTTATATTTATTAGAATTATAGAAAGTAGAGCGCTATCTTGTAAATTATTTGATTTGAATATTGATAAGAATTTGGAAACATTAGTTAAATCAGTTACATTAAAGATACCCTTAGAAACTCCACCTAATATCTTTCCTGATTCAGGGCGCATTTTAAGTATCTCATATCTAATTCAAGTAGAGTTAAACATGAAGTCTGTCAAAGTACCACTCAAATTAAAGCCAACTTATACACAAGAAATAACTATCGTCATTGGTACTTTTCCAAATAATATAATTCAACATTCTACAAATAAACAATCCATCATAAATAATTACCAATTGCTGCCATCCCCAACAAGTAAAGAAAAAAGAAATGAACACAAAATATACATATACATATCGTTTCTCACCTATTACATTAAATTAATACTATACATTTTAGGCTGCTCTTCATCTTGTACATCCTCACAAGACATAGCTTCGAGATATAGTAGTAAGTGAAACAATTTGTAGGGAAAAAGAAAAAAGAAAAATGGCTTACTCAATATGCATATATACTCTAGATTCTGACTATGTAAATGATAATTCTCAGCAATCATTAGGGAAAATACCAGAAGAGACTATAACACCAGCTTATACAAATCCAACATATAATAACATGGAGAATGAGCTTACACCATTATCAAAACTAGAATTGGACGAGTATCAGTTAAGTTCATCCAATAAAAGGTCATATCTACCTCCTTATCAGTCATCCTCTTCTTCCTTAACATCTTCCACATCTTCACCTATCACACCACCGGATTATTTATGTTATCAGCAAGCATTCGATAATTATCTACCCTCTCAACCAGAGAGACCAAGACAATGTGTCATTTCACGTTCAAAATCACTTTTACCGCCTATTGATCATATCCTTACACCTTTGTCTTCTAAAACCGAAAAAGATAAAAATATAAACTATTCATTAAATCGTAGAAATACGGCTGGTAATATCAAAAGGGATCAACAACAGCTACAGAAGAAGATGATTGTCTTTTCTCCACCGCATGAAATCGGTCCAAATGATATTATTGTATCGCCAAAGCATCATCATCAAGAAAAGACGTTAGCCATTGAGGAAGAAGAAGAAGAAGAAAAGAGACAGCAACCAAGGAGGTTATCTTCTCCACCAAACTTCTTGCATAGACAAAACACACTGCTATCTTCTTCTTCTTCTTCTTTGGATAGATTATATATAGATTTTCATCAAACAACCGACAAACCTATCACTACATATTCAATTTTTGAGAGTGCTTTCCTTTAAGGAATGATGATTAGCTGCTGAAATTGAAAATTACATAAATCTACAACAAGTTTATAATATAATATGTGTATATATAACACATGAATATGTATAAAAAAAAAAAAAAAAAAAAAAAAAAAAAAAAAAAAAGTGTACACATAGTATTTTTAAATTTGAGTGAATGCAACTCAAAAAATTTTTAATAAAACTAAAGGATCTTTTCATCCATTCCATCCTAGAAATGAATGAAGTTAATCAAGCTGCTAATACACTTACTCTAAAACTAAAGGATACCCCTGCTGATGTTCAATTAGGTATAATAAAGAGTAAAGAAACAAACCAAAACCTAACCATTTTGTAATTAAATTACAAGATCTAGTTCACGATGAGGAGCAAACTGTAATCACTACTTTTATAAGCGACAAGAGTCAAATAGAATTAAATAAAAACTCGGATGATCAAGAAAAGGATCAATTGATTCAAGTCAATGATAATCATAGATTAGTGTGTTCTCAACAATTAGACTGTTATCATGCAGATCAACCATTAGAAAAGGATGATCCATCTGCTCAGTCTTTCGAAAAGGAAAGTACACTACCTGAAAATACACAGAGTGATGAAATAGTCATTGAAGAATTTGGATCCTCTGCTGAGATCACTCAAATGACAGCAGCAAATGAAGAAAATAGATCGGATAACCAGGAAGTAGAAGAGATACCGATCATAACCTCTAAAAGATTAGCCTCTAGCATAGATCCTTATGCTGGTTATAGCTTAGCAAATAGAAAACGACGAAAGAAGAATAGAAACAACAAAAAGAATAAAAAAATAATAATCAAGTTAAGGAATACAATGGTGTAGTCGTTTCTTATGATGAAGGTACAATTTGTGAAGATATGAAGAAATATTATTTTCAACGATATAATTATTTTTCTAAATTCGACCAAGGCATTTTAATGGATAAAGGTAAAGTCTATTTTAGTTGGACCCATCAATGGTATTGACTTCATTTTAGAGGGCTGGTTTTCAGTTACACCAGAAAAAATAGCTCAACATATCGCTACACGATGTCAAACAGACATTATTATTGATGCATTCTGTGGATGTGGAGGAAATGCGATTCAGTTTGCATTGACTTGTAGACAAGTGATTGCTATTGATTTGGATCCAGTTAAGCTTCACTGTGCACGTGAAAATGCAAAGATTTATGGTGTTGCTGATAGAATCGAATTTATTCTAGGGGATTTCTTTAAATTAGCACCTACATTAAAAGCAGATGTCATCTTTCTATCGCCACCTTGGGGTGGGCCAGCTTATATGAATCAAGAAGTTTATAATCTAAAATCAATGATACCCGGTGATGGGTAAAAAAAAAAAAAAAAAAATTAAGAAAGATAAGTTCAATTTACAATATTCTAATAACCCATTTTTTTTTTTTATGAAATAGTTTTAAAATTCATCAAATCGCCTCGCAGATTACACCTAATATAGCTTATTTTGTGCCTAGAAACACAAATCCTCAGCAACTGGCTCAATTAGCAGGTCCCGGAAAGACATGTGAAATTGAACAAAATGCTTTAAATGGGAAAGTGAAAGCCCTAACAGTTTACTATGGAGACTTAATTGATGTAAATAAGTTAAAAAGTATTGAAGCTGAAATTGCTGAAGAAGAGTTAGTTCAGCAAATTATGCAGTATTAGTTTCTGTAAATGTATGTGAATAAACAAAAAAAAAAAAAAAAAGTAAAGCTAGTACTTATTAAGGAGGTTCTATTAAAGTAAGATACAAGATAGATTAACACTCTATTGAGTATTTATAAATGTATACATATTTTGTGAATAAAAATTGGGTGAGCAATAATCAAGTAAAAATGAGGATAGACTACATTTGATGTAATAAACAAGAATGACTAAATGTACCCACCAAGTCTTATATATTTACTTTTCATAACTCATGTTTCTATAGGCATGTAGACATAAAAATATATAATAACTACTCTATATCTGTTTGAATTAAGTTACATTAAAATAATAATAATATGAGCAATATTTTATCATTTTTAGCCTTCTTATTACCTATGTTTTATTTAATGCAATTTTAAGTCTAGAATGATAAATATACTTGGTTAATAATCAAAATGTGTTAAATTCATTCATATGAATATATATATAAATATACAAATATACATATATTATTTCAGTCTTCTTTAATACAATTCAAAAAAAAAAAAAATGCAAACTGAATTTGATGTTAATATTTTGGAACCTGCTTCCAAGGCTTTTATTCAAGCTGTTCGATCGATGAAAGGCGATAATGGAAAAAAAGATTTTGATAAGGAAGCAGTCGATTATATGATTAATGCTCCTTTAAGTAAAAATCTTTGTAGGCCTGCCGTTACTATTGAACATATTCAAATTCCTTTACGACAAGAAGAAGGTGATGGTCATATGATTAATGTGGACGTATATAGGCCTCAAGAAGCTAAGGGCATATTGTCTGCCTTTGTATTTCTGTATGTTTTAGTTCAAAACTATGATGTATCTATTAACAAGCTTCATTTTATGTTTCTTTTATTTTATTTTTTTTTTAGCCATGGAGGTGGGTGGACTCTGCCTGTACAGAATGGTCATATTTATTTAGCTGAAAAGGTAGAAATTAAACTACTACTTACGTTTTCGAATATAATATTCATATTTTGTTTTATTTTTTCTTTTTTTTTTCTTTAATAGATATCAGCTGAAGCTAATTGTGCTGTCCTTTTAGTACATTATACCTGTGGTCTTACAGTACCACATTCTAAAGCATTAGATGAGTGTTATTCTGTTGTAGCCTATGCTACTAGCACTGAAGGTGCTAAAAAACTTTTTATTAATCCCGCAAATGTTGCTATAGGTGGTGACTCTGCTGGTGGTAACATGGCTGCATGTATTGCCTGTAAGTATATATATAAACAGAATAGTATAATAACATTATTATTATCTTAAAGTGCTTGCAAAAGAAAAGAAACCTTTAGGAAATCCTTTAAAGCTCCAAGTTTTGTATTATCCTAACACAACCGATTCTATAAAAACAAGCAAGTCATATCAAGAATATGGTTATGGCAACATACTCAATATAGCAGATGTAGAAAATACATTCAAATTACATTTCACAGAAGAAGATAAGAATAATCCATATGTTTTCCCATTAAAAGCAACAACTGAGCAAATCTCTGGAATAGCACCTGCACTTCTCATTACTTGTGAAGCTGATGTATTACGAGATGGTAAATTATATATATGTATATATATAATTCATCATTAACTCATTCTCTGTCTCTCTCCCTCCCTCTCCCTCCCTCTCCCTCCCTCTCTCTCCCTCTCTCTCTCTCTATATATATATATATATATATACTATACAGAAGGTGAATTGTATGGTCGAAAGTTATTGGAAGCTGGTGTACCTGTTAATGTAGTACGTATTTGTGGCGTAATTCATACATTCTTATCACTTGCTCCTCTTTATTCTGAAGCAACTGAAAATGTATTGGATATGACTACAGGTGCTCTTCGTAGAGCATTTTCTAAAAAAAATTAAAAAAGTAAAAAAAAAAAAAAAAAAAGCTATAGCTCTTTATATATTGTATATATATTACACACACACACACACACAAACTTCCCTCCCAAGTTTATTTGTGAGTTATATAAACATGTATACATATACACACACATATATATTTATATATATATATATATCAATGCATTTATAGTATAAAAAGGATATCTACTTTTTTATTTTATACAATTACAGTAATTTACTGTTTTTTACTGGAAACTCTCTGTATTTCATACCATTCACCACTCATGACATCCAATGTCTGAATATAATATTGCTCAATACTTGCCAACGCTTGTTCTTCTTTTTGAATCTGAAGAATATTCTTTTTAGGATGTCCACCTTTTAACCAACTATCTTCTAATTCTTGTTGCTTTTGAATTGTTTGGAATGATTTTTTATGAGTCAATTCATTTTTATTAGCAGCAGATGTAGTATATCGACGGATGGGTGTAAGCTGAAAGGTAGAACCGAGACTCTCTATAGGATTAAATAAAATAGAATTGGTTTTTGACTCATCAGGATCACGACTTATTTCATGAATTTCATCCAAAAGATCTTCTTGTATATATCTATTATTAATTCCATTAACAGCAACAAAAAGTTATATCGAATAAGTATTGTATAATAGAAATGAATGTATAACTTACATCTTTTTCCCTTTATGGTCAGTTGGATTCTTTTTTAAACTCGTCTCTGCCATAATCTTAGTCATAGGTTTAGTTTCCACTGTAGGTACTTTGCCCCAAACTAGTTTAGATGATGAGGGCTCTGAAGTCGTAGCAAGTTCCTGCTGATATGCCAATCTTTTACGCTCCTTTTGTGAAATCTTTTTTGGGATAATAGACGACGACTATATGAAAATGAATTAGAAGAGAAAAAAGAAAACCAAATAATTAATACAAGTATACCTTTTGAACTTTATTTGTTGATCCCATAGTAGTAGGTCGATTTTCTGTTTCAATAATTTCTCGTAGTGAAGGTTTTGATGTTTGCCTATATATATATATATTTATATGTTAAGAAAGAAATATGAATATATAGTATCCATAAAAATACTTACTCTAAATTTGTATCTTTTAACCATCCAACAGATAAACGTCGTGGTGGTTGTAACTTGTTTTCTGTAGTTCTCACATGTAAACCTTTACTAACATTATGATCTAATTTTAGTGATAATGGTTTTTTCTGCAAATGCTCTACTGATTCTGTTTCCTTTTTATTAGCTGACTTTTCAGGATAAAAGGTGATTAATATTTCATCATAAGTTGTGGCACTACCGTCACCTCTTGATAAAGCATAAAGGGAGCTTGAAAATTCTAAATCTTCTTCAACGTTAACACCATCATATAATGTATTAAAATCACTTATTCGAGATATAGTCGGCATGGCTTGTAACTGACAATTGCGAACATAATTTTCTACATCACGAATAAGTTGCACAGATAAATTATCCAACATACTGTTATTCCCCATAAATATATAAAAAAAAAGTTAAAATGGGCAAATCCTAGAAAAAATAAATAAATAAAACCCACTTGGAGCCTAAGAATGCAGGTAGATTCATCGTTATAAACTGTAAACAAGCCTTTTTTAATGATTCAGCATAATAAATATCAGCATACTCCAAAATTGTCGATGCTGATCGAAGCTTAATAAAACGAACAAGTGCATTTTCAGTAATCAGTTTGAGTCTATCTAACAATAATGCATCGGCCTCACAAAGTAAAGTAAGTAAAAATGACATCATCAGCTCCTCTTTGTCTCTTTCAATATTATCAAATAAACCATCACCATCCAAATAAATATATCGAATAATCGTCTCCAACACCTCTGTAGAGATATGATCCAAGTTAATTGTGACACTTTCTTTGTCATTCTTAAGTCGGTCCAATATCCAAACAGATTCGGGTCGAAGCATATTGTTAAAGAATGGACATCGTTGCCGCAAAATAACTTGATGACATTTTAGATGATCACCTTCTTTAGATTCTAAAGCAATATCTCCTTTAGCTTCCATTAACTGTTCTAAATGTAGTTTGAGAGATGGTACAGGCTTGTGGTTAAATGAGGATTGTGCAGAGGATTCTAAATGTGGCATATCGAATATGCTTGCTAATGTAATCAAATCCTTTTGAATCGCCTTTAGAGTTGCTGTTGTTGGTGTGATCATCTGAAGATTATCAAGAGATAATACGGGCATTTCAAAAAGGCTTTCATAGGATGCTGATAGGTGTCTGTGTAAATATAGTCAAGTAATAGCAAGATAGAAGCCAACTGACAATGATGTATAATAATGGTCAGTCGATTGTCTATAGCCCTCTTTTCCACTTTTATTTTCATGGAACCCTCAATTTGCTTATCTACACAACAAGCTAATTGATTAAATATCCTACTACGATAACGTAAAATAGAACTATGACAATAAATATGCTTGCCGCTAACATCGAAAATAACATCCAATGTTGGGTCCTTTTTAGATACGGTTTCAATCTGTTGCCATGCTTCATGAACTGTAGCAAACCATTGCTCATTATATTTTTTCTGGATCAAAATTTCTTGCTCTTCAACGTCTTCTGAAGAAGTAAATATTTGTTTCTTTGCTGAATCTATTGCTATCCTTGTTTCTTTGAAGTTATCTAATAAAGTACTGGAAGCTCTTACATGAGGTAAAGACGTAGACAATTCATACTTAAGGGTCGAAGCTGTTACTTCAGGTATAGCTGTTATCACATATTCTGAACGTATAGCAGCAAATGCACCACTTGAGTTTGCACATACCTGAATGCAACGTTGTAACTGAGGTATTTGTGAGAATTTATATCCAGTAGGCTCAGTATGACCTACAAAGACATGTCCAGAGATAGTACACAAGATAACTTCATTGTGTTGACCTATACTAGCATCAACAGCAGCTAAATGAGACTTAGTTCGTGTCCATATTCGTTTTGGTGTTGAGATAATAACTGTATTTGTTTTTTTAGTTTCAATATTATTACGAGTCTGGGGTAATTTGCAGCTCCAGATAAAGATATCTCCTGTGTTTGTTAGGGCACCAAGATGTTCCGTACTGCTTCCTAAGAGCTTTACTGGATAGGTTATTTCAGAGCGATGAACGTTAATATTATTTGGAAATCGATTGACTGGTAAACTAGAGGAAAAAGAAAACGTTAAAAAGAAAATAATATCCTAGAGAAAAAAATATAGAAAATAATAATAATAATAATAATAATAAAACTATTTACAAGAGTCGTTGTTGGGTATAATTACAAAATAAAATAATTTCATGTGATTTGTTTAGAACAGCAGTTACATTATCCTATATATTAATATACAAATTGTTATAGGGGGAAAAAAGAAAAAAGAAATTAAACTCTATAGATATAAACTTACATTAGCAACAACTTGTACAATTTCCGTTGTCATGCTGATTTTTCTAGGTATTGTTTGATATTGATCATCACCAGGCTGATGATAACCTAATTGCCCTTGATTATAACCAAATGTGAAGATATCATTTTTTGTATAAACTACAGAATGTATTCTTGAGGCAGCTGCTCCAAAGATAGGTTGTTTTTTCAAACTTTGTGCTTGAATTTTTCGCGGTACAAGTTGCTCTTGATTATCCATTTCATACCCTAAATATTAGACATGAAGAAAAGGTGTGGGAGGGAGGGAGAAGGGAGGGTTTGTCAATATCTATGATAAAAGGCACAACTCAATTCATTACCTAATTGTCCATAACGGTTACTTCCAAATGTAATTACATTTCCATTTTCTGTTACTGCAACTGTATGATCACGTCCGAGAGCAGCTGATATAATACGCTCAGGCCATTGAAGAGCAATAGGTGTAAATTGAGTATCTACTTCTTTGCCTGTCCCCAACCTACCACCTCTACCAAATCCACATATTAACAGATTATCTACAGAATCGCTTGTTAAGATAGCCATATGATATTTTGACATGATGACAGTCTCGATCAAATAATCAGGTCTCTTCATAAAAATAGGCGATTTTTGTGATTCTAATTGAAGTTTCACTCGTTCAGGCTTTGTTCTATTTTCAGAATCTGGATGACCTAAGACGTAATTCGTATTATGACCCCAACTGTATAAATCTGTTCCTCCTTTTCTAATATATTTTGGTTTTATACTATGATCTGTTATTGTTGTTGATAATTCCTCTTTTGATATGATTTGTTGTTTAGGAAATGTATGTGGCACAGTCATTTCGTACACTTCAAATGCAGTTAAACCTTCCCAATCCTAAGATATTATAATTAATAACTTTCTATTTAATTTACATTATCTGTAACTCACTCTAATGGTAAGATCAATGTCATCTCTTTTCAATAGCATTCTTGCAATTTCTACATTTCCTATATATAGAGATCTAAATCATACATGCATCAATTCGTTAACAAAATTGTTTAGGTTTTTCTTTTCTTCTTCCTATCTTTACCTATGCAAAGCGGTCCAACCATTTTCACGATCACGCAAATTAATGTCAACTTGTTGACAGCAAACTAAAGCTTTAACAATTTCTGTTCGATTCCAAGCAACAGCACAGTGTAGAGGGGTTCTCCCTTTTACAGAACGCTTATTAAGGTCAAAGTATTTAGTATTTTTCAGATATTGCTGTTGTATCCATTGAATTTGTTGTTTGGACAGATTGCTGACACGATGACTGCGATCACCAGTTGCCAAATCGATAAAATAATTTACAAGTTCAAGATCATTATTTCGAATAGCTTTATAAATCGAAACCATGAATTAACAATCTATAAAATAGTGTACAAAAAATAAAATAAAAATACAAATGAAGAATATAATATTACTGCGAAATATACTTGGTGGTTTATGTGAAAGATGATGAAGATAAGTAGTTATTGTTATTGGTGGCAGCTGGTTTTCAATTTTTTAGGCCAATAACAGATGAAGTTATTTGACAAAAAAAAAAAATGCAAACAGTCAGTATATATTAACTTGAATTATGTAATCATTGTTTTTTAAGATGATTTAGTTACTAGTTATATTTTGATGTTACCTGACAAGAATAAGCTAGCATAAATGATAGTATTTTTTTTTAAATACATTGTTCAGTCATCAAGAATCTTTTTTTTTATGCTCACCATCTTTAAAGAGAATTTAATGAATACTGAATGTGAAAGTTTTTTATATATTATGAAAAGATTGTATCATATATATTTTGTACTTTGCATTATACTATATTCACCCCACCTTAGGAAAAGGTATGATATAGAGTATAATGTTATAATTGCTGTTACTAATATGTATTCTTCTTAAAGAACAACAACTTAATAATAGTAATAGTATTAATAGCTTTTATATATATATATATGCATATTAAACTTCTGACTAAACTCACTAGATTAAATATTCCACTTTATGATTTACATTTATCGATTAACGTTAGATTTAACATGTTTTACTCATTTGTAAATTTGAACTAGATTGCAACTATTCCAAACAAACTTACTGCCATTGTTTAAATAATGATCAAACTATTAAATTACTTGATTCTATTTTATTACTTTAGTTTTATAATAAAAAGGACATCTAGCTTCAAGTCATTCTTTTCATGCATGTTTATTCGATATTTTTATTAATGCTAAATTCGTATTCTATTTGCGCTTTTTTTTCTGTTGTTGTTTATAGAAAAATCATTGACGCTATAAATAAAATTCATCAAACAAATTGTTTCTTAACATGTTAAAATCTCTTCCTTTTGATTTGTTGTCTTTATAAAAGATTTCAATTCAATAATTTTTTTTTAATGAGCGTTTTCATAATTATGTTTGGATAACTAGTTTTAACCGAAATTTCTTTCATGATATCAATGTCCTCAGTGCAAGGATTATCTCTTTCATTTTTGTATATAAACCTTTATTTATTCTGGGACTATAAAGTGTAATGAGAGAAAAAAAAATTCTCCTTCCCTCCCCCCCATAATAACAAAAAATAGAAGCAACAAATACATGATGTTTGCCAATTTAATAATTAAATTTCCGACTATTATTACATGCCGAATTCTGCCAAATACAGTAACTTTTCACTTCTATTTCATAAACAATCATGAAGTACATTGATATCTGTACTGCACTTTATGACTACCAATCCCAACATGATCAAGAAATTTCATTCCAGGAAAATGATACTTTATATATTCTAGATAAAGAAGATCCAAATTGGTATAAAGCCCAACTTAAAGTACCATCAGACATTGGGCCAATTGGGCTTGTGCCTTCCAATTACATTGAAAAGGTATGCATATAAATGTATATAAATACAAATACAAATACATATACATGTATAGGAGGGTATAAAAGTTTATTATTTCAAGTTCATACTTATTTGTTGTCATAGGCAAAGCCTATTGACTCATTAAAAGCACTTTACGATTATCAATCTCGATCATTAGAAGAACTGGACTTTAAGGAAAATGACACATTTGCATTATATGAAAAAGATGACCCTGATTGGTTTCTAGTAGAGGCTTCAAATGGACAAATTGGCTTAGTACCTAGCAACTATGTTGAATTTATTAAAAACAATACATTATCAACTGAGCAACGTATACCATCTCAGCCAAATATCGCTTTAGACAATAAAAATAGAACAAAAAATAAAGGTAAATGGGCTATAGCGTTATATGCTTTTAAGCCAGAAGGAGATGAGGAGACCTATCTTGAGGAAGGTGAGCATGTGATTGTAACAAATCAGGAAAATAAGGACTGGTGGACAGTTGAGCATAAGGATGGTACACATGGTATTGTACCAGCTGTTTATATAAGATTTGAAGATGAACAGGAAGAGAAAAGGAAAAACGAGTTAGCAGCCAAAATTGAAGCTGAAGCAAAAGAAAAAGAAAAACAACGTATAGAGCTTGAAAGGCGACGAAAAGAGCAGGAAGAGCATGAGAAACAATTAAAAGAAGAACATGAAAGACAAAAAAGACTAGAAGAGTTGAAACGACAAAGAGAGCAAAAAGAGAAGGAAAGATTAAGACAGGAAGAAGTAGAAAGAAGAAGAAAAATACAAGAAGAAGCAAGACAAAGAGAATTAGAAGAAAAAAGGAAACAGCAAGAAGAATTAAAGCAGAGAGAAGAAAAGAAGAAACAGCAAACATTTGTAAGTTTACCTTAAAGTCTTATATGCATTTATGTTCCTAATTTCTCTCTTTTTTGTTATAAAAGAACAAGTTTTCAGCTTCTCCTTCATTAGGTTCGTTTATATACCGTTGCTAAATTTGATTTTGCTTCTAATTGAATTTATATTCTTAGGACGTAATCAAATTCCTGTTCCTTCTTCTTCTTCTCCTTCTTCTACCGTACAATGTAAGTTTTATATAATATTAGAAAAACTATCTTCTAAACACCCTCCATTATGATTGATATTTAGATCAGTCCTCTACACAATATGTTGATTCAATTAGTAAGCCTAAATACAGCCCTACTTTTTTTTTTTTTTTCCTCAAGAGAATTAAGTTTAATTAAGTATTTCTTTTTCCCTTTTAGAGCTTGATCCTTCAAAAGTACGTACTTGGACTGATCGTACAGGAGCCTTTAAAGTGGATGCACAATTCCTTTTATGTGCTAATGGTAAAATTCGACTTTTTAAAACAAATGGCGTAAAGATCGATGTTCCAATTGAAAAAATGTGTCTTGAGGACTTACGTTTCATTGAGAAGGAGACAGGTACTAAATTAGTAGACGATCATACACCTTTAGCACACTTGAAAAAGCAACAATTTAGCTGGTTTAATTTCTTTAAACAAGCCAATTTACCTCAAAAGGCATGTACAGAATATGCGGGAACTTTTGAGGCTAATAAATTGACAAAGGATGATATTGATCACCTTACACACAGAAAGATGAAGATGTTGGGCATGTCCGAACGTCATGTTCAACGTATTCAAAGATTTATAGAAACAGAGCATGCGGATCCTCCATCAGAAGATGAGACAATTTCTAGACCTAAAATAAAGAAAAAGGTAACATTTGGTCCTGTAAGTTATATCGATGATATAAAAGATGAGGATGAGCATGATGTACAATGGCAAATAGAACAGGATGAAAAATTAGCGAGACAATTACAAGAACAAGAAGAGCAGCATCATGTTGGTTTACATAGACGTGGTACTGGTAGACCTACACCTCTTCATTCAGCTCCTCGTGATGTAAATCCAACCGTATTAACACCTCAGCAGTTTAAAATGGAACCACTACAACCTGTACAATCAACCACAACACCACCCATTCTGCAGCAGTCGAGGAATATAACTCCAACTTTGATGAATAAACCTACTTTTGAAGACGATGCATGGGCACCTCGAACAACCGAACAAACTTCAGGTTGGAATAATAATAATAATAATAATAATAGAGTATCTTCTATGATAGCAACAGCCTCTCCCTCAATAACAAGAATACCAGGAGTAGCAATGACAGCAGCAGTACCATCTGCTCCTCCTTTGCCTCCCCAAACACCCCCTCGTCAAAGACCTGTATCTCAAATACCTCAACAGAATAGAGTTGATCCCCAGTTACTCGCAAAATGGGGAACTAGTCCTGTTCTTGCTACTAGTCAAAATCGTCCAGTACCTCCTCCACCCACAAATAGCAATAATCATTTTGTACCATTAAATAATAACATGACAAGCTCACCTAGTCCATTACAGCAAAAAGCTATTCATACTAATACTAATATGATAACAGGAAATCATTTTGGTACTAGTCTACCTCCCTCAAATTCATTTAATATGCAATATCAAAATGCATCACCTAGAACTGTACCTTTACAGTCTGTATTACCTTCGCCTATTGTACCTCAACCTATATCACTACAGCAAGGACGAAATTGGGCCAATGCTACACCAGATAATCCCTTTGGTGGTGCTGCTGCTGCTGCAAGGCCTAACAATACCAACATGCAACCAACAATTACTTCACAGAATTCATTTCAAACAACGACATCGTATCATTCTTCAACAGAAGGTATAAAAAAGACAGATATACACAAAAAAATAAATCTTTATTTATTTATTTATTTTTATGTAATATTAGTTAATCCAACTGATAAATATTCAGTTTTTAAAACTCTCAATGCAAGTACACCTAGTATATTCAATAGCCAACATCACAATAATTTTTATTAGGAAACAATAATAATAATAATAATAAAATTTAGAGATTTAGTTCTTGATTTCTCCAGAATCAATAATTTCGATCTTTGCAGTAGGTCTACCACTTTGAGTACCGTATTTTTCCAAAAGATCCAATACATCATTACCTTCAACAATTTGTCCAAAGACTGTATGATTACCATCTAACCAAGGAGTCTTGTCAAATGTAATGAAAAATTGAGATCCATTTGTGTTCTAAACATGTATGAATGTATATAAAAAAAAAATAAGCTTAGTATAAATAGCATTGTAAGTTAAAGAATACTTACAGGACCAGCATTAGCCATAGATAAAACACCTTTAGCGGTATGCTTTAAAGTAAAGTTTTCACTATGCAAAGTCAGTATTAGCAATTGCTCTTCCTTCATATTTTTTTTTTTTTTTTTTTTAATCAAGTTTATTTTACTCATTGAATTTTGCGCCATAAATGGATTCTCCACCACGACCATCACCAAAAGTGAAATCTATAAAGATAAATACATTGTATGTATAAAAAAAATCGAGTTTTTCTTTTCATTTTTTTTTTTTATATTACCTCCACCTTGAGCCATAAATCCGGGAATAATACGATGGCTAATAAATAATAAAGTCAATATGCATATATCAATTAAGCAACACATAATATAAACTTACAAGAAACTATTCTTGTAGTGTAAGGGCTTTCCAAATTGGCCTACACCCTTTTCACCTGTACAAAGGGCTCGAAAGTTTTCTGCAGTTTTAGGAACTGTATCAGCAAAGAGCTAAAATAAATAATACTTTAAATAAAATAATAAAATAAAAATAAAAATAAAAACGCTTTTGTACCTTGAATGTCATACGACCTGAGGGTTTACCATTGACAGCAATGTCAAAAAAAACTTTTGGGAGATTCTTAGCAGCCATTTTGTAATTTATAAAAATAACAACGATTAAAAAAATAAGAAAAAAAAAAGGCCCTGTTATTAAAGACTTGTCAAATTGGCAGATTATTAGCAACACAGTCGCCCATAACTGGGGTGTGTATTGTATTTTCTAAATAAATGAGAATTCGGTTGTCGTCGTACTTTAAAAATTGAACTATCTTGTATTCTGCGAGAAAAAAAATATGTTCGGTTAAAGGAGTAGACACATTTTAAACTGTATATTATTTTATAATGGGAACGAACATTTCTACTGTATTAATGACATTTGATAGAGGTTCAACTTCTTTGTTCAATTATTCAAACATGTTACACTAGCTGAAGGCTGTAACAGATATCCCTCATCTTTTGTCTCCTGGTTTAAAATTTATCTTTGTTATGCAGCGCAAATTATGGAAGAAACAGTTAAAATCATCAAAGTGATTTAGGCATTATAAGCTCGCCAACTTTATGAGCAATGTAGTTAACATCAAACTTAAATATCTCAGATATATATATGCTCTTCTACCAGTAAAATCAAAATGCTGTTACCAGGTATGAGGTGATTATAGTTGAAAATGCATGCGTTGACTCTAATATTCTTACTTTGTTTATAATTCATCAAGTTGTGTTCCGATTTATTTAATTTTTTTGAACTCAATGGAGCATAACTTAACATCACTACTTTTGTCAGCAACCAACAAATTTATTCTTCGGCCTGTAGTCTACTTCACTCTACTTCATTAATTGCATCTTTTTTTTTTTTTTAGTATTTTGTCCAATGCATTAATTGCACTGTATATTATCAATTAATATCAGTATTAAAAACTCTTCAAAATACTAACATTCATCAAACTACATTTGAATTCAGTAAGGTTAGTTATTGACAGAATAAGCACAGCAAGATATATTTCACTTTCTGTATAGACTGATATAAAAATATATACCGATATATAAAATATGGTACAATAAAAGAACTTGATAACCTACTAATGCTATCTAAACTTCAAATCTCTAAATTAACCCCTCTAATAATTAATGGGGAATTTCAAAACAACTTGTATGATGTCTTTTTGTGTGTGTTTGTCACTTGAAAACGAGAAACAACAACAACTATACACCATATACAGGAAAATAAAAGCAAATAAACTATTTCAAATCATTAAGATCAACACACATTTCTGGGAGTATCTATACTGTTTCTCGCATCAGTAATGTTTCAATTAGTAAGACACAATTTTATCACTATGCCTAATAGCAACGCGTCTTAAGGTTGAAAAAACTAGAAAGGCTTACTATATATCGTAATCCTGATGAGAGACTTATATATAAAAGGAAAAAACAAAAACTCTCCAATTTTAATCATGACAATATCATAGACTTTGAAAGGAGCTGTATTTTTTAGAGATGACACTGGCTTCAAGCTTTATATTAGTCACACAAGAAGCTAGTTTAAAGTAGGTGGGTCTACTAAATAGAGATCTCAAAGAACAGAGGGATTAAAACTATCATCTTAAAAGCTAATTATAATCAAGGGTTATACATGTTCCTCTGAGAAAAACCTATTTTTATAACTGGAAGCAAAATACTGATAGTATAATTAACAATGTAAGCAATAAAATAAGGCAGATAGCGAAAATAGTTGCAAAAAGAAAAATAGAATATTTATTGAATAACTTGGTCAATTGTATTGTTAAGTGTATCGTATGCAAAGTAAGATTTTAAAGAATAAAAATTTAAAATAAAAGAAGAATACTACTAAAATAATTAAGTACTCTCTTCTTCATCTGATTAGAAAAATAGGCCTTTATATGTAAATATAAATAAATAGATTAAAAAAAAAATATATATGAGTCGATCTACCAGATAAAGACGCTTTCAATTTTAGCCCGTTTCTATCTAATAGTAAATTTGATATAATAGATAATATTGCGGAACTCACGTTAGAATAGATGTTCTTAACAGGAATGAGTTAAAAGGCTACTATATTATTGTAGAGAACACTCCTATTCATAAACTTTGAGCAGTGGAAGAAACAGTTTAGAAGAGAGGCCGCGTATATGCCTATCTTCCTTCATATTCATCTTTTCTTAATCTGATCAAAGGTAAAGCAACGTGTTAAAATAAGGGCCCTTTTATGATGACAGTAATAATTCGGACTTCTCAAACAATGAAAAGCTTGTTCGCAAGTTACTTTGTATAGACTGTTAAAAATAGATTAAAATACTCAGTTCCATTTTGTAGGTATTATCTTGATAAAAGGAACTTCACTTTTTTCAACATTTTCTCATTTTTGCAAAATTTTGTTCTCATTTATTTAGAAAACGCAATATATGTGATACGTTACTTTAAAATAAAATTAAATTTCCATTTTATGCACAGAATATAAACACGTCAAAACTATGTATTATACAAAAGATTTATATAAAAAATACAAATGATACACGACTATTATGTCATTTTTGTAATTATTTTCTTTTTAACAAGTACATGGTAAGCATAATTGGATATAATAACTAGACTAGAAATAATGGCAAACCCGCATAAAACAGGTACTACCAACACAAGCCCAATTGTAAGTCCTGTAAATACGAAAAGAGTCCAAATAAAGCTTGCCAAAACTGTTCCAAGTAATATCATTAAGCTAGCAAAGAGTAAGAACAAGAAAATAGGAATAAAAGACAAAATACTAAACACGTAAACGCCTAATCTAAATTCATCACTTGCATAATAAAATAGATGTTATTAGTTTAAAGCTATTAATAATAAATTATGCCATATAATTTACTATATCCAAAGCTGATTAATTATGTCTACTGCCAATTGCCAATAAAGTTGAACTAAATAAAAGGATTTAAGAAGGGATTCTTTTGCACACTGAAGCTTCTTTTCAAATGAGTTTTTTTGCTCTTGGCCCATTTTTTTGTTGGTTTTTGAAAAAAAAAAAAAGGAAAGAAAACAAAAAAGAAAAGTGTACTCCCAATTTTCGTAAAATCTAAAAACAAAATTCGTTTTGATCTCAGCCGAATTTTCGTTTTCACGCAAGCTCAATTTTTGTTTCGCTTCTGCACCAGTTCAATCTTCATAGTTGTGATTTCCAAAGTTCGTTTTTACCAATTACCAAAATTTCGCTTCAGGCTACAGTCTACAGTCTATCTAGAAAAAGGTGATCGTTTTATGGAAAAAGAAAATTGTTGCATCTTTTATGAAAATTTGTCGCAATTCATTATGCCCAATCAATAAGCAACTTAGATCCGTAGACCATACTTAAACTGGCTTCACCCACTGTAATGTTGAGATAGGCTGATTAGTTTGAGATGCCTTAGTGATTGGAGCTGGAGTGGGTTGATTATCCAACTTGTAAGCATTGACGTTGACGGAGCTCGATTGAGGACTGAGTAGCAATTAAACTTTATTGGCATTGGACCTCTAAGTTTTCGTGATGTTTATCGGTTGACAGTGGGATGGTAGATTTGATGTAGTTATTATTCGGCAAAAAAAAAAATAGAGAGTAAGGATTTACTTTTGTATTTGAATATTTTTATATTATTTTTATTATTTTTCTGGGTGTATGACAGCTGACGCTTGAGCCACCAGCCATCGCATACATTCTTTTACAACCACATATTTTAATTTTGGGTTACGATTTTCCATTCAAATGCAGTTTACCTCGTCGTCTACCTCGTTGTTTATCTTGTAAATAATATTCAACAATAGAATTCAAAATGCTAAGAATTGCACTGAAATTGTTTTTATTTCTAAGAACGTTCTTAGCATTGCTTCGAATTTTTATTTTTTCTTCTCAATGCTAAGAAAAGTCCTTAACATTACGTATATTTTTCCTTGGACAAAATCGTATTCCTAGGAACTCAATTCTAAAAGATCGAAGCATGTCTTTCTTTCTTTTCTTTTCTTTTCTTTTGTTTTTATTTGTGTATATCATAGTTTTATACATGCGTTTTTTTTTTAACATTACTAAATTCCAACAATTTCTCACCTCTGTGATTGTGAAAAATGTTTTCATTCGTCTTTCAATTTCCAAATAAACCAATATTTCCTAGCTTTACTTTACCCTCGAATGTTTTTGTGCACTCTTTATTTAAAAATGGTGGTGGTGTATGGTCACCAAATTTTGTAAGAAAATATTATAAAATATACATATTTCAAGTTTAAAATTTTCTAAGGAGAGTCAAAGGTGATCTTACACAGCCCAGCTTATCATTTTCATCAGAATTAATGTCTCTTCTGGCCTTTGATACTTCGTTAACTACAAGCTGCTCTAATTGCAGCAGTGCAGGGATGGCCCCTAGTAACACATGAAAGTCGTACACACTTCTTGGAATATAGAGTGTCTGTATCTTAGTAAACAGATAAACTAAAGGAGCAACCAATTCCATTCTGTATACATCACACGTGAAACCTATTTTAAACTGTTAGTAAATCCTTCTCCCTTCAGCAATATACCATTTATAGCCATACCTTTTATAACAACTCCGTAGACAACAGGCTGTGGTATATTTTTTTTTGACCATACGATTGAGCATGAGTTGTAGCTCAATAGATACCTTGAACAAACCATCTTCGGCAATCGATCTGGGTTGTTTTACTTCGAAAATCAAGAAATCGAAATCAGCTGTTCCAATTCTTGCCCTGTACTTGATATCAGGCTTCATATCAGTGTAGCCGATCAGAGCTGTGAAATTCCTACATAATATAAATAGATGATTTTCCATACACCTACAATAATGTTATGATTTTATCTGTCCTTCTTCAAATCACTACCGACAGGAAAAATTGCATTTAAAAAAGAGCTTAAAGCTCTTTCGATAAAAATTGATTCATCCTTAGAATCAATTTATTCAAAATCACTGTAACTGTTTAGTCTAATAGAAATATTGTTGGTACCGAACTCAATTCAAAAGAAACATTCACTTACATATTATACACAATTTTTGCTGCCATATCTTTATTCGAGCTCACTAAATGGTTTAGAGCAGCTACTACTGCGCTTTCTTTTTTATGTGATTTCAAATTCTTAAATCTATTAAATTATTAGAACTGTTCCTCTTTGTTTGCATTTATGGGAACTTTTTCTTGAACTTTTATGTCAAACAAGGTCAAAAATACCAAAACTCAGATAAAAGTTCAAAAAGACCAAAATGGGATATATAAAGAT